TTATAGGGACTAGAAAGAAGCCGAACTGCGTAGCATACTCGTGTCCCTAATTAGCACCCATTTAACACGAAAAACTCAAAGACCAAGCGGGGCGCAATTGGTCCAAAAAGCAAAAGAATTGCTCCCGGTGAGGCTCGAACTCACGACCTTCAGATTATGAGACTGACGCGCTGCCGACTGCGCTACGGAAGCGTTGGGAGCTGGCTGTGGGCAAGTCTGATAAGGCCCAGGTCCCGTCCGGCCGACAGGTCAACTTTGGTTAGGCACTGCTTTTGGGCTTGGGATCGGCTGGAGGTTCGACCAAGGCTGACAATTCGGCTTAGGCTTAGGCTTTGCCTGGACTTAGCTTAGGCTTTGCCTAGACTTAGTTTAGGCTTAGGCTCTACACACCACATTATTCCGTTTCACTTTGAAATCCCTGAATTAACTTATAGAATCCGATTCATAAAAAATAGCAAAGGATAAATCCAAAGAGAAAAAATTCGCCCAAGCTGAAAAAGAAACGCACAACTTCTCCCTACAGTATCGTGCTTTTGCAGGGCACCCGGTTTATTAACGATTAATAATGAGCGAACGGGGAGCAGAAGAGTTGTTTGCATTCTGAAGGGATGCAGCTCCTCTCATCGACGATTCATTCCGCGGCTCATTCCAGTTTCTTCTTCGCGCCCCCTCACCGGGGGTCTTCTGGGATGGAGGACGGGCGGTTTGATGAGGTCCCATATTTCTGGGGGGACATTCAGCGGTTGGCGGAGGGAATGGGGCTTTTTAAAGGGAATGGCAATTCAAAAATCATGAGCGATAGAGGGTGGAATGCGAGAAATAGCGCAGATTTCGTAAGAAATTCGGCTTGTAGAGTTCGTTCCCTAGAACGTGGGCTCTGAGCTTTGTTCTAGGCGCGTTTTATGGCTATCAACAATTTTAGGAGGCAAATGACACGGCTTCTGCCAACGTCCTCCCAAACCACCAATTTTTCAGGGGATGTCTCCCGAAACACTCCACCCCAATTCGGCCCATGGTCCCAGAATTGAGCCCCACGATTGGAATTTTTATTAGCGCAATTAAGGACCAAAAAGCGAGGTCCGGAGCGGGGAATGAGAAAATTTCGAGGCGTTTTGGAAGGAAACGCGTCATAATTTCGTTAGATTTAATCTCTCTTGAAAGGAGTGGGACTAGATAATCAAAATCTCATCCGAAATGTTCTAAAGCAATAACTGGAATATTTCCTCAAGAATCTGGACTAGCCTACCTCGTAAGGGGCAGGATCAAGCGCGAAATTCCTTCGAAATCCAATCAGGAAAAAGATCCTAGGCCGAAAAATATTTTCTAAGGAGACTGATACCCAAATTCCGGATATCCGGTGTAGAAGAGCGAAGTGGATCCACGGAAAGCAGGGCAAACTCTTCGTAACTCCGTATTCTTCCGGAAGTGAATTTTTGAGAACTTGAACAGGGTCGTTGAGGCGCTCTCCCAAAAAACCCCAATATGCTAATCAACCCTGCTCCTTGCGAGGTGAGGGTGGAAGCGGAAGCCAGTGAAAGCTTGAGCCGGAGGTGCACCAAGGTCAGGATAAACCTTAGAAAAATCAAACACCAACTACGCTACATGCGCCCCACCCTCGACATCGCCGTTTTTACATGCCTCCCCTCCTCTTGCCGGAAATTGCAACAAGAATGCAGGCAAGAATTTCGCATACCCTTGCGAGACGCGAGGAAAGAGATACACGGGAAATCAAGTGGAAAAAGGCTATCGGGTGTCGTTTCTGAGGCTCTCGATCCCCTCCAGGTGCCGTTAGCCAGAAATCGCATTGGAGGGAACGGGGCTTGAAGAATCGTGGTTTTTCGTTAGCCTATTACGCGTAGTATTATGGTAAATATATCCCAAATATTGCGAAATGCCGAGGCCGGAAGATAATAACCGTTTTTCAGGAAGTCTCATCCCCATCGGGGTAAGGATTTTGGGAAATCGTATAAAAAGGGATTGGTTCTTTAGGATTTCCGGGGGAAACCAAATTTTTTCGGCCCAAGCCTAAAGTTTTTTCTAAATAGCGCATGCGTTTCTAAATGGTTTTTAACTAGTCCTGAGCATAAAAACTACCCAAATTTTAATTAAAAATTTAATTTTAGGTCGAAAAATCCTATAGAACCTTTAGGATTAGCGGGGGGAAAGACCCAAAATGACTAAATTTTCGACTTTTTCAAACATTTTTCTAACTTTTTTGAAAGGTTTTTCTACTTTAAATATAGTTAAACTTTACTAAAAACAATGTGAAAACACTTTATATTTGATTACTAGGTCGACCGGGAAAACCAGGAAAAAATTTGGTTTCCCCCCGGAAATCCTAAAGAACCAAGGGATTTACTAATTGTTAGGGGGGTGGCGGGTAAAAGAGCTCGGCACTAATTACAAAAATAGAAGTCGGACCTGCATTTTTCCTTGATAGGACACGGCTGAAAATTGCAAAAAACGAGTTACAACGTTTAGTTTTCCTTTACGGAGTTGTATGATAAGAATTACGAGATACGAAAACTCAAATCCTAGACTAAATTTTTCCATCTTGATCAAAAAAACTGATTATCAAGGAGCTCAACAAAAAATACCGACGTCTCAAGCATGTTTTCGAGGCAATAACCCCATTATTTAGCATACCCGTCCCTTGTGTGACCACTGAAAATAAGCCCGGTAGCTATTTTTAGACAACTTCACCGAGACGAAGCCTTTCGAAAATCAGAAGAAAACACGGGTCGGTCGTCTGGATTACCTGGCTCAACTTTCGGGAGAGGCAGAAAACAGAGTGCACTGCTTGGCAAATGATTTCTGGGCCCTTATGACAAGTTGATGGGGAATGGGGTTCGGTGATGAGGAGGAGGATGGCAAAAATTGAACATGGCCAGGAAGATCTACCAGTGAAATACTGCCTATTTCTAAGATGATGACACTGAAAACCATCGCTAGCAGAAGTTTAGTAAAACTCAGAATTTTGAGCTGCTAGCGCAAAATTTTCAGTAGTTGTGTGTGAATTCTCCTACTGATTGAGTAGGAGGAAAATTTGGTAAAACCATAAAGATTTGGATTTGATTCCACAAGATCCTCTGCTATAAAAAACTAACTTTTGAAAACATGGAAAGAAGTTTTATCTCAAACTGGTAACTCAATTTTAGTAAAATCTCAAAATTTCGTGCTAAATCGCAAATTGCTTAGGTGTTCCTGCTGTTTCCCTCTGACGCAAATGGAGTCAAACCTTGCCCACCTAAAATAACCGATCTACTAACCCGCTCAGCTAGCTGCTCGCTCAAAAAGTTGCGTCCAATTCGGGGGCATTTCCGGGGTTCAGGCCGCTCGCCCGAACAGCCAGCCATGTCAAAGAAATAAGCCCAGGTGTTCTGGAAGCAGTTGAAAAAGCCAGCAGGACATGTTGTGAAAGGATAGCTGGGGGGATGATGTTCAAAACCTTTGACCTGGGGCTCACGCGGAAGTAAGCCATTGTCTTGAGGCTTTCGGGTTGAAACGGAAGCAACGGATGCACCCAACGGTTTGACTAGGGCGGCTAAAAATAGGGAGAACGAGCTGGTGGTTTCAGGGAAAACTTTTAGGAATGCTTTTCAAGGGATTCCTCCCAAAAATCCCTTATTTTCAGCCAGGCGGTAATTAGAATGCCGAATTTATCCTGTCGAACTTTATTTAACGGAATTTCAGCTCTTGATATTTCAGTTTCCCGAAACAAAAACGGCGTCACTATTTCTCAGACTGAATTTTGAAATAGTAGAGGTCGACATTCTGATTTACACCATCTGGAAATTTCGGAAGAAAAATTTCGAGGTCGTAATTGACGGCATTCTGATTGAAAATACCGAGAATATTTCCTTATTTTAGGTTTTTGCAGGGTTCCCTTGCTCCTCCCACGACCTACTTTAAAAACGATTTCTCCACGATACAAAGCCCGAGGGCGTACTTTTAAAAAACGAGAATCTAATTGTTTTTTGGGAGCAGCCGATTTCCGCTCTATGCCCTTTTTCTGCTGCTCCCGACTAACCCACGCACTTCATCGTGTCTGAAGTGGCCTTTCGATTACGCCAGGGGCTACGCAAAAGCCGCTGGATTGCGTGTGATGGTTGGTGCATTAATGGGAGCAAAACTAGAATAGAGCTTTCAAAGTTTTTCAGAAAATCGATATTGAGATGAAATACAGCTTCTTACAAGCAGAAATGTGATTAGGAGAATACCCCCCCTGGAGATTTCTGCGGTACCTCGTAACATGTGGAACACATTTTCCGGCTCACCTCTAGCGGAAATGTGGGAAATGTGGCGTGTCGAATGTGTAAGCGTTAAACGGAGCTTTGTCAAATGACTGATTGTCACAAGTTATATAAAACTCAGGCTGCGGAGGAATCTAGAACTCCGATGACATCTACATGCTGAGAACCAGCGTCACCCCCCCTCCAGATTCGCTAAACAAACAGGATTTGTGGCACCGCAACTCGGATTACCCAGGGATACCCCCGTTCCGAGCCCTCAAAATCGAAAAACCAAGTCATAAATCAGGAAAAAAATGTAGCGTTTTGAGATTTTTGCAGGGAGACGACTTGGGCTTGCAGCGCGCCGAACCGAGCACCGAAAATTTTATGCAAATTGTGTGGAGAGTTGCGAAAATTGGTGGTGGGGGCCCACGTTTTGGTGATTTCTGGAAAGCAGGTGGGAGTGGTTGCGTTTTTTGGTTTTCCCAGAATCCCTAAAAATACTTTGTTAGTTTATACTTTGTGTTTTATAAATTCTGAAGAGCACTAGATATGTCGTTAAAAATGGATATTAAACTCTTTTATTCAACAACTAATTCAACAATTCCTAAATAAAGACTTTGAGTTCGAACAAGAGATCGGGGAACGGGGGTATTTTGTAAAAGTTTCAATAAAGCTGTAAAACATCGCAAAGAACCAAGAGCAAGCCAAAAATAAATCATGTGCCTAACAAAAGCAATTGTTCAATAACTCGAATGGGGACATCTAAACCTCGCCTCCCAGCTCCGAGAGCATCTTCCGCAGTTTCTCATTCTAAAGCCAACGTAGGAAAATTCAAAATTAATAATGATACCTCAACGCGAGCCGTCTCAATCTCCTCGTGATTTTTGCCAATCATTGCGTAGAGCTGAAAGAAAATTAGCTTCGAGCGTGAAAAATGAAGCCCACGTTAGCTTTCTGGTTCTTCAGCCGCTCGATCTCGGCTTTGGCCTCTTTCAGCTCCTTGGCAAGGTTGTTGGGCTGAGCGATGCTTGCCTAAGAATGATGAAAGATGATGAACATTTCCTATCCACTGACCGTTCTCACTTCTTGCAGCTGCTGCTGTAATCCACGAATCTCGAGCTCCTGATTTCGAAGGCGGATGCGAACCCTTTCCGTCTCATCCATTGAACTGGATTGTTGATTGGCTTCAATCTGAAGAATGGTTAAATCTATATAAAGAAAACGGCGGAACCTGTTGCTTAATTTTATCCAAAAGCAGTTGATTCGGGTGCGGGTCCATCGGGGTTGGTACACTCGGAGAACCGCGGATCGGCGTAGAGAACAATTCTGAAAAAAACAACATAAATTCGCGATTTCCATTTATGCCAACCCTCGTTGGATTCGGTCCTTCGCTTTCGGCCTCCAAGCAACACAATCTGATCGGGCAACTTGGAGCGGATCAGGTTTGGGTTTTCCGGGCCCTAAAAAATTAAAAAAATTTGGTTCGGGTATTCATAACGTCGAGAATCATAATATCAAAATTTCAGACCGTCGAAACTTCCTAAACATCTCGGTAAAAAACCAAATTCTAAGCACAAGGTTTCGACAATATGCGACAAAAACAGTTTGATTACACCGCGGGACTTACCGTGTCTTGATTTCTTTGGGATGCGCTAGACGACCTCATTGTGAGTTCTGTGCGCCGTTTGTACGCGTCGAAAATATCGTCGTGGCCGGGGAAGCATTTCTTGGCCGTTTGAGTGACTGTTGCGAGAAGCTGGGCGTCCCTGAAACCACAGCAAATGGATTTTTCAGCGTAATTTCAGCTAACTAAATTATCGGTCGCTTAGGAAAACTCACATCCTATCAACAATCAGCGCGCCCATTCCGGTGTGTTGCGTACTGACGTGCTTGCTGCAGTTGGTGCGTAGAGCAATTTCCATACCGCAAACTAAAAAGTTGACAATTGTCTCACATAAAGCTGCAAATACCCGAGCAGCAAAACTGCTTCCGGTCCAGATGGGTGCGGACGTGATTGAGGAATGCTTGCTCGGTAATGCTGCCCCTTTGGTTGACGCTAGGGCGGATGACGTTGCTGCAGATCTGAAAAAAGCATAATATTAAATATTTGGCGTTATTATTATGGTATTCATTGTTTATTGCACTAAGCGGCGCCAACTGGCGGCGGTCACAAGGAAAGTGGGACTCACTCGACAAGTTTCCGTGTGCACCCGTCCATCCTCATCATCACCAACGAGTGCTCTAGAGAGCCACTTCCTCGTCGCACATTCAGCAATGAGGTTCCCGAAACGCGGGAAGCAGTGATGAGTTTCTTCTTGGGCAATGCGCACAAATTCCTCAGTTCTAAAACCATGTAATAGGGACTAAAATATAGCCAACATTTCGGGCATGGCGCTTGCCGCCCCGTCGTGGGCTTTTTGGAGGTGAAGATCCATGTCGCTCATGTGGGTACCCATGTAGGGGCATTCTAAAATGCGATGATTTTTGGACGTTTCGTTTACTGGATCACTGGATCGTGCGTTTAAGCATGACTAAGTGTACAGCTATTTACGCACGTAAATAGGTGCCCACATAGCACGTGCCAGGCCTTTACCTTTAGGTAAAATTTGATTTCAAAAAAATATTTTTTTAACTAACCGGAACACTTGTAGGTAGAGACTGTAATATGACGCGACAGGGCGTGCCGGTAGAGCGCGGCTACCTTACTCCTCGTCAAGTCCAAATGCACGTTACATTTCTAACAATCTTTTTAGAAAAAGCTGAAATTTCAGAAGCTACCTTGCATACAGTCATTGGAGGCATCGCACCGGGGCTCAAGACTTGCACCGGCTCGGTGGTGGGCTCGATTTTAGCTTGAAATTTCAACGCGAAGCTGCTGGTCCCAGATCCGCCGGCTTCGGACATGTCGGCATCCTAGAAGAATTCATTATAGAAGCTAGGGGCTTTAAAACGATAAACGATAAAACGTAAATCAAGAGGCTAGCTTACCGAAAGCTTCCTGCGCTTGACGTCCCGAGCGGCAGACTGCTGAGATAAATCCTAATTCATTTCACAAGAGGGAAAGCCTACCTGGTCCTCATATGGATAGACTCCAGAGAAATCGTCGAGTTGCAAGATAAATTCCGGGAAGCAGGTCTTCGCCAAGTCGCAATGCTCGGCGAACATCTTTGGGTTCCTGAATCCTCAAAATTATATAAGCTGAATTAACTACTCACATCCGGTCCTCCATTTTTCCTTCCCCCTTGTGGAAACTGCTGAGGTGTTTTTCGAACGGCCGGGGGTCGGTGGCAGTGAAGGTGCAGGTGTCGCAAGAATACTAAAAAAGGCCGATTAAAGGGATCGCGAAATCCGAAATAACCCTTTGAAACGACGAATGAGCACTGGCATGAAGGACAGCCATCGAGATGACGGCTTCATCGTCGTCACCCAAATCTGTGATATCATGGCACATCTAAAAGCTCGGTGAAAGGTTTTAAATTTAATAAAAAAGTGTGGGTTTGTCGTCCTACCTCACAAAAGTATCCCTCGGTCTTGATGTTCCTCGAAAACGACGGCGAATTTTTGTGACTGTTTTCAAAAAGAGCGCTCGGGTTGAAGCTGAGATCGTGCTGGAGCGACGTCTAAATCAAATAGATTTGTTTCTTTAGCTGATTTCCATGATAGCCCGAAAATATTTCCAATATATGAAACTATATTCTTATAAACACTTACATTATTCGGTTGGTTAGCCCGCAACGATTTCATATACTTGGAGATACGATTCTGCTTGGCCGTGTCAAAATAGTCGGACAGCGACGGGAAGCACCTCTTGGCGATTGAGGTCAGCTCTTCGCAGAATTCAGGGTTCCTAAAAATATCGTGAAGTTCAATCCTGCCATTCAAGTCCTTTTAAAATCCTAAAAACATACTGCTGATCAACCACAGTTCCAGCGTCGTAGTGTTCTTGCCGCAAATGAGACTCGATGCGCAGCTTCTCTGGGTTCTGAAAAATTCTTATTACTCCTCATTCCAGGAGTCGATACTTGAAATGAGCATAGCGAGCAGCCGAACGCCTTCCGATCCATGTGGGTGAATTCAATGTGGCGGAAGGTGTTGTACGGGTTGCCGAGGACCGAGTATGGCTTGTTGCACATCTATAAAAGCCAAAGTTATGGTAATTCCCACATCAACTACCTCGCAATTCAACCTGGCGGCCGGTCCGGAATCTCGTTCTTTTCTGCGCGCTTCGTAGACCTGAGATTCGTGAAGCCACGGGGGACCTCCGGTGTGCGAAGATTGCATCAGGGTCGGGAACTGGAAAATACATTTTGAATGAGGTATTAATTGTCAACTTCTTAAAAGTCTAAAAAAAATCACCCTTTTCCGCTCTGTAGCTGGCCCCGAAACAGCATTAATGACAGGCGTGGGACGAGAACCGGTGGGTGGGGCCTAAAATTGGTGAATGGATAATTTTTCGGGCTCCCAGAGTAGATTTATCATGTCTAAAACTTACCAACGGGCTTGGCATAGAGCCAAAAATACCACTCAAGGCAAGGGCTGTCTCTCCAAACTAAAAACTAACTGTTCATAAAAATGTCAGTACGATCATACCTGGTCATCATCATCGTCGTCAACGGTGAGAGGAGCCAGTTTTGAACCGGTTGGGGCGTCGAGGACGAGCTGCAGATCGTCCGAATCCTAATTTCGTAGCTTATTTTTAATTAAAAAACCCACATCTCCCAACTTCTCATTGTCGCGCACCCCACACAGTTTCCGGTATTCGGGCCAAAAGCCGAGGCGCTTCATCCGCGTGGTCACCCATTTCTTGAAAAGATGCTCGAGCTCGGGGAAACACTCCATGGCAACCTTGCCGATTTCTTGGATCAGCTCGGGGGTCCTAAAATTGAGGATTTAAAAATCTGGGAAGGCCTACTGTAAGTCGTCAACCTCTCCGACGCCGCCGTGTGAAGCCTTCACGTGATATTTTGCAGCTTTCATGGCACGAAACTGAATGAAAAAATATATAAATAATCTAGGGCTAAACTATGTTCTAAGTAGATCCGCAGGGTAGGATATGTAACATAGGTTTAACTTAAAGGCTTTAGCAAAATCCCACCATGCCTTTGCATACACTGCATCGAAACGAAGCCGTCTGTACGTGGGCATTGATGTGGACGAGCGTGTTATACGGATTCGTCCCGACGGCAATGGTTGCGTTGCATTTCTTCAAAAAAAGTCGTTTATAATAATTATCAAAAAATTACCAAACAGTCCATATGCGATTTCCCAAAGCTCCGATCGAAAGCGGGCTCCTAAAAGTTGATATTTTTTGCGAGGTAAAAACATTTCCTACCTTTCGCGTTTTCATAATAATTGGGCTTGGACCGGTCGGGGTCAGAGGCTAAAAATTCACCTAATCAACATAAAATTTAAAACTATACCTTTTCTTCGACCAATCCCTCCACCACCCCGCCATTGCCATCTGAATTTCCGCTCAAAAAGGTGGCGAGCAGTCGCTGCAGATCGCCATCCAAATTGGTGGCGGTAGTATCAGATCTTTAAAACTGATTAAATTTCGTTAATTATTATTACTCTTGCTCGTGATCTGTCAGCGGGTCGCCGGAGTCGTTTGGTGTATCACCCATGGTATTCGATACCTAACCTAAAGTTTTCTCGTTAATATTTGTTGAAAAAGAAATTTTCCGCGACAAATTAGTGTGAAAAACAAGTACAACAAAAGAAAAGAAAAATAATACCCTCAACCCCGTTGTTTACACATTGCTTTGATGTCAATAAGGTTGTAGCGTACTTTTTAATTACATGACGTAATTGAATGTCCTGTCGTACTTGGCTATAACGGCCAGAAATCGAGCTATCGGACAGCAAACCGTCTCCAGACACTAAAGAAAACCGACTCAACTTGATTTGGGTTAGGGTTTCTATCTTTATAACTTTTTGATACCTTTGTTAAGGTTTCTGCGTTATTAACGTGCGTAAACAACATTTTGGTCAGTAAATTTGGTCTTAGAAAACAAGTAATTACTCTTCTAAAAGCATTAACAAGCTATTGATGAAGTTTAGATACTGTTAGTATCCATTAAACGGGTTTATACTTTGGAAAACTGGGGCAATATTGGGCAGATGCCCGCGTTAGCTGGTGGTAGTTGCGTAGCGGAGATAAGAGTGTAGCGGAGCGTAAGAGTGTGCAGACAGCGAGGTATCGGCAATGCAGGGTATCTCTCTTTCCGTGTGAGTATATGGCCGAGCAGGAGAGCCTTTTTGTTCGTATAGCTATGCCCGCGTAATGGCCACCTCTCGGATCGATACCCTGCACCGAGAACTTTGCCATATTACGCTGTTTCGGATGTGAACCAATCGGCCACAAAATTTAATGCTGGGCTGATATAATATACGGTAATTCCTCGGTATGTATTGCTCGTGAATTTGTAGAGACAACGTCATTAAAAGGTTCTATAAAACAAAATATTTGAAAAAATAGGTATGTAATACCTCCGCAAGGATTCAAACTATAGAATATATATTAAATAAATTTCAGAGATCGTATCAAGCTATCAACAGGTATCTACGCGGCACAAAAAAATAATGCGGGTCTGGTGTACGGTAGTTCCTCAGCATGTATTACTGATGAAGGCCGAGTCAGATTTTCAGGGAAAAAGATTTATACAGGGGAAAAAACGTACAAAAAATTCGAAAAGTCGAAAATTAAACGCAAGAGATCACATGTATTCTTTAAGAGAAGATATCATAACAATAAAATTATTTTGCCCGCGGCGCCACACTTCCCAGGATCACGTTGTTATTAGCTTTCAGTTTCTAAAAGCAAAATAAACAAATACGAAAAAGCAAACAAACCCGCAGCTGCCGTTTGACTTCATATGCAGTCGAAATTCTTCGGCGCATTTCCGGCGCGATCAAGGCGCGCTGGCAATGGATTTTAAGAAGGTGCGCTGAAAAATAGGTAGCTTATTGATTTTCTAGGGAGGCAAAATGGTCGCTGTCAAATATCTGATCGTAGTAGGCACCTTACAAACGCTTACCTTTAAGTAGCTTCACAATCCGAAGCTTGGCAACCAATCCGGAAAACACGAGCATAGTAAAGGCAGGGAGAGAGGTAAGTACTGATCCTTGCCGGCGAACGACTTGTTAAAGTACCAAACGGTTTGCTCAGCGAAGGGGAGGTGAGGGGAAAAGCCGGCAGTCAGGCGCTTAGATTGCAAGGAAATACGAAAAAATTCTGGGAACAGAATAACCTTGCATTTTGCCGTGATATTGAGGTGGATTTGAACTTTTCTTGTTTTTCGTGCATGATACTTTTCCTCGCAGAAATAATAGATACAAATTTATACCCGAAATTTTCAAAACAATATGACAAATGGTGGCGTAATTGCAAAATTTTTGGAGGATTTGTAATCGCCTTGTCGAAAACCCGTTGGATCAGCCCTGAAATTCAAAATTTTTTAAAGTTTTCAGGGTATTTGTTAGCGAATAAATAGCTGTATGCCTTTTCCTCTTTGACGCTGACCATTACTAGCCCTGTGTCATATTTGCCGAGAGGGGGCGGCCCTTCGTTGAAGTAGCTATCAAAAGCCTCCTCAAGGTTCTCCATTTTCATCGGCACCATAGCTTCCTTTTTATCCAAAAATTTAGCTAGAGTAAAATTTGTTTAATACCACGAGGTGGGTTTCAAGCACTGGGGAATCACTCTTAACCGGCCAATCATTTGATGGGAAGTATTGAAGTCAGCCACGGCACGATGATGTCGGCGGGCACCGAAAGAATGTCCATCGTAAGTTGGCGTAGTCGAGCGAAGTCATCCTTCGTGCTGGAAGAGGATATATGCGTGAAAAATCAGTTACCAAAAAATATCTGAATTTGACACCATTCCGTTGCAAAAGTAAGACCATCCGCTCTGAAATCATTCTGGATTTTTTAGTTTGTAAAATAGCCACGCGTAACATCGGTAAAATCCGAAAAGGCGTCGATGCGACGCATGCTTGTTGGCAGCACAGGCTTAGTTAACAAAAAAGAAATTAGAGCGCTCAAAAATTAATACCTGGCTGTTTTCCGGGACACACAAATTCCGGAATTTTGTGGACGCGGAGTGCGATCCACGTTTGCAGGTTTTCGGTGGCTTTGGGGTCGTTGGCATCACCAGCTTTCTCAGAGGCCTTAAAACAGGTTATTTTATTTTTTAATTAAACAGCTTACCTTTGTCTTTTTCTTCCGAGGGCTTGCCATGCTTCAGTATTCTGAATCCGGACTGATATTCTGAAAGACTGAAACAATACCGGATTAGATTAGCAAACAGTCCGTATCGGCATAGAAATCACATGAATTTAGTTTGTATCAAAATCTTTTTAAAAATCGTACTTGTAAAAGCCTTCAGTTTCTGGATAGGTTTTTCGAGAAAGCCGTTCGGGGTCTCGATCCAGCGTTTTGAATGCCAGCTCCTCACTATAACCCGCCCCCGGTCCACCGGCGACAACTTCCCCCGTCTAATTTATTTTTAATGGATTAATCACAGGACTACCTAGTGTTGGACAGCACCCCGAAGAGAGCACCCCGGGGTGCTTCCCCCACCCCGGGGTGCTTTATTTCACCCCGGGGTGCTCTAAAAGCACCCCGGGGTGCTTCAACCACCCCGGGGTGCCCCAAAAAGCACCCCGGGGTGGAAATAAAAGCACCCCGGCCGTGAGAGGGGTGCTCTGGAAAGCACCCCGTCCCCCAGTGTGGTGCTCCAAAAAGCACCCCAGCCCCCCTTGGGGTGCTCCAAAAAGCACCCCGGGGTGCTTCGAAGCACCCCAGGGGTGCCTTTTGGGGTGCTCTGTGGGGTGCTGTCTGGGGTGCTTTTTGCCAATGACCGCAATACAGGGTGTCCCAAAAAAAAAGGTCACGCTGTTAAAAAAAGGCCTGATATCCGATCGGGCTGAAAATTTGCACAGGCGTGGGGAAGACAATTTAAAATGTTCATGGAGAGATCCAGACCGATTGGTCCAGTAGTTTTTTAATTATTGCAGAAAAACCAACTTTTTATTTTTTAATATGGGGACTTTGATCATTTGCATCCCTGATCTGCGTAATTCTTAAGTTTCAATGCGAATTTAGCATAATTTTTGGACCGAAAATGCCATTTTGCCTCGAAAGCACTGTCTCGTGCGCTTGGTACCGAATCGAAACTCGGGAATTGAAACAATCGAGATGAAGCAATGCGGTATACGATAGAAATAAATGCAGGTTGCAACAATTTATCCGGTCATCATTTCAAATTTTGTTGAAAATGTGGTCGATGTGCCCGCCATCGGCCGCAGCGCACAGTTCGACGCGCTTGAGAAATTGGATGAGCCAGTTTCGCATCTGGGTCTCACACAGGGCGTCCCAGTGGCGGCGGATGCTGGCCTTGAGCTCGTCGAGGGTCTGGCACTGGTCCCTGGTGACGCGGTCCTGTAGCCAGCTCCAGACGCGGTAGTCAAGGGGGTTGAGGTCGGGGCTCGATGGAGGATAATGGGATTTGTCGAGGTACTCGATGTCCAATTTTTTCAATTCGTCAAGCGTAGTCTTGGAACCGTGAGCCGGTGCCCAATCCTGTTGGAAGAAAAAGTCTCCATCAGGATAAAGGCGGTCCATTTCCGGAACCAGATGACTATTCAACAGATCCTGATAGACTTTAGAGTTGACATTCCCTTTGCCGTCGAAAAAATAGAGCTCGAGTTTACCCTGCCAGCTGACCGCCGCCCACACATGAACTGACTGCATAAAATTTTAGTTCTGACAAAGAAGTTTTTCCTGAGGGACGTCTTTCTTGCGGCCAGTAATGTAGATGAAATTGTTGTTACGATTGACCGGAGCGCGCAAGAAAAAACGTTTCTCATCAGAAAAAACAAGCTTTGTCAGAAACTCTCCGCTCAATTTCGGCAGAAGCCGATCACAAGCATTCTTGCGCTTCAGCTTTTGCAAGTCAGACAACGCGTGCACGGGGACCCTGCGAACAGCAATAAGCCCTAGCTCCTTTTTACCACGGCACAGGGAAGATCTGCTAATGCCCAGGATTGTCGCCGCATGCCGAATCGAAAAGTGGCCACCTTTTCCGTCGACATTTCCCGTCAGAGCCTCCGTGATCCGGGACAGAGCGCTGGCTGGTAGGACGCTGCGCGGACGGCCGCTTCCCTCCTTTCGCTGGATCCCACCGTTCTTCTGCTCAGAATTAAGCAAATTTTTTTCTTCAGACCTTGACTTTGCGAAGAACCGATCTTATTTGTGGCAAAGTGAGCCGTATCGGGGGACGACAATCGGCAAAAGCTCGGAAGATTCCACGGGCGTCCTTCTGCTGACGGGTGGCGTAATGCACAATCAAGGACTTGTACTCCTCCGTCATGCGCACCATATTGGCCGGTTCGGTACCAAGCGCACGAGACAGTGCTTTCGAGGCAAAATGGCATTTTCGGTCCAAAAATTATGCTAAATTCGCATTGAAACTTAAGAATTACGCAGATCAGGGATGCAAATGATCAAAGTCCCCATATTAAAAAATAAAAAGTTGGTTTTTCTGCAATAATTAAAAAACTACTGGACCAATCGGTCTGGATCTCTCCATGAACATTTTAAATTGTCTTCCCCACGCCTGTGCAAATTTTCAGCCCGATCGGATATCAGACCTTTTTTTAACAGCGTGACCTTTTTTTTTGGGACACCCTGTATATCAACTAGGCTATTTTGATCGAATCAGGAGATGAACATCATTTTCGAGCAGTTCGCACAACTCGGCGCCAATTCGATTGCAACTCATTTGGGGGTCGTTTGGGAGCATTTCTTCGAGGTTGTTGAACACGGCGGACGATTTCGAGACGTTTTTTTCTAACCGCGCTAGCAGGCTGGGCAAAGCTGGTAAAGAGCTGAAACTCGTTGGGCAGATAGAACTTTTCGCGCTCTTTCGAATGGTGCCCTTCGCGTTCCAGGATTCACAGTGCAAATTGAGATATGATGGTTTAGTGCGGCGACAACCGACAGGTACACCTTTCGGCACTAAAACGCTCCCCTCTCTGTCCCCGACGATTTTGGAGAACGGCAAGTATACCGTTGGAAAGAGCGCTCAAAATGCAACCTTCTCAACCGCTTAAAACAATTCTATCAAGCTTCTTTAGGCCACTAGCGCGGTTAGAAAAAACGTCTCGAAATCGTTGCCGTGTTCAACAACCTCGAAGAAATGCTCCCAAACGACCCCAAATGAGTTGCAATCGAATCGGCGCCGAGTTGTGCGAACTGCTCGAAAATGATGTTCATCTCCTGATTCGATCAAAATAGCCTAGTTGATATATTGCGGTCATTGGCAAAAAGCACCCCAGACAGCACCCCACAGAGCACCCCAAAAGGCACCCCTGGGGTGCTTCCGAGCACCCCAGGGTGCTTTTTGGAGCACCCCAAGGGGGCTGGGGTGCTTTTTGGAGCACCCCACTGGGGGACGGGGTGCTTTCCAGAGCACCCCTCTCACGGCCGGGGTGCTTTTATTTCCACCCGGGGTGCTTTTTGGGGCACCCCGGGGTGGTTTACACCCCGGGTGCTTTTAGAGCACCCCGGGGTGAAATAAAGCACCCGGGTGGGAAAAAGCACCCCGGGGTGCTCTCTTCGGGGTGCTGTCCAACACTAGGACTACCTCATAGTATAAAAAAAACAATTGGCTAAAAAATATAGAAAGATTTCGGGCCGAAAAGATAGTAAATGAAGGCTGAAAATCAAGTATATACAGTATCATGCGTTACTGTGAGCGGCTTTGCGATATCGTGTAGCATGCAAAAGCCTTCCGAACGAACACAATTAACCGTTTTATTGCTAATAATCATTGGAAAATATATCGATAAGCACAAACAAGACAACAGCTTCAAATGTTCCAAAATGAAAAGTGACTCCTGGGAAATTGATGGTATAAAATCGGAAGCAACGGAGCATGAAACACAGTGGTGAAATAAATTTACATTCAGGCCATCAGGGTACTTCCTTCTTGATTTCGGCCAGCTCAGACTTCATGTAGTGCGCTTGAGCACTCAGCTCGCCAATGTGTGAGTAGAGCTGGAAAACGGAAATTAATTTGGCGTTGAAATTCCTACCATGGCCTGTTGCTTGGCTTTCGTGGTTGCCTCTTCTTCCAAAGCTTTGATTCGCTGTTTCAACATTTCGATCGTGGCAGCTTGCTCGGCAATTTGGGCGAGCAATTGGGAGTTGTCAATGGTGGGGATAGGAGCGGGATTCTAAAGCCTGACTAGTAGGAAAGAAATGTTATTTACCTGTACTTGCATTTGAACAATCGGCATAGGCATTGGTACCGGTTTGGCAACCGTTAGTGGCTGAGGCACAGACAGTTCTGCAGCCAAAGTCGTCGGCATTGACGCAACTAAAAAAGGCATATGCCTTGAATGAAAGGCTCTGGCTTACCGTTGCTCTCTTGTTTGACGTTCTCCGGGTTGTATTGCGGTACATCCGAAACGGGAGCGGGTTGAGAAGCAATCGTCAGCGACGGTACAGGATCGGCGGGCGTCATTTGCGGTGTTGGGAACATCGGCATCTCGGTAGGGATCGAGAAATCTGGCGTACAGAAATCGGACGCAGCGTAGAAATCGGAGAGGCGAGCTCGCTAAATTGAAGGGCGTATCAGGTAAGAAATAGAAATGAAAACCTTTGCTGGCGGTGTCGTATTTTCGTTGTTGGATTCGCGATGCGATAGATACCAGCGTCGCAGTCGCCCAATTGCCGCGCGCACGCGATCAGGGTCCGCGGTGAAATTGTCGAGGCACTGCTTCTCAAGCTCTTCGAGGTAATTCGGCGGGCTGAAAATGGACAGATTAGAAAAATCCAATCGTTTTAATAGCTGATTATTCGCTTTTCTCTCTTAATGCTTCCCAAAAATCAAAAAAGTAAAACGTCAAAACTCACAATTTGACCAATTCGTGGCCGCGCCCATTGTGGTCCTGCCGAATGTGTTGAAGAACGTAGGTACGTGTCCGCGCGGTGAATGTGCATTCTAAACAATCAATTTTAGATTAATTTCCACCGGTTTTTTCTAAACATCAACCACTGATAATAACTTCATATTACCGGAGCATTCATAGGGTTTCTGTCGGCTATGCGTGGCGCAATGCTGCACGATCATGACGCCAACCCTGTTTGGGTTTTCGATATTGAGGATCTTTGCGCAAGACTGAAAAACATAATTCATTGTAATAAGACGGAGCACAACGACACTCTAAACTAATTAACCTTACTTACCTTGCAAGGATACCTATTGCGTCCTTGTTTTGACGCGGCCGGCGATGTGAAACATTTCCAGTCCGGCTTCTCATCAACTTCATCCTCTTCTTCCGGTTTGCTTTCGAATGATTCTTCATTCTTTTCCGATGCTTTGCTAACATGTTCACGCAGCTTGTCGGCGAAATGTGGAAAGTTTTTCGCGCATTCAGCTGCCAATTGCTCCTTGTAATTAGCATCCCTAAAGGACGTTACGTTACATTCTAATGATGTTACCGAAAATTTATCATCTCTGCCTTGCCGTCATGTAGATCTTGAATGTGTTGCTCGATTTCTTGCGTGCCGGCAGCGAAACCACAAGCTATAAAGTAAAAATATTAGGAATACCCGACTCTATTAGGTTTTCCATTTAAAAGACAAAAACCGATCTTTTACCTGAACATTCCAAAGTTTTCTTGTTGACATGCGTGCGACAATGGCTGACCAAACAGAGGATCTGTCGCGTTTCGGTCGGTTGGGCGCGAAGGCTCCGATTGCAGTCCTAAAAATAATGAAATTGCTTGGAGAGTCGTTTCTAGAAAAAAAAGAAATGTACTAAAAATTTTCTTGAAAAACCCATTCCAAAAGAACGCACAAGCGCTTAAAATTTGTTGCTAAAAAAGCGAAGAGGTAAAAATTACCTGGCAGGTCAACTTGGATTCAGGATCATTGGCAGCCGGCGACATTGCGGCCTGGAAATTAAATTCAAAATAAAATTAATTTTAGCCTAAAAAAGTTCAGAATTTCGAAATGACGACAGCAAATCGGCCGACCTATTGTTATGCCTACAAAATAATCAAAATATACCTGCGATAAGCGTAGCGAAGTTCGTAAAGGAATTTTTTACAATGAATGGCGATGGAATTCGGGCGAGGCGCGCAGAACTGTGCCACAGGGTTGATAAGATACAAATTGGCGCACGGTGTGTGACTTTAGTGCTTCGACCCCATTCGCGGGCTCGGCATATCTGCCATAACATCTGCAGCCGTATTTTTGCTCGGGACCATAATTGCATCAATAAAGATATTGATATTGTCTTTTAAAGGAGTTTGAAAGCAAAGAAAATGGAGCTTTTTATATATCAAAATAATTATAATTTTATAAAATGTTCAAAATTCAGCGCTCGGAATATTCAATTTATAAACTGTGTTCTTTTGCGGCTGTCGATAGCTGCTTGGAGTTCTGACCCCGGGCTCAACTATTGCGGGAATATTCCGGGATTGCCTCAGGGCATTCCCGTAATGTTCCCGCAATGTTCCGGGAGGCATTCCGGGAAAGGTGGTGCAAATTATTCCCGGAATGCCTTCTCATCTATTGCGGGAATTCCAGGCATGGATTCCCGGAACTCCATTCCGGGGACGGTTCCCGGAATGAGTTCCCGGAATATCGTCTCATGTATTCCGGGAAACTTTTCGAGTTTCACGGAATGTAGTTCCGGGAATGGTTTTATATAAGGTTTGGTTCCCCTACAAAATCTCGGGGACAGCATTCCGGGAATCGATGTTCCCATTGCTCAAATTTTCTGAAATTTTCAGGAGTTGTCTAGACACTCGTTATTTGCCGGCCCGCAAAATCTCGTAGTGAACAATCGGTTCTGAGGCCGGTTTTGGAGGTCCAAAATAGCATTAAAAATGCGCTACGTTTTCCTGATCTCCGATGCATGCACACTGCGCCGTTATGCATGAAGTTGACATTAACTTTAGAAAGAATAATTTCTAATTTAGAATTTAGGATTTTAACGCCATCGTGATTCCGGGACACTCCGGGACATTCCGGGAACCATTCGGGGAAACATTCCGGGAATGCGCGTCTCATTCCCGGAATGCGTTTCATCTACATTGCGGGAAACCATTCCGGGAACTACTTTCCCGGAATGTAGATGAGACGGCATTGCGGGAAAAAGTGGCTACTTTCCCGCAATGTTTCCCGGAATATTCCCGCAATGTTCCCGCAATGCGTTCCCGGAATGATTCCCGCAATAGTTGAGCCCGGGCTCTGCTTGCGCGCTTTGTTACATAGCGTTCATTCGTTTGCTTGTATTGCCTTTAACCTCCAAAAAAGTATACTCAAGGTTTATTAAAATTCGAAAAATTACTCATGTGACGCTGTGGAAGTGAATAGATGGAGGGACTTGATGAAAAGTAGGGTGAATTGTATTTTACAAACAATACAAAAGCTCGATTTCCATCAAGAATATACCTAACACAAATTCCAAAGAAGACTTGTGATCGTACCCGTGATGAATGAGAGATCGTGTTCTAGTGCATTCATAAAGTTGATCATCGGTGAATTATTAGAGGTTCTGGGGGGAAGCCGGAAATTGCATGACTTGGCGAATTGCCACCCGGAAGTCGAGGGAGAGTACAATAAGGGGGAACGGCCTGAGGGGGAGATTGCATATTGAATCGGGATAAATTTATAAAAAGGTTTCTCGGACGTGCCGTGAGAAAACGGCGTTGAAGAGGATGAGAGATGGGGAGATACCGGTGCTCGAGGAGCACGAGGTGGTGGTGGTTGTCGAGGTTTCCATCAGGGAAGCACGGGCTGTAGAGATTACGGGACAACCGTTTTGTGCTGCTGCTGGCTCTGTCATTTCATGACTCGAGTAATCTAAAGACGATCGATTTTAGGGTGAATTTTGGTAGGGCTGAATCCACCCAACCGATCCCGGCTTTTGTATCTCAGCCCCCCATATGTGTATAGTATACCAAAATGTTTTTCTAGGTCTGGCGAGTATTTTGGTATACTTTACACCTCTGTCAGACAACGGGGAGCCAATAAACAATAGATCAAAGTCGGTTTCGCCAACCCTCCGAATTTTTTTGAAGGCAAACCTGAATATGAAGTGACAATGGATTTGTTTCTTCCAGGTAGAGGGGAGTCGAAGTTTATTTTCAACGGTCCGGCCATTGTCATTGATCGCCGGACAACGGGCACCTGCAGAAAATAGCCAGTTAATGGAGTAGAACAATCTTTGGGAACATTCTTTAATTTTTTACAGCTTCAGGTTAAGCCTGAATATAACCTTTACCCGAACCATCCTCATCTAGCCCACTAGCCCAAGTGTTTTTTGTTTTCCAGCCACCCCCCTTCTGCTATGACACCCGTTTCATGGCGCATCATTTTCGACCGACGGCTCGCCGGGAGGGCATTTTTGTTTGCGATGAGGCTGTGAAGGCAAACAGCTCTCTACTCCTTTTCCCATCTCGAATACAACCCGGGGCTTCACTTGGCCCGGCTCTATACATTCTCTCCATTCCCTCCTTGGCTCAATCGATCTCATCAACGGCTGAAAGTGAGGGGGATGAAAATTACCGGGCGAGGGGGTGGTGCCGGGGGTAGCGGGCCGTCGATGGTGATTGAGCGTTGGCCTTCGCGTACGGTTCGAGGGGCTCGCACTAAAGAGAGTTGTAATAAAAGTAATAAGCACTAATGTCTACTATAACATACCAAAAACTGACCTTAATCTAAGCCTAACCTAAACCTACACCTAAGCCTAACCCTAAGCCTAAAGCATAAACCGAAACGTTTACTGCTAAGAAGTTTAACCATCAGATTTTTGAAAGATTTCATGCCATAACTTCATAAGAACATCAACAAAAAGGCTCAAAAATCAACATAGATTTTTATTTTTAACCCCCTTTCTCCCGGGTAGTCCCCCCCCCAGAAGCCAACGGCAAGTTTTTCCCCGAAACCACAGCTAGCCCGGCTATAAAAAACACAGGAAATCAGCCATTATGCCCGGGTCGTAACACCCGCGGGGTGACGAGAAGACGCTAGCCGATAACACGAGTGGGTGGTAAAAAATAAGAATGGCTTTTAGGGGTCTGCAGACGCATGGAATGTCTGGAATAACTCCCCGAATTTTGGCTTAAAAGCTATCCAAAAATTCAAACTCTTAAAAACGACAGCGAAAAAACTATGCTTACTAGTCGGGTCCTTGTTAATCGAACCTCCAGGCGCCGCCTCGTCCTTTGACGTCACCCGCTGCTCGGTGTTCGAGCTGAAAAGTGGAGATTCGGCTTGGCCAGGGTTAAGATACAACGAGTACAAAGGCTAAGCCAGAAGAAAGGAGCGTTTGTTCATCCTCAACCGCGGCCACATGGTTATTGGTTTTTTACGCACAGTGCTTTATCCTTACCTCGGAACGGTCGGTAGGGCCACCAGCGGCAACAGGCTATACGGGGGAGGTGTAAATTAGGATGCAAATCGGGTGGAGTGGCCTGGACAGGCAATTTTGAGGTGAAAATAGAAGAGTAGGAGGAGGAGGTGCAAGAAACGGTTTTTATGGCAGGGGCCTTGGTAATGATTGCTCAGGATCAAAGGGTACATTACGCTTCGCGTTGTCTAGAACCACGACGCGTTGTTTCTCTATACGCACTAATTCTATGCAAACCCTAAAGAAACCCCTTATTGTCGTACTGATATCCTGGTAAAAACCACAGTGAAGTGCGGCACCTACCACGTGTAATACGTATCGGGCAGAATGGTAGTATGCCGAGAGTAGAAGCTGTATGGGTCTCGGAGAGAATGTAGGCACTGGCAGCGCAGAATCCGAACAAAAGCCTGGCGGAAACGCTTGTTGAAAATGGTGTAGATGAGCGGGTTGATGGTCGACGAGATGTACCCCAACCATAGGAACACCGAACCCATCCACGGGGGCAGCTCGCACTTCTGAAAACCGAGATGAAACTAGATTTTGGGTAGCTTACCTCGCCGCAAAAGCCATAGGTAAAGTTGGCGATGAAAAATGGGGTCCAGCAGATGAAAAAGCAGACGAAAACGACCGCCAATACTCTGGTGGCCTTGTGTTCGTTGGCCAGCTCTGCCGACATGATCTTCTTGGTGGCTACTCTTGAGGTGAAGGCGCTGATGCAGCGAGCGAATGCCGTTTTTTTCGGATACGGCCTTGTTTTTCAGGAGTAGCCGTTGTTCCATTTCTTGTTCGCCCATTGATTGGTAGCGCTGGAAAGGTATTAATCTTTTGGCATAGCGCATAGAACAGACTAAGTTTAAGTCTATAACTCTCTAACCCATGCCGAACTTATAAATAAACCAGTAGGTAGTTAACGATCTTATTACCTTCAAGACACCATTCCCTCCATTGCTCGAGCAGTACCCTAACTTTCGATGGTTCGGCATTGTTCGTCTCAGGCCTTCCGTCCCGTTGGTCCCTACCTAAAAATATCCAATAAAGTTGGGCTTCTTTTCACCCTAAAATGACGCATCTTTACATACCTTTTCATTAAGCACCTTCGCCTGTTTATTTAATAATGACGTCGTTCGAACGTATGTCATTGTCATTATCAAGAAGGGTATTAGAAATGAAAGCGTCGATCCATAAATCATGTACGTCCGGTTGAAGATCATACACGAGTTTTCCTAAAGGCATACGCTAGGAAAAATCTGTTCTCGACCCACCTGTAATACATTTGATGGATCATGTAATGCCACCACAGCTAATGGAGATGAGATGAGCACGGTGACCACCCAGACGAGGGCGATTTTGAGAAAGATGAGGGTTTTGGACTTGTTGCGCGTCTTCAAGGGTTGCGAGATGCCGAGGTAGCGGTCGAGGGAGATGACCGACATGTGGACGATGGACGCCGAGCAGAGGAAGACATCTGCGTAGACGTAGAGGAGGCACATCGAGAAGTTCCAAGTCCAGACACCTAAAAGATCGGTTATAAATTGCTTGGTTTTTAAGGCTAGTCCTAGGCATAGGCTTACGTTTCGACTTAGGCTTTGGCTTTGCTCCAAAAAAGCTTGGGCTTACCCTGCATTGGGCTTACGATTGTCTTTCTCTGCGTGCGAACCTCCCGGACCCCCATTTTGCAATGCTCGACCAAGTTCTGTTCTTCCGTTTTTGGTCAAATGTCCTTTCTCTCCTCCACCAACAAACACTTGGCCCGCCACTCCTGAAGTTTCTCAAGCCGCCCTTCCCTCCCCACCAACTGCCCTCATGAATGGCATGCAAATTCGATTTGGGGGGCCAACAAGGCCAAATTGGCCGCCGCCACAAACGCCCCGACGCAACTTTTTGCTTCCGAACTATTTCGACGGCATTTGGGGGTGGGGTGGCCACAAAAAAATTTGTGCGCCCTTTCCACCGAGCAACAATGGAGAAGGAGAAGAACCCGGGTTTTTTTTTTGTGGCGAGCCGTTCTTCACTTTGGCCGCTGCCCTCCCCCGAATAGAGCGGCCAACAAGCCGAACAATGGCCGGTCGTTTCTGCGCATTTAGGCTGTTGACTGGAGTGGGGTGGCGGGGGGCAGGGGTTTGGGGCCCGGGGGTGGGTTTGGGTTGTCTCGCAGCCCAGAAGCCGCTCTCCCTAACGTCGATCGTTGTCGACCCTGCCGAATATGTGTGCCAGGGAAACGCGGCATGAATTCACAATGGCCGACGGGGCATTGCGGTGACGGGAAAACTCGCGCCCGGTCCCACACTCGTCCCCCCCAACCGCCACCCACCACTCTCAATTTTTTGGACATCCCGGGTGCTTCTTTGGACTTGTTGAGGCACCTATTGATGCTCACTAAAAGGTGGAAGTGGTGACGAACGGCAAATGGAGTGAAAATCGGGAAGTCGTGCTTTTAAGGTGTGTGTGAAGGAAGAGGGAAAATCGCTACAGCCAGATCCGACACACATAATACCGATAGCCAAAATGTCGATGGGCCAAAATATCAACAGCCAAAACCCGGATAGCCATAGTCCCGGCATCCAAAATACCTACATCCAAAACCTCGACAGGCCAAAATTCCCCACAGTCGAAATCCCGACACGCAAATGGTTGCTTAAAAAGAAGGGCCAATCAAACTAGCGCAAGAATATGTCGAGATTTTGGACAGTCTGGATCTTAGTTGTCGGTATTATGGCTGAAATCCATCGATGAGACGGTTTTGGTCTTCGAAAAACGTCACATCGAAAAGTCATATGGTTTCGCTATAGAGGCGAAAATCTTCCAAAAAAAAATACCGACACTGACTGAAAAAAATATTGAATGTTCGACCAGGGATAAAGTACCTTTCGTTTTGATCTGACCATTACAACTACATATAATCACGGAAAATTCACCGTAAAGACCTTTACCCAAGATTCAATTCGGATTCAAAAACCTTTTCCGCCCTGAACTGTTGCTTTTTCCTGCAAAAAAAATTGGGGGCTACCCTCCCTTTTCTAATGGGACAACCTTTCCAGCTTCAACAGCAGCCGATCTCCCCTCACCTTTTCGCGGCGACATTCGCCGGGGCCGTTATGCCATGTGGCTCTTCTCAAATTTCAAGCCACCCTGGTGCGTTGGAGATTCCTTAGTTCTGCCTCACAGGGTGCTAGGGGGAATTACGTGTCACGTACTATACACGAGTAGCTTCGGTGACAATATAGCTGTAAGGGTGGTGTAAAAAGTGGTGGAACGGAATTTTTAAGATTTTTGGACTTGATGGTCAAACGTTTTTTAAATAAAACGGAATTTGATAATGCCGAAAACCAAAATTAAAACACCCAGTGATCTAAGTATGGGATTATCGAAATCGGGATTACGGGATCCGAAATTATGAGATTTGGGATTGCGGAAGCTGGAATGCAAGTGTTCGGTATTTTCGGTATTCTGGATTTTCGAGTTCGGGATTGGGTTGTCGGCATTCTGAATTTTGGAATTAGAGGTTTCAATTTCGTTTTCTTATTCGGGACTTGGGAATTCGGTTTATTGGGATTCGGGATTTCCTGCGTTCGGTCTTTTGGGTATTCGGGATTTTTTAATACGGTTTTTAATTGATATTATGGTACCAAATCCGTTGTGTAAACAGACAGTCAAACGGATTTGCAGATTTTTTAAATTTCCTGGAACTGATTTTTCGATTTCGAATCGACAACCCAAAAAAGGCGGAAGTCCGGATTTTCGGTGACCACCGGTTTGTGCGTGCTTTTGGACCCCTCGGTCGGGCTAGAACATAATCAACCGGGATTGCCGGTGATTCCTGGCCATGGGCCATCCAGAGCCCCGAGGGTACCCGGGGCCTTGTGCTGCAAATAAGGGAACGGAAGCCCATACGGCCTAATGCATTCAGAGGCACCGACCGAGTCTTGGCCCTTCACCGGCGGGAGAGCAGCAGCAGAAAACGGCTTTTACCCCCAGAAGAGCAAGGGCCGACTACTAATTATTTGCCGAGAGCAGTGGGGTGGGGGGATAAAAGGTGGATCTGGGTGATCAGTTAATTTTCGGTGAAGATAAGGGAATTTGGGAAGGAGAAGCAGTTTTAAAGGAAGACATACAAGTCAAAATGATAGGCAATATATTGATTAGAATTTGTAAGGACCGTAGTTAAACTGTAGTGGAGTATAATCAAGCGTTGCGTAGTTGCCCCTTGGAGTTTGGCTAACAAAAAAAACCTTGGATAACAAACTCAACAATAACAACAACTTGTAAAGCCCAAGCCAACGCTAAGCCCAGATTGAGTCTAAGCTTGAACCTAGACCTAAACCTGCCCGAGGCCTCAAGGAGTTTTTTAAGAAGGTGCGACCTTTGCGGTGTAATTTCTCAAAATAAAGCCCCTAACCATCACCCCTTCAACAACTGCAACAAGTTCAACCACCCACCATGTCGCACCTCCACCACAATCGACAGCGGCATGACGATGCAGCAAACGAGCAGGTCGGCCAACGCCAGCGAGAAGAGGAAATAATTCGTCACATTATGCAGCCGTCGGTCGGTGGCTATAGCCACACACACAAACGCATTCCCTAAATTGTGCACATTGGTTCCGTAGGAGGGGGCTCGAGAAAGGAGGAAGGGATCATGCATAGAGAGTTGGACTTCTCGTAGCTCTCGGCTAGAGGGGGGCACCTGGCAATAAGTTGGACAGATTTGTGGGGCGATTAACGGCATGAACAATTGATGGCCGCGCTTTTTTGGGGGGAGGGTGCCAGGTCGGGTGGTCTGATGGCTTTGATTTTTAGAGGGACACGGGTTGTGTTGCGTAGCATAAGCTAAGCTGAAGCTTTAACCTAACCCAAATCCTAAGTTTAAGCGCAAGCCTAGGTCTAAGACGAAGTCCGCGACTATGCCGAAGCCTAAGCCTATGCCTATGTCGCTGCCTAAGCCTAAGTATACTCCTTTACAAAAATGCGGCAAAAGTGTAAGTGTGAAGAGGATATAAATTTTTAATTAATTGATAAATAAACTTATACGGCGTGTAAGCGGCTCAGCTATAATTTAGGGTCTAAGTTTTAAGCATAACTTTGGATTTTTGCTATTTTTTGCAGTCAAGTAGACGAAATCGACCTACCTATAAGCCCGATCGCACAGAGCAACGGCAGCAGAAGAAGCGCAAGGGTGTTGAACGGCCGTGCAGTGTGCACGGAGACGCGTATCGAGGAGATGAGGAGGGCGGTGGCTGTGGTTGGAGGAAATGGACTTAGGGTCGTTAGGCTCATCAGAATCGCAACCACCGCAGCATGCCTTGGCCAGTCGTGCTTTCAGGGCAACGTTTTGTAGGCTAGGCGGTTTCCTGGTGTGGGAATGACCTGAAAAATACAATTTCTTGAAAATTTGATGCCTCAAAAGTAAAAAAGCAAAGAATATACAAAAACTATGGACTAGGAGTGTAAAAAAGAGATGGATTAGGGTTGGTGGGAGGGTTGGATTAATTCTTTATCGCGATCAGAAGCCGGACAATGGAAATAAATTATCTTCATCTTTTTACAGCCCTATCCTGGATTCATACAGTCGATTATAGCTTTTATTTCCGGTAAGATTACTTTGCAAAAATTGAAAATCGGTGTTTCGCTAAAGTCTAAGGTTTTTTATATTGCGAGAAAGTGATCGAGAAATAAAATTAGCTGTCGGTTCAAAGCATGGCCCCAAAGCCGGCAATAAATCGAATAGAGCGAATTTAATCATAGACAACAGAAAAATCTAAACAAGGCGTCGTTAGAAACTAGAGTTCATGTTCTTTGTTGGGACTCCGGGAAAGCCGCGGGGGGAGGGAGGAATTATGGGTCCAGTGTTTAATGTTTATACAAGCAAGGTTCAGAAAATTTGAAGATAGACAAAAGAGTTTCCTGGCTAGACCAAAGAACACAACATGCCGAAAACTAAGCCGGCTAATTTTTTTGGGGCTCGAAAATTAGGGGCTACTCGAAAGTTAAGTGGTTAGCTATGGTTTCTGAGAGAAAAACGTGCAAATGAAAAATACTAAATCAATAAAATAAAATTGAAATAAATGAGATTCGGTGAGTAATATCACGTCCAAAGCAGAGAAGCATTTCTTTTCTTTCCGGGGTTTCTTTCCTCATTCAGAACTGGCCCCCTTCAACGCATAATCAAAAGATCCAATTATCGGCCACGCCAATGCTAACAAGGAATGTTGGCAACATGAGATGATCAATTCCTCCGGATATGGCCGGAATAAGGAAGGAGATGCATTGAGGTATATTTAGGTTAGGCCAAGGTTTAGGTGTTTGGGCTTAGGCTTAGGCTTAGGCTTCGGCTTAAAGTGATCCATAGGCTTTGATACCGCCTTGTCTCATGCTTGAGACAACAAAAATGCCACACTAACCAAAAAAAAAACACACACAAGCCGGTTGTGAGGGGGAGGGGGAAATGGTGAAGAAGGGCAATTGTGGAAAAGCTGGCTGGCTGGGCCACAGCCCTCGGCCCCGCCTCCCGTTTCATGCCCGCGAAACGCGCTGAACTCGCCCGCCGGGATGGGCCGAAGAGCGGAAAGTTTCTCGGCTTCTCGTGTCGTTGTGTCTGCCCAGGGCAACCATTGGATCACACATCGCCAAGACAATACAAGCCCAGGGCCCCGCCACACCCAATTCTGGAGAGGGGGTAGGACATGGACACCGGCGACTTTCGGCGGATTAGGGTCGTTATGGGGTGAAATTTGGTTAGTCCTGTATTTTTGGAGTTTGGTTGAGGGTTAAGGGAGGAGGCTATTACCCTAAAAACACTGCTGCAAAAGGGGCTAGCCCGAAAAATTAGTGCTTCGCAGACTCATGACCCGTAAAGGTAGCACGCGGAAATAGTTAGAAGTTCAGCATAATTTGCATAGGAAAATCAAGGGAAAATTGAATGTGGTAGAAAAAGCATATTTGCGACGTTTTCGTAGTAATGACTTTTGGCGTAATGCCTTTGCAGGGTTACCATTGTTTGATTTTTTCAATTCTTCAGTCTTTCGACTTCGATTTGTGTGCCCTGACCTTCTTCTGTTTCAGCATAAAGTCAAAAGACTGAAGAATTGAAAAAATCAAACAATGGTAACCCTGCAAAGGCATTACGCCAAAAAGTCATTACTACGAAACGCGAAGCGGCTTTTCAACCCTGGCCCCGTCTGAGCCCATGATATCCTGCACATTGCATAATTCGGCCGAATTTCTATGAGAAATAATGAAAAATCCACCCTCTTCGCCTTTATATAGGCTGCCACCACTTCCGGCTTATGCTAATTAATTCCTAACAAAGAGGCTGCCCGATTTGGTAACAAAAATTGATTTTCAATGTCGAAAATAGCATAATTTGCAAGATCTGATATGCGTGCAGTCATCTCGGCTTCATTACGCACCTAGTGACGTATCATACATAGCCTAATACCCTTCCCCCCTTGAGATATCCTCCGGACACCCTGACGGCAGTTGCATGCAAATGCACACACACACACACAAACACTATTTTTTTTATATATAGTAGGATTACTGAACCTTCATCTAATAATAATATAGATACAGCTAAAGTACCTTGAATTTCTGCAAATGAACTTCTCGAACTTGAGCGAAATTCAGTCTTCCGATAAGTACGAAAAATTTGCGACGCAAACCGTCCGATCCCTCCGACGTCATGTGGAAGATTCTGCACTCTATCATTCCTAGATCGCCACGAAAAAGTTTCAATTTGGCCATCAACAATCCCCGCGCGCGGGCGGATTATGGCCATTCTGTTTCTGAGGGCTGCTATTCTATTCTATGGAAATCCGGGTGCCGCTATTATGGTCTGCAACCCTCACTGGCGTCAGAAGGTAGAACAACAATTGAAATCAACACCTGCTGGGCAAGTTATTTGGAGACAACAAAGCCGTGATACAAAACCCACTCCGTATTCACGAATGTGTACATCTACCATAGTGACGGCAAAATCTTCACGGAAATGCGAAAATCGGAATGTAGTGCTTAGCTTCAGACACAAAATAAGAGGCTTGGCAACGTTTAGAAAGCTACAAAAAGTTTACTTCTAAGATTTTTGCGTTTTATGTCTAGGCTAAGGCCATAAATCGGTTCTCTGGTCTCCGTATGGCTGTGGTCTTTGTAGTCAATGCTGCCGATTGGCGCGCCAATGGTATTACCTCACTCTTAATTGTTCTAATTAGTTTTATAGAGGGTTTATTACGTTCGTATTAGGCAGAAAAAGTTATCCTACAATCGTACATTGTCAAGAAATGAAAATTGATCTACTAGAACTGAAAATGTCCAGAAAAATGTCCAAATCGTTTGTCAAAGTACCGATAGGATACCATATCCAATTTAATGTACTACTTCTAAAAATCGAGAAAAAAAAGGTGTAAAGGTAATCGCGTAAAATTTTTTTTTGCAATATGTTGCTGTAAGTTGTAACCTTTCAAACTAAATAGATTCTATAGGAACGGATGAGGGGGTTTTGATCGAATACTAAGTGAAATTTCAAACCTAAAAGAACACTGCGATAAGAGTACATTCTGGGCGTGGTTTCGACAGCAGATTGCCCAAATTTTGTAGTTTTTAAACAACCTTGTCGTGCCAAAAATATTGGCTCTTTCAGGCATCGTCCCCCATAAAATTGGACGACCACCACAAATCAATGCCATCGACACATTTTCGGGCGTTTGCGTGATTGAATCGCCGCTTCTATGACCGGGTAATAAGGCAGTGGGGTGGAATGTTGTACGGTGATATTGGAATCGGAAGAATGGGCTGGATTTGACCGTAAGAAACACATCCTTGAGAGAAATTGGATAGCGGGAGATTGGTAGGCCATCAAACACGTGTAAAGCGCTTTAAGAAAAGTTAAAATTTTTCTTGAATTTAAGGCCGTTTTTTGATTCCAGGGATGTGACAGAGAAAACTCCACTGAGAAGATCAATTCAGAGGCTGCGCAGTGTCTAGCGCCGAATTTCACCCGGATATCGTGTTTTACAAATTAGCTTTAGCTGCGAGGGGCGACTATTGTTTTTGTGGCGTTGAACACGCATCAAAACACTTCAGAAGTCGGGAACGTTGAGGTTCTCTCAGACAGACGTCGACAGTTAGCCAGTCTCTAAAAGCGTCTAAAATAACCTCTATCGCTTGCTTAATTTATTAATTGACGGATCAAACGATTACTTCATATGCAGTAAAATATCCAAATCGACAACGAGAAGTAAACAATCAAGAAAATCAATGCCAGCTAACGCGCCTGCGTTTCATAGGTTTGCCCAAATTGACCTCGGACACCCGGAAATTCCCAGCCAACTTGTGAAAGATTAATGCGCTCAGAAGGTTAGCGGAGGCGGGCTACTCGGAAATTACCTCTCCCGGCTTCTCCCCCGTTACTTTTCCCAGCAAGGTGCGAATAAACGGAGCGATTGCAAAAATAGCTTGGGGCGTCGGTCAAGATGCGGGGCGAAACCAATCGGGCTAAAAAGTTCATCATCCGATATTTAGGCTTAAGGTTAGTTTAGCTTATGATTAGGCAAGGCTTACGCCTCGGGTTAGGAGGTTTAAGCCGAGGCTGTGACAAACAGCCATTTTTCTCTAGTAAGAGACCGGCCAGATATTCTGCCCATGCCCAGCTTGGCGAAAACAAAACACTCTCGGAAACCAGCTCCCTGATGAGCCGTGATGCCAGTCATTTCCGCTCGTGAGGCTTTTTTGGGCAGTTATTTTTTGCACCACATTTAGCACGGGTTGCTACCCTCATCATAATTGTTGTGATCAGAGAAACTGCCAGAAAATTTCCAGAAAACGACTTTTAAAAAACGGTTTTGTGGCATTCTACCGGCGACTGTAATCGAAGACTAAAGGCCTTACTCCTGAAGCGGAAAAGATGTGATGAAAATTATGAAAAAAATCAAAAAAAAAATAATGAAACTGAAAGGCAAACAACAGCTTTACTGCTGCACCTCCCGTAGTTGCTGATCCATGATGGTGGGGGGTCAGTCGAGCAGTGTCATTCGGGGAACTAGCGTGGATCTGGTGCACTCGAACGGATGCTGATTAGCTTCCGTCAGTTTTATAAACAGTGGACAACGCTGGACAATGAAGGGAGGCAGTGTTGGCCCTAATATTAGTCTGATCGCCTCGTTGTGGGCTAGTATACTACCGTACTAACTGTAAGGTGTTTTTAATTAAGTTGGCCTTTTGTAATGGGACCAGGCCGATTTTGTGCATAATTTTTCGCTTATTCCAAACGCAGTTTCCAAATTGGCTGCAGCCTTTCATTTAAAAAGTCATGCTCAATTTAAGATTTTAAGTTAAAGTTAAATTGAATTTTAAGTCCAACTGATGTTTGCTGTAGTCAGCCAAGCTTGTATTTTGCATCAGTTCCTTCCATTCTCCCTCTTATTCGCCTTCTCCTCTAGCCGGTTGACTGAGTGAGAGACTATGCGAGACTCACGAGCAGGTCTCACACTGTATTATCGTTTTGAGCTGGCATGCGAGCCTGAATGATGTAGAGTCTAAACTTTCATGGAAAGTATCAAGCATTGACTTACGGGAAAAGCAAAAAGTTTCGCCTATATTAGACTTAAAAACATGGCAGGCCTGTCGGGAGCAGCATAATAACTTCCCCTTCTATATATTTTTTTCTCTCTTTCTCGCTCTCTTTGTCTTTCGTTCCGTTCTTCCCTATGCGTATACGATCAACAAAAAGGCCTCACAAATATTTATATTACTTTGTTGCTACAGCCTAACCCACCAATGTAGCGCTTTCCACTACACTACGGTAATATTATTGTAGGCACCATGCCCATCATGCCAAATTTTACCCTTAAACCTCGAGATCAACTACCGTACCCATAAATCCATACCATTTAGGTTTACAGATGTCGGTCGATGTCGGGCTGGACGCCATATACATAAAAATTTGGTCTAGCCGGTATATTTAAATTATTATTACGTTACGTTCCATGCTATATTACTTTTTCGGAAACGAATAATCGACTCGGATCACCGTATCAATTCCACAGTTACAATTATTTTAATACGAATTATCACAGTTTTTGGATACAAATCCCGGCGCCGATTAACGTAGCCCCAAATTTCCGCTTCCAATGTTACAGGTGTCGGCTCATCAATTACAGATAAGAATTTGGACACCGGCTCCTATGATAGGTTTTCGATCGCGATGTGTTAAGTACTACTACAGAATTCTCCATTATTACGTTTTTTTGGAAGCAAATTCTCGTTTTACTTTACCGTACCCTAAAATCCACCCCTTCCATTTTACAGATTTCGGTCAAGCGAATGAGATGCCAGAAAGATGCTGGGGCTAGACGCACCCCCTAAGGGTGGTTCATTAGAGACAAGAAGGGTCCAGCCCCAGCCAGCCAGCCATGGCCCTCTGGGCCCCAGTTGTGGCCCTGCAGAGAGCAGTTCGGTTGACATTTCGGAGGAGGGGGTGAAGGAGGGGGGTTTGAATGGCGGAACGAGGGGGGCAAAAGCGGGGAGGGCAGGGCCGGAGCGCGCTGCGGCCCCCCCCCCTCGACCCCCGGCTGTGGCGATCGATTTGTGGCTGTGTTAGGAGGGGAGGAAAGGGGGTAGAAAGAGGGTAGAAAGAGTGGGCCGAGAGTGTGCATATCCATCGGCCGGGGCTCCCTCGCAGAGTGTATACACCACCACCGCCAGCCAGCCAGCCAGGCCCGCATCCACCACCCGGCTGCCTGCTCCACCAACAGCACCAACAGCACCACCACCAACACCTTTGCTACATCAACAACACCGCCGAGTTATTCTGGGTGTTTCGACTGAGCGGCCGGCGGCACCATGGGTGGGTCTTTTCTCGGGGTTTTCGCGGGTTTTTTTTATCAAATTTTCTTGAGGCCCTAGTTTACGAGCAGTTCGATTATTCTTCAAGCAGGAAAAATTGGGTCAGCTAGTTTCGAACGTTTTGAACACGTCGAAACAACCTGAAAACGATGAGCTGACCGTTCTGGTGTTTATTGAATTTTATTTCGTCAGAATTTGTTGCTGGCCGAGTTTTCCAATCTGTTTGATCATTCTAAGCATCGAAATCGTTTTCTAAACGGCTCGAAGACGCCGAATCTTTTTTGGAAATAGATTTTTATTACTTCCAATTTCCCATAGTTAGTTGATTTCAATCATTTATGTCCAATTTTGTAGTAATTTCACCGGCGTGATTTAGCTTTTCTAGCGCCGAGGTTTTCTTAAGGGTATTTACCCCGATTTAAAACGATATTTACAACGAGTTGAAACGATTTACGAAGTTCGAATTTCATCTTTAGGTACAATGATTTTGCCAGCTTCAAAAAATCGATTCAGTTACGACATGCAATCGTTTCGATCAGTTTTACTAGTGTTTTCCACAGCTTTTTTCGGTAAATACTAAGGAAAAAACGTTGACTGACTCAACGTAACCGGGAATCGATAAATTTTTATGCACGAAATTTCAGGCGACGTGTCAATTGCAAAACGCTAACAATGGTTTTCTACGATTCACGAGTGTTTTTTTCAATTCATAAAAGCAACTGAACCGCCATGTTTTTTTGTTTTTCCCTCGCGCCACCGTGACAAACGGCCGTTCTCGGCGGGGGCTGCCGAAAAACAGCTGATCTTATCTCATTCGGTGTCGTCGTAAAAAGGGATAGGCTCGGAGCTGAAAACGAAAAATGGTAGTAAGGTTACAAGGCCTCGTCAGGGTTCGAAAATCTTTCTTCTGTTCGAAAGTCATCTCTCCAAAAATCATGTTTTTGAAAAGCATGTGTTCGAAACCATAGCGAAAATTTCCTATGAAAAATCATCATTTTCGGTGTGATTTCTAGACGATTTCAGATGCAAATTTTTTGAAATTTTGAACACATTATTTTCGAACAGATGGTTTTGGGGGTCATATGATTTTCGAGCAATATTTTCCTAAATTTTCGAATATGTTGATATATTCCCTTTGTCATTTTCCCTGAACTGTTTGCTAAAACGCAGCAAAAACTATTTGGGAAGTATGACGGGCCGTGGGGTTGCCAATTATCGGTTAGAATCGGGACTGTCAACAGACCGGTTACCGAGGGGATACGGAGTACACAGACTATCCCATATTTCAGCTCGACTCCCAATCCTTTTTTTTCAGGCAAAAAATGCGACGTGTGCAAGAAGAAATGCACGGGTGACATCTTGAAAAGCCAGGACAAGTACTTTCACATTGATTGTTTTGTCTGTCGAGGTGGGTCGAGGCTTCCGGAAGTTGAAAAATCAGAAAATATGTTGTAGCGTTTGGATAAACCGCAAGAAGAGTAAATAAAGTGAATGAGTAAAGTAAATTCACCAAGAAGCTAAAAATATAATAAGATAACAAAAAACGTTTAAAACTGAGGCAACAAGGTCCTTAAAAATCTTCAAAACTAAAAAAAAACTTTTAAAATTTTTAGGCCATTAAATAACTAAAAATTTTGCAATTTAGAACCCTAGCATAGTTAATGATGGGCCAAAATTGCCTAAACGTTGCTAGAAAATTTCATAAATTTCGAATTTTCGAAATGTTGGTTTTGAGGTTTAAGAAATTAGCATAGCAAAATAATGATAAAAATATTTTTAAAAAGTTTCTCTCGAAAAATTAGCTTTCCGAAAATTGATAATTTCAAATTGACTTCAAGAATTTCAAAATCAACAAGATGATAACGCCAATGTGCTAATTTTGCGATATTTGTGCCAAATCGCCATTGCAGATTGTGGACGTCATCTGAATGAAACGGGCTTCTACGTGACCCCAGAAGGGGTGTATCTATGCCCGCAAGACTATCGTGGGGAACAGCTGAAGGCGGCTCAGGGTGTAGATGCGGCACCTGCAGCCATCATCCCAACCCAGAAGCCTACCCAGCGGCCCACTGAACTTGCTCACCAGGGCGCCACTTCGCCACAACGGACCCGGTCACCAGTCAGCCCGCAAAGTAAGTAAAAATGGCTGCGCCGCACTACGTTTCGCCACCTACTACACCTAAATTTCAGCGTGCGCCGCTTGCGATCAATCCCTCCATACCGGCCAGGTTTTGCTTGCGTTGGGCGAGGCGTGGCACGTGTACTGCTTCAAGTGCGCGGAATGCGGAGCTGTCCTTCATGGAGAATACATGAGCCACGAGGGACGGCCACTATGCCTTCGCGATTACAATGAGAAGCACGGGGTTCGGTGCTGCGAATGTCACAAGTTCATTGCCGGAAAGGTTCTACAGGTGAGTATGGGATATGCTTTTTTTATAAGCCTCCGTCTAAAACTAGGCCGAAGCTGAAGTCTAACCTAATTAAACCCGTTTCCAGGCCGGCGGCTACAAATTTCACCCAACATGCGCGAGATGTTCACGCTGCGGTGCGCATTTTGGGGACGGCCAGGAGATGTACATGCAGGTTGGTATCCTCCCTCAATTACGTGACGTAATCAATTCTTAGGGAGACGAAATCTGGCATCCGCACTGCGAGACGTCACGCACGACGGAGAACATTGCTGTAAGTTGATAGTACGCTTTGGAACTATTGGTTTTTAGCCTTCAAAAACGTCTAACCTCACCTCGAAGCGTACCGATCCAAAGTACCAAGCAGCATTCGGACAGCATTTGACCTATACCTACCTTTTGCCTGACGCCGAGGAGACAAACCTGAAGCACCCAATCCCTCCTCATGACCCTCAAGCCCCGCAGTTCCACGTCCCGCAGGGGCCAATCAAGATCCGGAAGTCACGAATGGCCTTGCTAAAGACGGGAATGCAGAGATTGAGTACGTTTTTACGCTAAAATTTTGTAATCGAGGCGGGTATAGATTTTGTAGCTGGACCGTATTAAATAATTCCTTTTTCCAGCCGAGGACATGGTAAAGGATCAACTACCACGCGCCAAATCCCCGCATATGGACAACGAGGAACCGATCGAGTTGGCACACTACCCAGCTGCGCAGGTACATTTTACGGAAAGTGCCTGAAACGTTGATTTAGGTCCCGGATCCTAAAACACTCCCTGCCATCGAGCGTGAAGATTTCCCGGCTCCGCCTTTCCCTTATGCCGTTGAGGAGCTGAGGCGAAGACTTTCGACGTCATCTGTCGAAAATGAGATATCTTCCGATGAAGAGGATGGTGATCATGCTCATGATAACGAGGAGAAGCTGAAGAAAACCGTCAAGGTTCGAGGTTTTAACGGATAGGCCTTTAACAAGCTAAAGTATCTATAGGTCCTGATAAATTTCTGATTTTTAGCAACTCGAGCAATATGAGGATTCTTCCATTGCCGCGGTAATCCGTCAAAATATCGAAGAAAGCCAGAAGAAGCAGAAGCTCCACCTCCACTGGGATCCCCGGAATGCTTCACGTACACCCTCCGCCAAGAAGATGCCACATTTGCGATTCCGATACGATACACCGGTTAATGCATGTAAGTTGCAAATCTGACAGTTTTTGACCTTCAATAATCTTGAAAGTTTGAACCCACAAAATTTGGTTTATTGTCGCAATACTGAAATTTAAAATGCGAAACTTCATAATGCCAAAATTCGTCACAAAATTTGTCAGAACTGAATTATGGCGCTGTATTTACATATTTTTGTAAATTACCAATCTTATCATTACAGCCCCATCCCGTCACTTGAACCGCCCTCAACCGTGGCGAGCATGGCAAGGAACGATGGGTGGCAAGCAGGGAAATACGATGCCCTGTTTCCATGTCCCCGAAAGCCGTTCATCCACACTACGCGCCAATACTCTGCCCACCGGATACTACGGGCATTCGCTTGAGAATCTGGATGTCACAGTTGGTATGTTTTAGCTAATGCTCCACAAAATCCAAGTGTTGCTATGCCTTTAAACAGATGGTAACCAGTTCTATAGGTGTTTCTCCCAAAAAAAGTCATCTAACCCGATGCTTCTCAAGTGTTTCGAAGGGTTTTCTAGGCACTCAAACGTATTGTTTACGGGCTTTTGCTGAAAAATCAACTATCCCCGTAAAACCCTATCGATTTTCCAAATACCGAAAAGTAACGATAAATGACTCGTAAACCATTTCCACGTTTCAGAAGCGGCCCCGATGCGACAGGACTTGGGCGAATCCCGGCCGGGTCTCCGCTCATCACTACCGGACATGAGCAGACCAGTCAAGACATACCCCCTGGCCACGCTACAGACTACAAACAAGAATGTGCCGGAGGAGTGTGACCGCAACCATTTAGAGCGCCATCTGAATCGGGATGAATTCGAGGTGAGCTTCGTTTTTCAATTGAATTAAGGTAAAAGGCGGGGTCCATTGGCTAAGCCGCTATAGATTACGATTGATTAATAAAGTTATCGGACATATAAAAAAGTAATAATCTTAAATTAAGGTGTTTCTGATTCAAGTCAACGTCTTAAATTTTTTTGTCTAGACAGGATGCTGACCCCCATTAAGCAATCTTGATCATTAGGCAAAAAACACTAGGAAAAACGGAATCATTTCTATCCAATTTCCAGGAGGTCTTCGGAATGGCACCCATCGAATTCTACAAGCTGCCCGAGTGGAAGCGGATCAACATGAAGCGCAAGATCAAGCTCTTCTAGACGATTCACACGGATTTCCGCTTGCTTGACTGCCAAGCTTTCCTCCCCTCAAGGGCTGCTGCTCCCAGATACCCCACACAATATGTGCAAAATGTTCTGTCTAGTTCAGGGCGACCCTCGGGCCGGGATTTTACACCGAATACCGATAGCTTGTTATACCCACATACAATTGCACAACTAAACATTCGACATTTATGCCTTTCACCCACCCAACCGCCTACCCGTTTCCATCCCCGAGGGTCGCCCCGCAATTCCGGCTTGACTTTTCGGCCACCAGCCCGGAACTCCCACCCACCGTCCGTTTTATATGTGCTAAGTTATAGGTGTGATTTCTGACGATTGCTATGTTTTCGAATTCCCCCACCCACTTCGACCGAATAAAGCTGCGCGTATGAAAACGGTGGAAAAATCACACTGGACGAAAATATAACATAATTCACATACATTAAATAAGATAAAACTATACGAAATTTCGATATGAAGACGCTCTCTCTTTCTCGCCCTCGCTCGCTTTCTATGTTTCTCTCGATTTGCATCTGTATTGCTCTATCTCTCTCACTCTCTCTCTCTCTCTCTCTCTCTCTCTCTGTCTTTCGCCCTACAAATTTCCCCACATCATCACTGCTAACCTTCCCACAGCCAATGATTTTGTTTTCATCAACTTTTTCTGGATCTCAACGTTAACGAGCCCGTCTTCTTCAATGCAACTTTGCCAGCTGAATGCAATCTCTGACTTCCCAATACCTTTAAGGAAAAACCGAGAGTCCGTTGCTTTCGCCTTTCCCCCCAGCCACCCATAAAGGAATTAGGTCAATAAGCAGCCGTTTCGCTGGTTTCCCTTTCGACCTGTAGCACCGTCTTCACTTCGCGAAAGCTGTGCCCAGCAGCTATGATTTTCTACTTACTATGCTTTGGGCTGTTCGGCCTGGCGTCGACGGGGAATGTGGCTTTATGCAAGAGTCTGACCGATTGTGCTTCATGTAGCGAGGGCTATATTCATGTGTTTGGGTTTAAGGAGAATTGCAGGTAAGGGGGTAATGGATGTAATGGACTTAAGCGTGGGCTTGGGCATAGGCTTAGGCTTAACTTTAGGCTTAGGCTTAGACCGTAAGCATAGAATTAGGCCTAGGTTTACTAGTTAGACTTAATTTTGCGCAAACCATACCCCTCTTTTTCTACATTCCTAGATGGTGCGTGGAGAGTCAATCGTGCGGTGGGCCATTGGCATGCCCTCTCGGCAAGCCCGTTGTTCAGCGGGAGCCCTTCCGATGCCCAGTCAAGGTCCCAAAACGCTTCCCCCTATTCATCCGCAAATTCTTTAGATTCCATCCGCTAAGGGAAAGCGGTACACGGATCGATTGGGGCGGTCGCTATACGCCGTCGCGTTGTCGGTAAAGGATCGGAATGCGACGGAATGTCTGGAGAATGCTAGGCCCGATATTCGGTAGATAATTCGCCGCAAATACCTAACAAACCGATATTCCAGACATATTAAAACATATGAAACCGATTGTGACCAATCTCACAATGTGTGCACCGGGTTGATGGCCGTCTCCGAGGAGGCTAAGGCCATTTACGTCGCCTACAAGGGACACTCCCTTGATAAACAGGTTCTCAAGGCTAATTTGCATCAAAATATTGCTAGTTTTAAGTTATTTACTGAATTTGTCCATTCCCTGGCTGCCCAGCTGGGTGCTTGGGAAAAGTTTGACAACGGCACCGGCGTGATCACCTACTTCCATACGGCATGGACCAAGCTGTTCCACGAGGTTGGGATAGAATGTAAAAGCACGAGACAAACTCTATATAGGAAATGAAGCCCGATCTATTGAAGCTCAAGAAGAAGTTCCCGAACTATCGTGTCTGGATCACCGGCCATTCCCTTGGTGGTTCTCTGGCTTCGATGACAGCTCTCCACCTGGCTGTTAATAAGATTTTTGATCCTTCAAAGGTAATGACAGCCATTTGTCCTTTAATAAAATGTGCTGCAGGTTCGTCTGGTTACCTTCGGAGAGCCCCGTACCGGTAACGTAGCCTTTGCGAAGGCCCTCGAAAATCACATCGACTTCCGGTATCGCGTTGTGAAGCGGAATGACTTTGTATGGGGGTTTTTTGGCGATCAAGCGCCTTTTAGGTGACCAACATTCCAAATACGCTTGATCCCAACGGAATGATGATCACGAACGCCGTTTTTGATCGACAGCCACTTTTCTATCGATTCCTGGTTCATTATGATAACAATATGGATAAGGGAGATAGTTATAAGGTACGATAACTTTTTCTCTTCCTTCTCTCTCTCTCTCGCTCTCTCTCTCTCGCTCTCTTTCTATACTTTCCTCTAGGTCTGTGAAATGTCCGATGATCATGGCTGCCGCAATCTTGCTGTCGCCGCTGATTTCAACGATCACGTCAGCTACTTTGGAATCAAACAAGACGAATTCCTCGAGAAGCGATGTGCCAAAGCCGCCTTGCTCATTTGAATCTGGTGCTCGAAATGCAAAACTAATAAATGTACAGTGAACGCCGAACACTCGTTTCAACGAATTCAATCTGAACAATCAAGCATTTCTGACCCAGGATTGCCTAAATAATAAATACCCCCCCAGAAACGACAACATGGTCCCCAATATCCACTTATTGGGGAGAAAACCCCCATTGAATTGTATCGAAGGACAGTTGCGCAAACCATACCCCCCCTCATTGACCAGCATTTCCGGACGGCGACGACAAAAAAAGTTTGAAAGCTATGTGGCTGGGTGGAAGGTGGTGAATGTTTGGGTAGCTGCTCCCTCAAGCCTTCAAGGGCCCTGGCTGGCGATGGGGCTTCACTTTTGCGCGCGGAGCCATGGTCCGTCTCCCCGTCGCCACCCTGATCCTGCTCCCATTGCTCGCTCACACTGCCGCCGCATTCTGGAACCCATTCTCGTCGGAATTGCGTGGGTTGAATTTCGGATAGAAACCTTGTATTTCGGGCTACGTAAGAGTACTCGGGACGAACGGTTATGAGAAAACATTCTCAAAAGCAAGGATACAGGCGCATTTCGAGATGTGATGCATGAGAGAGAGAGATAGCGAGATAGAGAGAGAAAAACAGTGAGAGCGAGAGAGTTACGCTGCATCTTAGACCAGTTCATTGTATACCCAGTCAATAATGGTGTCGAATTCAGCGCTTTCCTGTCCCTTGAAACTTTGCCGGAAACGCGTATTTTTTTTGGAAAATGCTTCGAGCCTACGCTTATCCGCGTAGCATACGCAACTCGACCGCGGCATCGGGATCCCCTTTAGACCGTGTCAGAATCGTAATAAACAACTATAAATATTTTTAAATGTACATATATGCCCCCATTTCCAGCATGCGCCTCATGTGACAGCCCGATCGTAATAAAGCCACATGGCGCCGTTTCTGGCAACATTACTTTTAAGGTAAGTAACTCCCGGCTTTTTGACTTGATGACCGGATACCTAGGTGGACCTCGACTCCAACGGGTGCATGCAAAACACGCTGACCTGTAGAGCAAATGACTCCGACTCGCCAGCGATCATTGAGGTAAGCTTAGAATTACAACCAACTGAAGCCCAAGCCTAGGCCTAAGCCTAAGCCTAGGCCTAAGCTTAAGTCTAAACCAAGGCCTAAGTCATTATTTTCAGTTCAACCACGGCTCGGGAGGGATTCTTCAGGGATTGGATGAGATCTCCGTTACGCTGCTGTGCAATAAGGACTCGACATGGACCGTAAGACACCTAGTTTTTTTAAATTCTAGATTTTTTCCAGGCAATCGCTCACGAGCAGGCCTTGGATGTGATCAGTCTCAGCTGCGACTCAGCGTAACCGCCAATAATATCATACAACGCAAAAAAAGGATCAGGATGCATTAATAAAGCGGTGCAGTGTTTTTGAATAATTTATATACATCATAATAGAATTATATTACAGTAGGGCACAGTTTTTTTTTGAGATCACAATCGTAGAAACCCGTAGAATTCAGCCCGGAAGTAGTTTTGGCGATGATTAGACCCGAATGGCTTGTAGACTCCTAAATAGAGGGCTGATTATGCTCAGCCGTACCTCACTTAACGCTCAGACCGTACGCAAGGAATGTAGCGTAACTTGGGAATGTAACGTACTTGTAGGTAGCGTCGAGCAACCGCATGTAGGTGTTACACAACAACCCGCTGCCCGTCTTCAACCCGTTGCTGACGTACACTATCGTGGTCCCGGTGTTTGGGTCGACAACAAGTTGTTGGCCGCCGTATCCAGGATGTCCGAATAGATAGGCACCCTATTTTTCTGTTTATTGGAAGATGGAAAGCAACGTACACTTATGAAGGGATGGGGTTCGTAGAAGAACCCGTGGCCTTTCATCACCGGCCAGACGACTGTCTAAAGGTGGAGGTTAACCTCGTATTGTAATGATGGCGAAGCCCAAGCTCAAGCTTAAGCCCAATCCTGAACTAAGTCGAAGCTTGCCTAAGTCTAAACTAAGCTTAAACTTAAGCCTAAGCCTAATCCTAAGCCTAATGAGAAAACGAACCCTTTCGAAATGCCAATCATCGACCGTGGGATGTGCCAGCTGCTCCAACGTGGATTTTGACAACAAAGTTCCATCGATAGCAAGGCTATAAAAATAATCTACTGGAACATTTTGAACAATTTTTGGATAATTTTTAGCCGTAAAGCATATTCTACGGAATTTTGATAGAAATTCACATACCTAAAAAGTCTAGCCAACGCATCAGCGGTCCCAACCCCGGTGACGGCAGGCAAATTAAGCTTCAACACTTCCGGATCGTTGAGTGCGATCTTTTCCTAAAACATGAGAATTTTTTGAGTGTAAATAGTAACGTACGTATTCCATGACAAGCCAACTCGGATTGGACCGAATCTTATCGATGACGCTGTCAAATGGGCGGACAAAAAGAAATGAGAGCATCACCACCATTCGAGGATCCTGAACGGAATCGGGTGTATGGCTTTACTTTTCTTTTATTTACGTATACGATTGCTCTCAAGTATTCCTCCATGCTAGGCTGGGAAATCCTGGCGACATGGTGGGCTTCGCGCGGGGAGTTTCCGATACGGATATTTAGGCCTGAAAAAGCTGAAGTTGAATTTTTTAAGCCGATTCCTACCGTATTTCCGGCCGAGTTCTTCTTGGAAAAATTGTTGAATTCCACGACCGGTCACTTTACGCACGATACCGTCAGCCAGGAATCCAAAAGTTACTGGGTGATATCTGAAACAAACTGGTTTTAAGGTACATTCAAGTGAATTCAAGGTATCACATTCGAAGGTGTAGATTAACATACCCAGTAGCTGTGCCGGGCTCCCATATAGGCTTGGCTTTTTCGAATTTTTCCATCCAAATTTCGGGGTATTCCACGTCTTCCATTGAGATGTCGTCGTCAATGTAGGGTAGTCCGGCCTGGAAAGTTTAGATTAAGAATCTCTCTCTCGCTCTCTCTCTCTCTCTCTCTCTCTCTCGCTGTCTTTCTTTTGCCTTCTAGCTCACCTTATGTGTCAACACATCCTCAATTGTCGTCCTGTTCTTTCCTGCTTGCCCATACTCGGGCCAATATTTTGTGACCAAATCCCCGTACTCCAACATTCCCTTATCGACAAGCATCGCGACGCACAGGGCAGAGATTGCCTAAATACAATGAAGCCGCAAAAAAATTTGGAAATACCTTGGTCATCGAAAAATAAGCAGAGCGAGTGTTGACATTCCAGGTCTTGTTTTCTTTTCGATTTGACAGTCCTCCCCAAAGGTGAACGACTTGTTCTCCTTTATGGTATACAGAAATTGAGGCGCCGTCTCTTTCCAGGCCATATAGGAAGTTTTCTCTAAAATTCGTAGATTATATCGAGCTATTTAAAGTAAGGCAAAAGGATGTTTTAACGGTAATTTAAGGTATCATACGTATCTTAAAGAAGTTTAGTGATACCTACTCATTGTACAGACATATTACTCACGGTAACCACTTAGTTTTTATCCTAAATTTCTCACCTGAACACATCATAAACACCAAGAAAGCTCTCGTTCACAAATCCGTGAACAAGATCACCGTCATCCGGTAGTACACTCAAATATCGTTGCAGTTGAACGAGCAAAAATGGGACGCTGACGACGAGAAGTACGGGCAAAAATCGACGATCTTTTCCCGGCCTCATCTTTTTGCGGCCTTCTTTCCTGCACAAATATGTTTTGGCGTGGGAGTCAATTTGGGGGGAGAAAGAGAAAGTGGGGACCACGTGGGTGAGGACATTCAAAAGGTCGTGTTCGTCGAGTAGCAACGTAAGAGAGGAAACTTTTTATGGCATGGGTGTTCTAAGAAATTTAAGTTGTATTGAAATTGTCGAAAGGTGTTTTGAAAGAGGCGGAGCTAAAAATACCCCCAAACATTTTAAAAATAAGGGTAGACCCCAAAAGTATCCTACAATATAGCAGTATCAATCCGTATGCAATGTGGATGCAATCCAGAAAATGAAAAGGCATAATTAATTTAATACGACGAATGTAAAAAGTGGCGTCTGCTAAATGATTCCATGCTAGTCCTGCCGACTCTATAAATGAAAAATGACAACACCCTGCACAAAATTCTTTTATATCAATCCGTAGGCCCCGAACTGAACGCCCTGATAACCGGGCAGGACAGTACGACCCGAACCCGCCGTACCGAGCCCCCACAGGCAAAGTGCGACCCCGCTTATCTACGGTCTGGAGAGAGAGAGAGAGAAAGAGAGGGACAGCGAAGCACCAGATTGACAGTCAAAATAAGATTATTAAATGTGAGCTATGGAGGGAGGTGTGGCAGCTACAGTTCCTCAGAGTGTCCACAGATCTGCCCTCGAAGCCAGCACACACAGACAGAGCGAAAGCATGTTTTCATCCCGGGGCCTGGGCCGTTTGTTTGGCGCGCCGCGCGCACCCTTCCTCCTCTCTGCTAAGCCAGGAGGAAACCCTATTCCAAGATGTTTCGTAATTTGGGGAACACTAGGATTTCTGGTATAAGCGGAAGAAGATAAAAATTACGGCAAAACGTCGAAATTTAGAAAAAAAAAAATCGGATTTTTAGCATTATGTTTAACCTCGTAGGCAATAAAGTTTTCAATCCGTCTTTGTAGCTTTCAGGGAAATATAATTAGTTTTTTTAAGCTCGAAACATAAGAAAAACTGGGAACTAAAGCGAAAGACGAAAAGGTTTTCAAAATTTTGATTACTTTGGCATTTGCCTAAGAAGTCTAATCCATTACGACTAAAAACACTACTTCGTACATTAGAAAGTATTTCCTCCACTTGAATTAGTCAAAACAAGTAAGGAAGATGAGGAAAACTGCCGTTTCTGAGCACCAATACAGACCATATGCACGCCTGTTTTCGGCCTTCTGCCAAAAATATGAATCATGTTTTGTTTGTGTACTTTTCGGACGTGCACTTTCCGGGCACCACACACACACAAAGACATGCGCCTCGTCTTCCTCATAACGACCGAAAAATAGTGTACCCTGCATAAAAAAAATAGGATCCGGCTCGGGTTTTGAGGGCATGTGACTGGAAAGTCAAGTAAATGATTTGCCCGGTGTGAATCCGGTTCAGATTTCGAAGGACTAGCGCTTGGGCAACCAAAATGGTTATTAAAATCACTAGCCATTCTTTCGCCATGTCTCCCGGTATCTCTCTCTCTCTTTCTTTCTGATTCTCGCACTGTCTCTCCCTTTCTTGCTCTCTCTACCTCTTCGCCACTCATTAAATATAAATATTTATCACATCGTCTCCTTAAGTTAATAATCCTTCCAAACCCGTTGTCCCTTCCCATCTCCCGGCAAACTTCCGCCGTGCTCCCCTTGAATCGTATTTGTCCGCTCAGCCTTTTTCTGAAATAGATATCAGATTTCACTGCCTATTGCACATGACCAAATGTATACAAAAATGGCTACCCGATTTTCACCGCCCTTTTCTTACAGTACGGTCTGACTCAGCACCACGTGTTATCAAATTAAGCTAACTCGAGTGGTACAAAGAGACAAAACATCTATTTTTCGGACGAAAACTATTGAAATAGAGTTGTTATCGTAGCGCTCAGAACCCATGGAACCGCCAGCAGTTTCCGGTTTTGCAAGCCGGGGGTAGACTGGTGGGTTCGGGGAGATCGATCTCCAGGTTTTGTGATTTGGGAAAAAAGATTGTGCTTATCAGAACGTCAGCACTTTTCGCAATACCTGATCGCTGGAGGACAAGAGGGAAGTGATGATGCTGAAGAGTGGGTTTTCTCCACTGGCCAGTGCCGTACATTCCGTTTGTGATCGTATCATCCCTACGCAGCACCCACGCCATAGGATGTGGAATTCACCTAAAACTCTATAGTTTTTTTTGTATTAGGGAGAAACAGAGAGAGCGATAGAGAGAAAGAGAAAGAGATAGAGCGGGAGAGAGAGAGAGGGAGAGAGAGTGCGAGGAGAAAAGGAGAGGGAGTGTGAGTGAGCGAGAAAAAGAGAGAAATATCAAAACTTCATACCATTGTTAATCAAAAAGTTAGTCCCCTCCGGGCACGCCTTAAAATTACAAGGCCGTTTGTCCACATCATGGCAATCCTCTTTTGCGCATTGCTAAAATACACCGAATTTAAGGTTTAGCCCGCAGCCATACCCTCGTTCGCTGCCTGCTACCGCAACCGCCACAAACTTGAGAACATTCCCCGATCCACTCGCTCCACTCACCGCAGTTGCATTCTGATTTTTTTGCGCTCACAGTGGGTTGTTGATTTTTAACTTACCAGCGGCAGTGGCTACTTCAGTTGGCGAGGCTGTAGTGGTAACTACTTTTCGAAGGTTAACCGGGCGTGGAGTAGTAGGAGTCTATGATTCTTGACTAGCCAGAGCGCAGAAATAAAGAAAAACAGTAAAAAAGATATAGAGAGAGATAGAGGGGGAAGAGAAAGAAAGGCAGAGTGTCAGAGAGGAACACAGAGAGCGATAGAGATATGGAGAAAAGCCATTAGTTTCTTTATGCGCAAAACTACTCAATAAACTGACTGTGGTGGTTTCTGGAAGTGTATAAACCGCAGTTGTGCGTCTTGTAGTTGGTGGTGGCCGGGTTGGTGGAGCAGTACGGACTGTCGGACGCCATGGCAAAGTCAGTGTCGTTGGAGGTGTAGGTATATTAACAGGAACGATCGGAGCCGGCGTAGTAGCCAACATTCTCTTTTCCAGGCTCGTTTCCGGAACGTTTTTATCCTAAGCTTCTCCACGCTTTCATTCTGAACTAACCCCAACGGCCCTAGCTTGGACGAACGCTTGAAATCCCTGTGATCCACCGGCAGATCCCTTCATGATCACCAGCATTTCATGAGTTTTCGAGACAAAAGTCCTTCGAGGAGCCACGCTACAACAAAATCTAAACACCAGCTATTTTGAGAGGTTCGAAAACTTGCCTAGCTCCAGTCAACCGGAAGTCGTCTAAAAACTTGATTTCGACGAACGACTTATCGCACGTGTCCTCGCAGTAAAAGTCAAATTTGCCATCAAATTTTAGAGAAAGGGGAGCGCCGTTGACCGATCGGAGGAGCCTAAAGTGATTCCGTCGAGAGTACGTTACAATACCTACCAATAACATTCGGATCCCTTAGGGAAATGCCTTGGGTAATACGGGCTGTTGATGTAGAAGCCTTGTTCCGATACCTAGGAAACACATGGATGTTCGGTTCAGTACGCCACGAACCCAAATGACGCCTCCACACTCTTGATTGCTTGCTCTAACAAAGTCGCAATGGTCTCCGGCCAACCCTTCAGGGCACATACACGTCGAGCAATTGTTCGGATGTGGGTATCCACCGCTAAAACGGAGTAATGAATTTTTCAACTTTTCCTTTACCGATGACACCGAATTGGTGGGCAATTTTTGTAGCAACCATAAGCGAGGTTGATCTGAAAACAAAGCGAGTATTTCTGGGCACTTCAGAGCTTACCGCCTGATAATCGAGAAAGGAGGGGCCGGCTCGTTGGCCGATAGTAGTTTGCTGTGATCTTTCGATCGTTCGGATCGTGGGTACGTATGGATCCGTCGCGAAACCGAATGGACCGTAGTGCATTACGGAGCCTAAACGGTTAGAGATATTCACTTGTAAAGCTCTGCAATCGTTAATGTTAGTGTTCCGGAACGAAGTGAATCTAAAAAAAGCTCAAAACTAGAAATGCACTTTATTTAATACAAATACTACAAATACGCGTTTTCGCCGTTGAAAGTAACGTAACATGGTCCACTTCCTAGCTACACTACGCTCCTTTGTGTTTCGGAACGGAATAAGTCTCCAAAAGCCCAAAATTCTCGACCGCGCGCGTTCTACGCGTTCAGAGGATCGCAACGGAGCCCCACTTTTAGCTACGACGATCCTTTTGACACCTGTAATGTCAATCCGGCCTCATACCTGTATCATACGGTAGTCCATACGTATCCGCCTGCGCATCTCCAACGGCATTAAAATTGTTCCAACGCCCCAGCGGAATGTTATTCCAATTTACACTAATGTGTTGCTCCTGGTCAGGCCGGGCTAAAAACAGGTTAAACTTTCTATACGTCCCACACCTTGCTCATGGAAATTGCCCAACGAATGCCCAATCTCGTGGCTGATAATGCCGACGGCATCACAGCCGGGTGTGGCTATGGAAATGCCCTGGAAAGAGGATGGTGAAGGGGATGCTGATTCCTACCTGCGTTCCGCCGACTTTCCCCACAAACGACGAGCAGCCGCCGCCGTCGAAAAACTCGAGGCGATCGATGTTTGGGCCGTTTTCTTCGAAGCGGATACAGGTGTTACGTTGCCACAGTCGGAGAGCGTCTCTGAAGTGGCAGTGGCCGTGAATTCAAGGGTGTGTAAGTTTCAATCGCCATTTTTGGGACTAATACGTGGGAAATGGCAACAGTTAAAATCCAGATACCCAAAATCCCAAAGGCCAAAAGCCCGACAACTCAAATACCGTCATGTGAAATGCTGCCTAATAGCAGTCACATTGAAAATAGATACAAGAATTTGCCAGGGGTTTGGCTTGAATTTGGGGGTTTTGATGAATGTCGGGTGTTTGGGCTGTCGTATGGCCGGAATTTGACATAGGCTTAGGCTTAGGTTAACATCGCCATACCTTATTTTTGCCCTTGTATCCCTCGGCACATTCTCAGCAAAATCATAGCTGATCGACTTTCCGCGATCCCATAAGTTGTAGAAAGGCGACTTGCCGATCTAGAAAAGCCGTGGCACCAGACTAGTTTCAATACCTTTCGCTTTTCTCTACGGCTACCGGTTCTACGCAGGTGGTTCGTGATGGCGTTGTATTGAGTTAGAGACAGGTCGACATCCCCCTGATTTTTGGGTGATTGAATTCTTTGAAAATTACCTGAAAGTAGTTGCTGACTTCATTGACGCTCAGTTCGTTGTGGCTGGGGTGGGCGCCGGGCTGGCGGCGAACATCAGCAAAGAGTTCAATGCCATCGGATTGTTGTTGGCTGACTTTTCTGAAGCATCAGTGATTTTTAGAGCAATATCCAGTTACGAACCAATCCAGAGAAAAAAATCATGAATAATTTTCAAGCATATAAAATTAATAGCCTTACAGAAATTATCAGAAAACCTACTCAACGGCACTGCCCTCCAAAACTGCTTGAAGTTGATGTAGCTGCTCCGGGCTGACTTTCTGCACTCGAACGGCCGTAACGGAATATAATGTAACGAAATAAAATAGCCTCAAAAGGAGGCATGTGCCGCGAATCCGTAGACGAGTGCCGTGGAGGCTCATGCCTTCAGGCCGCCAATAGATACCGACCGGCTCCATCTCCCCCTCAAAAGCCTCTATCCCTCGAGGCTATGAGTCAGTATCACCCTCTCTCTCTCTCTCCCTTTTCTCTCCACCTTTCCATATGCATCGCGTCGTGTAGTATCCTCTTTGAGGTTGGCGCATTTCGTAGGAGCACAAAGCATTGTTCTCGACCTGTGAGTCAGCGGTTAAAGGTGACTTTGGTTTGAGTGGTTTTTGGGAGAGGAAAATGATTGGAAGCAAATTTAAGAAAAACGTATGACGTTAGTTATGAAGAGTAAGAAAGAAAGTCAAGTTTGGGTACCTAGAAGAACATAAGCAAGTCGAAAACTGTTAAAATTCGACAACGGAAAGTAAAACGATTACGATATTTTAATGCGCGTTGCGTTCGAAAAATATTGAGGAGCGCACTTTATTGATTTTAGGTCCTGCATGAATTATGGCATTTCATTATCTTGTTTTCGCTCCACTCTGAGATTCTTTGGCTAGCAAGATCGTTTTAGAGGTTTAGGCCACAAGTCTTTTCAACACAGTCTTCCATGAGAAAGCTCGCTTCGGTTTTTTTATTATTCATGTAAGAAAAATTTCACCTGAATCGGCGCAATTATCACCTTAACCTGAATTGAAATTTGGAATCATTTATTTCCAGACTTCCTGACCATTTCGGAAGTTTTTGAAGGAGTGACCTTCAAAAAGCGCTGAAATTTAAATCGGCCCGACTGAACCGATTTTTTGGCATTGAATTCAATGGTCCAGCTCTAGACGATTCGAATTTCTCAAAATTTTCGTTCACAAGTCCTCGCCGTATCGATCCAACCACTTCAAACGTCCTCCTGTCCCTCGATGACGCTATTTGTCAAAATTCTCCCCAGGTATCCCGGTTGTTTGTTGTTATGTGCGAAAAGGTAGTGAGGTGTGATCTTGTCGCTCTCTACCTCTCCCTCCCTCACATCTTTCCCTCCTAACTCCTCTTTTTACCCGACAAGAACCGGTCCTTCAGGTCACTGGAAATGCGGAGCTGCGAGGGGAATGCCTGCTGTGGATCGAAGGAGGGGGAGCTGGCACAACACTTTGGCACCGATTCTCAGCACCCCGGCGCTCGTGCTCCCTATACGAGACACACGCGCGCGACCTTCACTCCTCGCCCAGTCCGCGCCTCAACCTCCCCCTTTGCGGGCCGGTCATATCGATAATCGGGCATCAAGTCGCTTTAGCCGCGGGATAATTGTCACGCCATGGAAGCCACTTGGAGGGATGAACAGGTAGGGTTTCCATGGTTTATTACTGCTGGGAGATGGCGGAAAGAGGTCGTTTATCTGGGAATATGGTCCGAAGCCTAAGCCTAAGCATAAAAAATTACGTTTAAAGCGTTCCTAGTATTACCCTGTCGGAAAATCTTTTTTATGGGAATCACCCATCAAAAATGGTGCGAAACGATCATCTTTCGAAAACCTTGTCGTCTAAAATGGTCATTTTCTTTGCAATTTCGTGGCGTTAACCTATGCAAATTTTTCGTGTGAATGAATTTTCAAACAAATGATTCATTTGATCGCAAATTTTCGACCGGAAGATTTTCGAATAGACGATTTCTAGCAAAGATTCTCGAACTGGCTTAAAGGCCCGTAAGGCGAACTACAACTACGCTACGTTCCTATCGACGCCTTAATACTATGCGTTTCGGCGCCATTTTTAATCATTCCCTTTAAAAACACAAAAAACTATTTGAAGCTTCTCATTGTTCTTCCCACTTCATTCCGATCTACCTCGAAACTGGTCCGCCAAGTGTTTTGAACCGAACATCGCCGCAAAAACACGCTGCCGCCCGCTCAACCACCGCCTTCCGACGGAAATTGGTCTAGAATCCGTGGGGAACTCTCCTTTGGAATCGCCCCCAACAGGAAGCGGGCGATCAAGGCGCGTGGGGGCCCAGCTCAACGGAAATTACAAAAATTAGCATTAATCTGGGGACTATATAAGTGGATTCAGAACCCGACCGTTCATGGACTTGGCGACGATTTCTTCACCGAGCAGCGCATCATCGCCGCAATTGTGAGTTCTGTGGTTGGCCGGTTGTAATAGATGCTTTTGTATTCTCGGATGTGGGCCGAAGATTTTTCTTTCAGGCTAGTGCATCGGTGCATAGTGTTTTTCAGAAAATTTAGCTCTATTTTAAGCAGAAAAGCTATGCAAAAACTTAGTCTGAACTCAGCAAACTTTCGGTCAAAATCCCATATTTTTATTATTTTCTTAAGAATTCGTGAAGTTTTGTGCGATTAGTAGTAGTGAAAAACAGCGTAGAACCAGTAGGCCCCATACCATTTGGGGAAAAGGCGCTCGATAATGGAGAAGAACCCTTAATTTCATTGACTAAAATCTAAGGGTTTAAAAAATTCCCTGGTTCTTTAGTGCGCAACAAACAATCCACGTCCTATCCGATCAGAAAAACCTGATTCACCCCCCCCCGAACGATATTTTTTAGGCTGTAATGTCGCCGGTGTTCATTCCGTTCGGAGCCTGCCTCGTGGTCATCGTTCTTTGGTACAATTGCGTAGCGCGACGGATACAGCGGCAGATCGAGAAGGCCGATAAAGTTGGTGATAGATTGTGGTGATAATAATATCATACTAACCGTCTGTTCAACGATCAAAAAATATAAAATTTTACCCACGAAAAATCCGATTCTTCAGCTTAAGAAAGTTCCGTGTATATTTTCGGAGTTTTCAACGGTATACAACCTAATTAAAATTTAAAGAAATTTAAGTTTACCTAAGTAATTCCTCATTTACCGATTAAAGATCTACCGCCCTGTGAAAGCGCGCTACTAACAGCAACCCGCTTATCACACCTGCCTATTAACGGCCGCCACCCGCAAAGTTTGTAGCTTACTAACATTTTCAATTTACGGGAAACGGGCTCTAGATTAAATAGAAGCACATTTAGCAGCGACAGCCCTCATCGCTGCGACTCACCGCCAGTCAGGACACACTACAGGATCCACCACCCACCATTCGAATCGACCAATGACCAAATATATTGTCTTGTAAATATATCGAAAATACCAGATAAATTGTGCGCTAGTGAAGAGCGTTGAATTGATATATGAAGACTAAGCGTAAGTCTAACTAGGGAAGTGCAAATAAAACCCCCGCAAACCCGTTGAAAAAAAAATGGGTTTTGGGGGGTCGGGGGCGGGGGGATCTAAACCCCCAGAAGGGATTTACCATACGCTTGGAAAAAGATAGTTTTTTTTGTTTTTTTTTTTTTTTCTTTTTTTCTCCCCCCCCCCGGGGCCCCCCCCGGGCGGGGGGCCGGCCGTGGGGGGGGGGGGGGTTTTGGGTAGGGGCCCTGGGGCCGGGGGTTCTTTTTTTTGTCCTCCTCTTGTTTTTTGGTGTGGTTTTTGGATTTAAAATTTTTAAATTTTTTGGTTTTTTAAAATATTTATTAATAATATTTTTTTTTTTTTTTTTTTTTTTTTTGTTTTGTTTTTTAAATGATGTAATTAAAGGGGGAGTGGGTTTTTTTTTTTCTTCTCTTTTCAACAGCCGGTCCCCTCCTGCCACCCATTTGAGTGGGTTAAGGTGAAGAAAAAGAAGGAAGAGGACCATTTTTGATTTGGAAATTTGTTGGGGTTTAAGATTTTGGAATTGGCAAAGGGAAAAAGGGGGGTTGACCCGGGGCCTTGGCCCCCGGGGCCCGGCCCCCGGGCAGGCCGCCCCCCCCCCCGCCCCCCCCCCTCGGGGGGGGGGGGGTTTTGGGGGGGGGGGGGGGGAGGGGGGGAGGTTAAATATATAAATTTTTTATTTGTTGTTTTTGTGTTTTGTTTGTGGTTTTTGGGTCCGTTTTCGATTCCCATTCAACCTCCTTTTTTCCCAATTGGTTTTTTTTTTTTTTGTGTGTTTTTTTTTTTTTTTGCCCTAGTTGAAGCCAACGCCTAAGCCTACACAACAGCATAAGCTTAAGCCTAAACCTAAGCGTGGACTTAGCCTACGTCTCAGCATAAGCCTAAGCCCGAAGCTTAAGCTCAAGCCAAGCCTAGGATACCTAAGCCTAGGCCTATGGCTAAGCCTAAGCCTAAGCGAAGCCTAAATGAAGCCCAAATGAAGCCTATGTGAAAAGCCTAGCCTAACAAGGAGGGCCTTTTGGGTGTCATCAAGCCTAGGGCATATCCCGAATTTCATTAATGTGCGTACGACTCTGCTAGTTTCCTATCAACGTAACAGACCCCACGATTTACTTTCAATTTGAAACAGCAGCGATCAGCCCACCACCCGCCCCCCTCCATTCCCTGTCGTAATCAGTTATAGATTTTTTGTGTGTGAGGGTAAGATCAGAGAAACGGCAAGCTACTCTCGGATAAGCGCGTGTTGCCCCGGTGTGTACCCCCAATTCTTCTCTTTTGGCCTGGGCAGCAGCCAGCCCATCTCCCGCCGCCAACTCTCTTTTTGTGTATTTTGGAGGCTGCTCCCGCAACCCGTAAACAACCTATACCCTCAAGATTTGGGGGTAATGTCGTAACCATCGGCCTTACTTTTGGCCTACTTCTTGCCCGTGACCGTGGCATTGATTTTGACTAGCCGCTTATGTTCTAAATTTTATATGTTTTTTTTTCACTGGATTTCATGATCATTTATAGTTTTAACATTTTCAGACCAGATCCAAACAGAGAAATGCTAATACTTTTACCTATATTTTTCCCGCTTGTCGCTTTATTACTAGCTGTCGTCATCGTACTGGCAATATTCGGCAAATCGTTGGGAATTCGAGAGTGGTATGTCGATGTTCTGACGAGGATATTTGAGGTGAGACCCCGGCAATTTTCGGATTTGCCTCAAGTCTTTTCTCTCTCTCTCTTTCTCTCTCTATGGTAAAATTTTTCAGTTATTTTCAAGAATACTTTATACTCCAAACTAAATTAATTAATTCCAGATTTAATTCAATAATAAAAAAGTAACGTTTGAAAACACGGTTTAGTGGGGCTCGGCTATCGAAGCCTATGAAGCACCCGCTGAAGTGGACGAAGAAGAACCAGGAACGGGACGAAGGAAATTGAGACGATCCTCGAGTAGCGATATCGGTAAGCTAATACCGAAACCAACTAAAAACGCCTCCGCAGGTATCATTGTGCGTGAAAAATCGACAGTTGTCGAGTCAAAGCTCGATGGCAACGAACCGGAGGAAAATCAGCAAAAGACTGTTCGAGTGATCGTCAACGATAGTCTCGATTTTGCAACAGTAATCTAAATAAGCTTTCGATACAGTGTTGCTTATTAGGCAGGGATGGAGGCGATTATTGAAGATCAAGTTACCAGCCGATTTAAGGCCGAGGAATTGTCATCTTGGAATTTATTGACTAGGACCCGGTTTTCCTTTCATCACATCAGGTTGGTATATCGATAAATTACGATCGAAATTTTGAATTAAAAGGTTCGAGGGCTTTTTTAGCTACATCCCACAATATACTAATTTTTAGCTGGAAGCTATCCGCACTCTGGGTGGGCGGCTTCTTCCTGCGCTACTTCATCCTCGTCCCACTTCGAGTTGTCATTTTTGCGGTTGGCTTTTCGATGATGGCCGGATCGTGCTTTATCATTGGCATGATTCCGCATAAAAAGTATGGTTTTTAAGAAATCTAAAACCGTCATAGGATCCGAAAATTCGCCTACAAACACGCGATGCTGATGTCACAACGGATCGTGGCGAGGAGTTTCTCATCGATCATTCGATTCCACAATCAGTAAGTATTAAAAAATGGATTGCTTGAAAGTTTTTTTGGATCGAAAGAAAATTCAGCGAGATTTTAATATGCATCAATTTATTTTTTTGTAGAGAAAACCGAGCGAATCAGGGTGGAATCTGCGTAGCCAACCATACTTCCCCAATTGACGTCCTGATACTAAGTACGGACAACTGTTACGCTATGATTGGGCAGAAACAGGGAGGAATTTTAGGTAAGGAATCCCTAATACCTTAATAAATTTTAATAGTAACCAATATTACTAACTTTTGTAGGTTTCATGCAAACGGCCCTTAGTAAAGCGGAGCACCACATTTGGTTTGAGAGAAGCGAGGCCGGGGATAGGAAAAAAGTTACTGATCGGTAAGTAACTAATATAACATTAATGCCTGTCCATTTAGACTACGCGCACACACTAATGACCCGTCAAAGTTACCGATTATCATCTTCCCAGAGGGTACCTGTATAAATAATACAAGTGTGATGATGTTTAAGAAAGGATCTTTCGAGGTAAGAATTTGATAAGGCATGCAACAATTAAAACGTTACCAGATTGGCTCTACAATCTATCCGATTGCTATGAAATACGATAGCCGACTGACGGACGCGTTTTGGAACTCGTCGGAACAGTCTTATGGCGAGGTAAATGGGCTTATTCCTTGTCAATTTCAAATGTCTAGTATCTCTGGAGAATGATGACTTCGTGGGCTATTATTTGTGACGTATGGTATCTACCAAAAATGACTCGAAAGGTATATAACTGTTGAACAAGTTTTATTACGTAAATTCCCCAGGATGACGAGGACGCGATCGCCTTTTCTCGTCGTGTAAAACGAGCAATTGCCCACAAGGGAGGATTAGTGGATTTGGAGTGGGATGGAATGTTGAAAAGGGAGAGGGTACGGGAGTTACGGTCTCACTAGCCGACGCATTAATAGGTATCCTCAAAGCTCGTGCAAATGTACCAAAAACGATACTTTGATCGGCTGCAGCGGACAACGTCTATTGGCCAGATTACGGAAAATGAGAGTGAAGCATTGGAAGTGATGCAGGTATTCGAATCATACCGTTTTCATCAGCTAAATGGCTTAGAATCTAAATGACGAGGAGCGCGAATTATTACTAAAGGAGCTTGACGATTCGATGGATGAGGCGACGCTTATTAAAAAGGTGGTTTTTGACTTCGACTTACGCTTATTTTTGTCCTTAATATCTTGCTCATACCTTAATTTTTAGGTCAGCGAATACGGGCCAATCATCAGAAAACGACTTCAAAGCTCCGCGGGGAGCAGTCAAAGCCAGAGCTCCTAACCCGCAAGCCCGAAATTAGACTAGAACAGGCTCACGATTTTCGATGATATTATGGGTACATTTGATGGCAAATAAATATACGATTTTTAATGTTTAGCACACCGTAAATAGCACATTTTTGTTGCCACACGGCTTTGGGGTGAGGCGCCGATATGGGGGGCGCGATATCGCGCACCCTCTACCGTACCCTGCCTTCTGGCAAGATGCCAGCCCCCGATTACGCATACAAAGGGGATGGCATGGATGGGGGTATTTCCTAATACGGAACTGGGTTGAATTTCGCTTTCTGTTTAGGGCTTGACATATATTTAAGGTTCAAATTTTAGCGATGAGCTCAACACTGCAAAGAATTGAACCCCGGCCCCAACCGGACAATGGGATGCGCAGAGTTGGTAGGTATAGTGAGAGTATTCTCATTAATTGCCACCAACGAAAATTATAATGCCAAAATTTACATTGACGAAAAATACTACTGATCATTTGACGGAAATTTCACGCTATCGAACTTTCATTTGTCGAAAAACAGAATATTCCAAAATCCATCGTAGCCACATAGACAAATGGTCAAATGATTTTTTTGGTCACTAACAGGCTGTTAATGACCAAAAACTCATTACAACCCCCGGTAATTTTGAAAAATTGAATCTTCGGCAAAACGAAATATCGAAGGCTTTCGACAAGTTAATTTTCGCAAAAATTAAATTTCGAAAAGTTAATTGCGGCGTTCTAATTTTTGGTACGATTAAAATAAGTCGACTACCATCCCAAACATCTTAACAGCTATTTTTATAACCTAAATTGCTATTTTTCAGTACCCGTCAAAATCCTGCCTCGCCAAAGTATGGTCCCATCTTCCTACCTACCACCTGTCATCTTCCGCAGTGCTTCTAGCCCCTCAGTTGGTCAGTGGAGTGATCGGGAATCTTTCAAAAACGGCCAGAGCCATAAATTTTGCATTTTTGCAGCAGCCGTCCCGGCGAGGAGGCCCCAAAATGATGGATCGTCCACCATTTTTACCCATCAACGGGGAGCCGGACATCAGCTGTCATTACAGGTACACATAGCATATTAGCAGAATGAGGGAATATTGTGATGTTTTAGAGGATTGATACAAACGCACAGCCGACGTTGCGTAATCTGCTGAGAGTTCAGATCCCGCCGCAAAATGCTCGGAGTCAATGTGAGTTTAGATGGCGAATCGAGGGGCTAAAGCCTAAGCGAAGCGGGGGGCGGGGCATTTCATGAATTTGCCGAGAATCTAAATTTTCCTCGCTTTCAAGTAAACATGCCTTAAATTACGCTAGTTAGCTCGATATTGCCAGGTTAGAGCTTTCACTAGATTACCGTACCCTACACAAGCTTCCAAATTCCCCGTTCTACCGTAATCCAGCTCAGAATTCCTCGACGACTTCACAGTCTACGCAACCATAATCGGGTTACTTAAATTGGCCCATGTTTCGTAGTGTCGAAATTACGTAATGCCTAAATTGTTCAAATTGACGTAAAGACAACTCCCGAGAGCAACTCCGAATCTTAGTAACAAAGTAATGTCGACATTCTGAATTTCGATATCATGAGGGCAATTTGGCATGACGTTTTTGCATAAACCAAGTTTTCTAAACTACTGAATCCTGCTCTAAAGTCCCCCAGACACCAAATTATCAGCCAGACGTCTGTGTTTTCTTGAACTGTGCTCTTGTTGTTTACCCGGAGAAGCAGCTCATTGGAGCAGACTTTAGTGTGAACTTGGGTCGCCCCGGTTCAGTTTGTTTTCGAAGTGAAAACTATCCGGAACGTGCATTCCACAGCCGGGCGGCCAAAGGAGGGCGCCAATTGTTGCGCCCGGGGGCTTTTTGATGTGCTTCTTCTCCCAAGTGGATGGCCATTAGGTGTGTTTGTGCCCCCCTTCAGGTGGGTGCTTGTTTCGTGGCTAGTGTTGTCTCGTAGCCCTTTCCCCCAGTCCAGTCCATTTTTCCACCTCGAAATTAGGTGGCTGGGTGCGCTCTGCCGGGGCGTCATGTGCCGCGTTGGTTCGGGGGGTCCCGGGGATTTGGCTCAAGCACACACACAAAAGAGTGTTTCTTACCCTTCAATTGAAAGCAGATGCCGAGCAACAACCTTTGGGGAGTCCGATGCGAGCACGAGCTTTTCGGAGCTGCTGCTTTTTGTTTCGAAAGGCTACGTGATCGAGTTGTCTCTCGCAATATTTCGTGATTTAGCAGACAGCGCACTTCTTGGACTTGTCGTTCCATTTCGCCCTAGAAACAACTTTAGATTTTTAGGCCTCATTCAAATCTGACTTTTGCTGATTAATAAGTTTTGTTTTGACGCTTTTTAGAGTATTTCTTCGCGTAGAAAGGGTAGGTGCTCAAATATTCTCGTGCAAGTATCCGAATTCTCAAAATCGTAATCGTAACCTGGTTGAACTGCTTGGACTCCTTGCTCAATCACCACAAACCTCAAAACAGTTTGAATTTTAATGACCATTTCGCTGTCTAGCCACATTAATTTTTCATGATCAAAAGTGTTCCGAAGCACAAGCCCGCAGACTTTTATAGTTCCAAATCCTAAGGCGAGAAGGGTACAGTACCCCTTCGAATTTTTACCATTTTCCAACTCAACAACACCTTCACTTCAAAAACTGCTCTCTAAACCATGCTTTGACATCATTTTCGCAAACAACAAGCATTTCGGTAGCAACGAAGAGTTGTCGTGTTGAGTAAGTAAGGCGATGGTGGGGGGTGGGGGAGACTCTCAAGATGCCGAGTTCCAGCTAACACACGTGATGACGACCATTCCCTCGGCACATCCCTCTTTTCTTTCTTTATGACTCCGAGTCCGGGTGGGCCAGCATTTCCCCCTGCCAGATTTCGTTTTTCCCGTCAAATTGCAGGGGTTCGGGCTTGCTCTGGGTGTTCAAAAAATTTTGGGGTTTGGATTTTTGATCCCGTTTTCTTTCAGCTTGCAATTTTTTTTTTGAAATTTAGCTTGGATGAGGTTTAGGCTAAGAGTTTGGTCTCGTTTAGGCTTTGGCTTATGGTTAGACTTAGGCGTAACTTCGGCTTATCTTCGGCTTAGCTTAGGCTTAGCTTCGGCTTACACGCTTAAGCTTAGTCTCCAGCTCGGACCTTCAGGCTTAGGCTTAGGCTTGGCCTAGACTAGACTTAGGTTTTATACTTAGATTTCGGTTTATTGCTTCGGCTCCGGCTGAAACTTCGACTTACTACTCGTACTTACTCGGCTTACTTGTTAGTTTCGACTTAGCTTAGCCTTTGCTTAGTTAGTCTTCAGCCTAGGCTCAGGTTTGGCTTACGTTTGGGTTTCGGTTTATATTACGGAGCAACAAAAGCCATTTTTCTTGCTAAAAGTCAAGCGTATTTCTTCCATTTCACATTTGACATTACCATTTTCTAAAACGTGCCCCTTCCGATTCTTGATGGGATGGGAAAAGCCCCGACCTCTGTGGGGAAGCCCATCTATATTTACCCGTGAACGGGCCGTGGATGAGCCAGTAGTGATCTGTTGGATTGATCGAGTATTGGCTGGGGTCTAGGGATTGTTGGTGATGGTAGTTGTGGAAAATGCGGGCAGTGGAAGTGGTGGTGGGGGCATCCAGTCCTGTGCCCTGCCACCAGTCGAGAGCTATGTGTGGCCCTCTAAGCGAAAGGCCCACTTGGGGCCCTCGAAACCTGCAACTTCTTCGGATCTCCTGTCGCCCCTCATCCCCCTTCCGTACGCTTTACCTTCGTTTTTTCGTCTCTTTGCGACCCCCGGCGAGTAGCAGTACGATCTTTGAACCATGAGTTGGATTTTTTGGATTTATGCAGAGCAGGGGCGTTTGGATCTAAGAATGAGGAGGAGTCTAAAATTGTTTAGATTACTAATTTTTCTAAAAATTAAACAAATTTTAGGCCCAAGTTTAGTCTAGTCCAAGGCCTAAGCCCAAGTTCAAGTCAAAGCCTAAGCTGATCTCAAGTGAAAGCCCAGGCCCAAACCTAAGCCTGAGCTTAGCTTAAGTCGTATCTTAAGTTAGGTCGAATTCAAAGCCTAAGCCAAAGCCTAAAAATATTTTTGTGCCTAGGGCTAGGCTAATGCGTCAACCTAAACTGGCCTTAATTCGAAGCCGAAGCCTAATCATCTAATGACTCTGCCTACGCTTAAGCGTAGCTCTGGTTCGACTCACCCCCGTAGGTCTCCCCAAGCCAAGCTTAAGTCAAAGCGAAGCCCAGGCGTAATTTAGCTTTATATTGACTCGGATTTTTATGGAATACCCTGCTTCGAAATTACTTCAGAGTAATATCCCCCGAGCTGCGTAAGTAAGATAATGGCCATGTACTGATCGTTGACCTCCATCACTCACTCCCTCCCCCTTTCCTTAGGCGTCAAGCCGTGCAACCTCCCAGCTTCCGGGCCCGAGTAATAATGGTCATCAATTACTTGGCCAACCTCTTTTCCTCCATGAAACAGATCCCCCTACCCGCTTTTTTCACCTCCTCCCTTCCGGCCTCCCATCCCAGTCAGGACAGCCCCTTTTCTTTTCGGCAGGCCGAGCAGTGAACAACTGACGCCTGTTTATGCAGAATCAAGTAGAGAGGAAGGGAGCTCCCTGAAAAGCGTCTCACTTGTATCTGCGTCTTCAGCCGCCCTATGCATTCCTTTACCGTCCGCTAGACGATTGTTTTTAAAGAGTTTCTGAAAATCTAAACATTTTGTTTCATTATCGATGGTACCCGTTAGAGTCGTTGTCTCTCAAGCATAGGATGGCGGGTTCGATTCCTGGCGCGGAAGTTGCTGGAATTTTAGCTTTTCGACTTAAATTATGGGTTTAAGAGAGTTTGGAAGGGACTAGGACGTGTTAAAATTGATTTTTCTTTAACTGAATGCCAACAGCTCGATTGATTAATAATTTTTGAAGGCCTTGAATTCAATTTTCGCCATAGGACAGCGAATTTTTTCAGGGAATCAGCGGGTAAAGCATGGATTTTAACGCTTCACGTTTCCTTGAAAATAATAAATCACCCTCCAGAAGCATTAAAATCTTGAAGTTGTTTTAAATAGGATACTCCAGGTAAATCTTCGAGCCCTCTGCGAATTTACGCCGCAACTCGAAGCTACCGGCTTTCCGCGCCCCTTAACTCAGCCACTCATCCCCTAAATACCTCGGCAATTCGCCAAAAATCTATTCCAAGCCCATTCTCCCTCCACTCCACACTAAATTCCGAATTTATGGGTTCGGTGCATGTGCTCGACGGCCATCCCAGCGAGGGCTCTGCAAAAAAGGCTGGACGCGTTTTGGCCAGAGTTGTAATGCCTCCGGGATTCCTCGACTGGCTGCCTGCTGGGTCTGGCCTGCCCGAGGACTACCCTCAAGCTTTTGCTTCTCCCCAAATTTTGCATTCGTAATTGCAGAGGATAAATTGCGTTTATTACCGTATTTGCTAGTGAATTATATGCAACAGTAATTTAGTATTCTTTAATCGCGAAAACCTTCAAAATACCGACAGCTAAAATCCCGGCAATCAAAATCCCGGAAGTCAAAATGCCGCCAGATTCTGGACATGCCGTTTTTTCAAACAGTAGTTTCGGATGCCGGTATTTTGCCCTGTCGGGGTTTTGGCTGTCGGGATTGTCCTTATCGGGATCTGGGCTATAGGTATTTCGGCTGTTGGTATTTTGGCTTTGCGATTGGCTGTCGAGATTTTGACGCTTTCCCGGCCAGAATTTTCTTAACCCAATAAGACACCCGGCGCAAAAAAAACCAGTAACCGGAAGTGATCAAATTTTCCTGTAGGCTTTTCGAGGCTTTTGAACCTTGAGTTTTTCAAAAATCCTTTTTCGAAACACCTCAGAAAAGCCGCAAAATGTCCTCTGTAAAGAAGGCGATCTTCGGCGTCTAGCGGACTTAGCATATGGTCGCCATTGCCCACAACGATTTCATGAATACCACGAAATGCCCCGAGAGAGCTCGGCCTCGGCTTCTCCCTCGCTCCCGTCACCTTTTTACACTTTCGCACATTGATTTTGTAGGGGTTTTGCGTCATTTTAGGCTATATATGGATTTGCCTGAAAATTTAGGTTGCTTTTTATGGTTTTCGCCTCGTTTATAATCACCTAGAGGATTTTTTTTAAAAGATTCCCATTATTCGGTACAGATGAAACGAACAATTTTTGCAGAAAAGGTGAAAATTGGCAACGCAACGCCCGGAAATGCATAAAAAAGTGGAATTACTTCTTTTCGTATGCACGAAACAATTTTGGAAAATGTTTTAGAGACTTCTCAACGTAGAGATTGTTTTGATAAGCTTTCTTTTGTCAAGAACTGTGAAATTCTGTACGCTGCTTACAAAATTCCGCATCAAATTAACTTTTTCCTATTAAGATCTTTTTCCTACTTAAATCCTATTAAGATATATCTAATCAAACTTACATCACAATTTTTCAGCGTCGTCGTTCGGGCCCTCGTCAGGCCCTCCCACGTCGTCGTCGTTCTCACTGGGCCCCTCCCATCGTGTTTCCGCATCGATCGGATTCCGCCGGGATATCCTGCGCCGGAAGATCGAGCAGAGGCCCTCGAAGCATCGGCTCGCCAATCAGCATATTTTGCTTTCTGGTGGGCACTTCTTTTTTCGAAAATAGATTTTTTAAAGTGACAATTTTAAAATCAGAATTTCGACAGATTCACCTTGATGTTTCTATAACGGGGCACACCTAATTACGTATGCGAGCCTCTTTTTCAATTTTTTTTCTGTGTAAATAGTGGCTTCCGGTAGATGTCGTTATTTCCGGATACTGAGTCGATACCAGAAAAGGGCGCTTTAAGGCTTTAAGGCAAAATCCAATTTACACAACGTAATAGAAAAATATAATGCCCAAATGCTAGTCCTGTGCTTTGCTTGATAGCCGTGAGCCAACGAAAACAGCTATAAAAACCTGCAAGCCGAAACCCGAGCGCCCAATTGCCCACTGCCCTGCCAGAAGCCGGCCTTGTTGATTGACCTCCTGTCGAACTTCCTGTACCCCCCAAAAAAACAGTGGCCAAGATCAATGCAGTAGCAGCATATCGGCCCCAACCGGCCGCCGTCGCTTCAAGATTTACACACCGCCGCTTTGGGGGGACCTCCACCAAAAACCTTGATGAGTGGAGCGCCGCCCGGGAGGCAGACCTCACACCGACCCGAAAATGCTAGCCGAAACACACTGGATAGGGGGGACGCGACACCAGGCATTTCCGAGTCCGTCACACACGCCGAAAAGACCCCCCCCTTCCCCCCAACAACTGCGCTTTTTCAAGGCGGGTGACAAGTGGGGCATGCTGATGATCAGAGATTATGCTAATAGGGCCAAAAAGGAGCGGAGGGGCAACTGGTTACGATATCTAGCTAGGCAAGTGGAAGCTTAGGTATATGCCGAAGCCCCAGCTTAAGTTAGATCTAAGCCCAAGCCCAAGCCTAAGTTGAGCCTAAGCGAAGTCACAAACTATGCCGAAGCCTAAGCCCTAGGCTAAGCTTAAGCCTAACCCCGTTTTTCAGCATCCAGTGCCGGCCCACTGGTGCAACAGAAGGCGCATCAGCTGCGCAAGTGCGGCATCGTCTCCAACCTCAACACCAAGCTGCAACAACGGCCCGGCCCGCTCGAACTCGTCAACAAACGCATCTTACCTGCTGATGACGTACTAGTGCAAGCGATTCAAGGTGCGCCAAGCTGATCATCGTTTTAACTGTCTTTTCCAGACGGCCGGCTCCACTTCAAGCCGACGTTACCTCAACCGCATTCCGCCCCGGCCCCGCAATTCCAGTTTAACCCGATTAATCCAGGTAACGATTGCCCGAATTTTTAAGTTAGTTCTTTATTTTAGACATGGAAGTAGTAACTTTGTCACATCCACCGGCCTCTCCTTCAATATCCAAAATGGCTATCGTCAAGAGCAAGAAGGTTAGAATTAGGAAACGATAATCATCACATGACTTTCCAGAAACCCACCACCCCATACCAGAGCCCAAATGACCAAAGACCGAAGGGAAAATTGGCCAAGGATCAACTTACCGTAAGCCCATCGTCTTCAAGCAGCTCAGCCCCTACTTTAGAACCCAGAGGAGGACAACTACCAGCTTCTGCTTGAGCAACAACAAATATTCCTCGAGTGGCAAGAGACCGGGGAGACGGAGCACGAGAAGATGATCATGGCCAACTCCCAGCATGATGCTCACTATTTCCAGGAATCTGAAGTTGAGGTGCAGCCGGCTGAGCTGCAGCCCGAGCCTCAGATGGTAAGTGATATTGAACTGTCCGCAAAAATCCTATTTACAGCCCGAAACCATGTCCACGCTGACCGTGCCGACACCGGGTTTCCTGAACTTCCCCCCGAAGACGTTATCGGATTTGAAGGTTCAGGATCTGAAGAATGAATGTAAAAAGCGAAACTTACCGGTATCAGGTGGGCTTTGAGGTTTTATTTTTTATACATAAATTTAGGTCCGAAACCACAGCTGGTCGAACGCCTTCGCCCTTACGAGCAAACCATCATCACCAGCGTGGTCAGCAGTCTGGGCACTGGGCCATCAACACCACCGGTCTCTCCGAAAAATGGGGTGGGTTATAGATAGTTTTTAGCTTACGTAGGGGGTGCTTAGGTGGTGACATGGATATTTTTCAGGAGGGAAAGCCGCACACGACAGGCAAACCCAAGGAGACGATACACGAATTCCTACAGAACAACGCGCCTTCATTATGCCATGTCACACAACAGCGACCTCAGCAGCTATTTACGAACGTGCAGAAGACATCGGCTCCGGCGCCACCACCTCCCCAAGTCGTTCAGGTGAGAAGGGGTTTGTCATGGAACGGCTTCGTACTGCTTGAACTTGATGCATCTCAAAATTTCAAGAAATACCGCTCTCGGTTTGCTATGTTCAGCGAGAGGCAAAATTTGGCTCTAGAACCCTTTTGACCTGGTTGAAGATGACGATCAAGCGCGAAAAATTAGCGCAAGGTTTGATGGATTCCGCTAATCATATGCTATCGATATGTGACACATTCCTGGGCATTCCTCATAATCCACCGGATCCATGTGCCCGCGCGTCAAAGGAGACTCCCAGAGGGGTGAAAAAGCAGTTGTTGTTTCCTGGGGCTGCCCGCTTATTTCTCAATTTCGCCTACTCCTTGACGGCAAACGACAGCTGACGCTGCTCGCATCCCGGTAGCATCCCCGGCAAGGATCCGAGGAGGACGGCTAGTCGCTTCCTTAGAATTTGGGACAAAAACAATAGATGAGGCAAAGATCACAGGTCGACGGGAATTGGCTTAACTTGGGGGGGGGGGGGGGGAGGGAGGGGGAGTAAATTAATTTAAAGAGTTATTGTCGAAATTCGAGTTTAAGAAATTATTTCGTCGGAAATCGTTTCTCAAAACGTTCCTTTTCTCAAAAATTCACTTTGTCCAATTTCATTTTGCCGAATTGCAAATTTTCGACAAATAAAACTTCGACAAAATGAATTTTCGACGGGACAGACTTTCGAAAAATGATTTTCGACATTCCAAGAGAAAACGGAATTTCTAAAAATTGAATTTGTACGTACTGATACATCCAAATCAAATCAAACCAAATCGAATTCGAGGTATCCACCCATTACTTTTCAGCTTGTCGACCAACACGGCAACGTCTTCGGCGTGGCCAATGTGGTTGGAGGTGGTCGAAACGGGCAACCAGTCCAACTTGGCCCAGTCCAAGCCCATTCAAACACCCCCGTCAACCTTCATGTCCAGTCGACGTCGAGCTATAACGCGTAAGTGATCGGCTACAGCCATTCCCTAACGCCACCTCATTACAGACCGACGCCACCACAGACACAAGGGGGACAGATGCTGCCCTCATTGCATGAGATCAATGGCGAAAAAGCCCATCAGCCGACATTCCGTTTCGCACAGATGGGATCCGGGGGCCAGGTCTGTCTTTCCGGATCAATGCACGCGAAATTGTAGCAATTGGGGAATTGGGGTTTCTGCTTAGGCTTAGTTACAAGCTTAATCTTCAGCTTAGCCTTACGCTTAAGCCTAGTTTTAAGCTTCGGAAAGGCTTAGCTTTGAAATCAGGCTTAGGCTTAGGTTAGGGTTGAGCGTAGGCTTAGTTTCAAGCTTAGGCTCCGGCTTCGTATTACGCTTTTTCTTAGGCGTAGGCCTAGATGTGGGCTTACGAATAGGCTCAGGCTTAGGTTTGAGAGACTTAACTTAAGCTTTTCTGGGCCTAGCTTTAGCTTGAGCATAGGCCGCGGAGGTAGATTAGGGGGGTGGCCTAATTGGCTTTGCCTTTGGGCTTAGGCTTTGATGTTTGACAAATTTGACCGTTAAGAATCTTCCTGCCTAGCCCCAAAAGATCATTTTTTTCACGAGGCTTTCACCACCGACCTCATTTCGAACGCTTTTCCCTCCTCTCCACCCCAGATCTCTGCATCCACATCCCCACCCAGGTGAAGCTGGATGATTCACAAAATGCGGGGCAAAAACAATACCCCCGGAACTGCGTCACATCCACCCCCATTCTAAAGGGAAACATATGGCCCTCCCCTGGCGATAGGTTAGAAAAGCCGCTCCGAATCCCCTCCACCCTCGCATTGCCACGTGCCCCGCCGGGCATTTGTCGCCCCGGGGCTTGCGTTTCGATATTTCCGGCCGTCGGGTGGCTTGAGGCGGGCTATGACCTTCCCGATCATTAGCCCTTCTTGACAGGGGGCTCGGACAGTTGCTCGGAAAACGCGGGTGCCCGCACTTCTGCTCTTTTGCGTACCTCAACCCCCTCCATGGCCAAGCTGATCAAAACTCGCGACGGGTGTGCCGTGACTTTTGAGCCTCTGCCTGCCCGCTGCAGCGCGTTTGGGTATTTTTAGGGGGTAGTGCTTGATCAACAGTTGCTCCTCCTCCTCCCCTTGACTTGTTTACTTCCTGATAAGGTTTTTAAGGGGTTCCCTAGAAAGTGAGAGGTCATTTTTGACCTGCAGATCTGGGAGAGGGCGGGACCGGAAGTTGTTGATCCTACTATATATAAAAAAATATAGTGTTTGTGTGTGTGTGCGTGTGTGTGCATTTGCATACAACTTCCGTCCGTATGTTCCAGTCGTATCTCAATAAAGGAAGGAGTTTAGGGTACGTATGATACGTCATTAGGTGCGTAATGGTCATGACATGCCTGCACGCATATAAGATTTTGAAAATCAGCTGTTTTCGACATTAAAAATAAGTTTTTGTGAAAAGCGCGCTCGGTCTCTTTGTTAGGAATCAATTTGCATGCACCGGAAATGGGGAGAGCCTATATAATGGTGGAGGGGAGCCGTTTTTCATGTTTTTTTTTGCCTAGGAATTCAGGAGTTTATGCAAAGTGATGATGCATGGGGGGTAAGACGGGGCCACGGTTGAAAAGTCGCGAAGCGGCTTTTCAACCCTGGTGCCTTTTAAATTAGGCTTATCCTTTTTTTACAATAAATGCTAGTATTAAGCGTTTTTATTATTATTCAAATAGTCGCTTTCAGTTCACCATCGTCCCCTCGAATCAGCATAGCCAGGACAACTCGGACTCTCACGTCATGGTCACCCAATCTCAGCCAACCCAGATCCAAATGATGCCTATGGCTACCATAAGCCAGGTATCAACCATTAATGTGCTTATTTAATAATTTTCAGGTCCAGCCCTCCCATTCCTTCATCACAACGTCCGGAATGATTCCCTCGAACGTCACACTGGTGAATGAAAACGGGGTTGCAGTTCAGGTATACTACCTTAAGCTTCAGGTTACACTTTTTTGTAGTTTGTACAGTATGACGAGCCCCAACAGCTTGTCCACCAGCCTACCGTGACCAGCATGGTGCAGACGCCGACACAGGTGGGATACTCAAGAGTTGAGATGAGAGCCTGAGCATGAACTTAAACCTAACTTCCGCCTAATCCTGATTTTCAGATGACATACGTGAATGGCGCAATGACCCAAATGAGTCAAAATGACGGCAGCCCAGTGAGCGCAGATTCCGGCACGACGTCACCGACGATGGGCCCGCTCAGCGTTCACGAAGCCGTCCAGGCTTATGCTCAAATGCCGGCCAGTGCGTATCAGCCTCCCCAAATGTCGCCCACCGATCAGCAGACGATCACGATTGACACGAATGATTCGTCTTCTCTGTAAGTTTTGCTACGGACGTGCTACTTGAGACTTACAGTAGTTCAAACATGATTTTTTACAGCGCCTCCACCCTTCAAATGCACGAAGAAATGCTCAAATTCCAACAAAAGAAAATCGAAGAAATGCGTGCAGAACTAATTCGCTCTCAACAACAACTTCGAGCTCAGCAGTCTTTGATAATGGTAGCAAAAAATCAACAGGTCAGCGTCATAGAACTCGCTCGGTAACACATATTCTAGTTTGGTGATGGAGGTCGACCAGCAATGACCGACCACTATCTGGCGCAACTGAAGAATGCCCACCAGATGCACATGCAAAACCTGCACCTTCAGAAAGACCAAGAGGGACAGCTCCAAGTAAGTTTTTCCAAGATATACTGTAATCCTGGTCGTGGGGCTCTTTTAATGCAATTTTTTTCAGCAACACGTCCATGAGCAAAACTCACTTGTTGCATGCGAGGCAAAGCTACAAGAAGAACTGCACGTCGAGCAGGCGGTGAATGATATTGTCCGCCTGATCAAGCAGGACGCGCGAACGGCTCTCCTCATCGTGCAACTGTTGCGGAAGTATCAAATTGAGCGCCAGGTACGGTATCTAAGTCTAAACTTACTTTTTTATAGCAACAAGCCGAACAGGCCCAACTCCAACGAGCACAGCTGGCCAAGGCTGCGGTTTCGGTAGAACCCGTCCAGCAACAACCTACCCCGGCGAAGAAGAGCAAGTCGAAGGCAAGAGCCCAGCCAGCACCCCAGTTGCCTATCGATCGGGCTCACTCCGAAAACCCGGTATTTTCATCTCGTAATTCATTATATCTCATGTCGTTCAGAACCCCAACCATCTCTCCCCAACAAATATCGGATCTGTGCAGCAACGCCGTGCCAGTAACCCGGAGATGATGCGAAATAAAGTCCCAGCCGAGGTATGGGCTTTGACATTTTTCCTGAAACCCACTTTTAGGTGCATACAATCTCGGATGATGAAGTTACAGCCACCACCCCTATCTCCCGACCAAAGACCAAAGCCAAGCGACCAACTAGCGGCCCGAAGAAGAACCTCAACAACGTCGACATGGAGGAGATCTTCAAGACTGTGCTTGAAGGCGCTTCAAAGAGGCTGAACCACGAGAAGGCGGAAATTGAGGAGCCGATGACCACCGGATACGGCAACTCACCCCAAGAGACGGTGGCTGTCGATGTGGCCTGCAAACAATCAGTGCCTGGCCTCGCAGCCGAGACGACATTCGGGGAAAGGAGCTGCGGGGCTGATGCCATGAACTTCAAAGTACCGCAACAACCTGTAGATGTGCACATGGAGGAGTGTTCGCAGGACGCGAGCTCGCAATCCTATATGTCTGGCCCATCGCCAATAGGCTTCTCCCAGCAAGTGAATGAGGCTTCATCTCACCCTCCGTTCGGACACGGGAATGATTTTGATGATCTGATGGATGTGCTGCAGAATGATGGCCTCGACTTGTCGGCTAGTCAGATGGTCGACTTTGGCTTGGACTATGGGCAGGAGGAGCTGGCAAAGTTGATTGGGGATGATTGGATTGATCATGCTGATCGCTCGCTGAGGCATGACTCGCAGGGACTGCATCAGGAACAGGTTCGTTGCTTTGAAAAGGAGCTAGCTCAAAACAACCCGAGCGTGGGTCGTACGGGCGTTCAGGGTAGTCGGGGGTAGCCTGTCCAGGCAATACCAATAGTAACAATAACAATTAATTACCAATTTCCAGGGTGTGCAATCGTGCGCCGCAGAATGCCTGACAACAGACCCTCTACTCGGCGGGCGTCCCACCGACGGCTCTGGGATGGACTGGCTGGACCAGATGCTCCAAAACACCCCCATCGACGAGCAGTTCGACTCATTGCGTACCCCTTCCTATTATCAGCGCAATGAGATGGACGCCTCTTGCTAATTTTTTATTATGCGCAAATTTCTCACGAATTTCCCCTCTAGCTCAGGACTAGTAATGTGGCTTTACTCTCTATGGAAATCTCCCGCGCCCCGTTTGCTAAATCTCACAATTTTTTTGTTTCAGTTTCTCTGTTTCGTTTGCCGTCAGTTAGCAGCTTGACTAGCCAATTTTGTGCCCTCTGCCCCGGATGAAGTGCTTGTTGTGTCCTGCCCCCTTCGCATCGTCTAGTCAGAGCCTTGACCCCTATTCCATTAATGCGCCTTACGTTTTATGCGTCGTGCCTTCGGATAGCTGTCCCGGTAGCCTTGTTCTTAGGAGTGTAACGGTCGAAATGGTTCTGGTTCGTTAACGGGGGGAAGGGTCAATTTGGCAAGATGTGGAAAAAATCCAAAAATGCCGAAAACCGGTTTACCAGCTTCAGTTTATGGGCTACTTTTAATTTTGTTACACTTTTTGAAGTGACATCATTTTCAGCCTTAATTAAGATCTTAGCATTTTTTGTTTCTTTATAGGATTCTGCCAAAATAATCTCGAACAATTAGCAGAAATATCGAAAAATCTGGGGAATTTACACTCTCCCCCCACAAACAAACCAGAACCGTCAAAAATTCCGTGTTGGCAAGAGCGACAAGTTCAGGCAAGCGCTTATAAAAATTGTACTTGTCGTACTTGCCGAATCCGTCGGAATGACGGCCCGAAAGACCCGGTTTTTATAAGTTTTCCAATGACTGTCATATATCTTATATCCTATTAATGTGTTGAGGATTCCCGCCTTGAATGATTCCATTCCGGTTCCGCCCCTCCAGAGACCCGGTCAACCAACATTTCTACATATTCCATCCATTCACATTCTCCACCCACCCACGAATGCATTCTCATCGATCAAAACAAACCACCCGAAACTTCCCTCAATATATAAACTTAAGCTACCATTTTCCTCCGACTACTTTCCGATATTTTTTACATATTTTTTCGCACCCCGCCCACACCTATTTAACGTTCGGGTCCTCCGCGTAGCCGCTTTGTAAGCAGTCTTCGTGTATATAGACAGCTCACCACATCTCATAAAGCTCTCTCTCGTGTGTTGCAATTTCTATCCTTATATCTCTCTTTCTTTGTATATTTTTATGGATAAAGGATTAGATGCTAAATTTCGGGTAGTTACACCTTTTACGGATACTTTAAACACACAGACAGATCGAAAATTGCAAGTAAACCTCAAGTGATGGAAATACAAACTAACCTTCAGTAAATCATAAAAGTTAGGCCTAAGCAAGCGCAAGTCTAAGCCAGCCGCAGCTAAGCCTAAGCCTAGGTCCTAAGCCTAGGTCTGAAGCCCTTTTCCGAATAACTCTTTCCTCGTGACCCCAAAGCAAGTCCAATTTGCCAGTGAGTCAACATTGGGGAGTACTTTCTCCGGGCAGTATGGAAATTAATGGCGCTTTTTGTTTGAAAGTGTCGTGAAAGGGGGTAGTGAGAAGCATCTGGGACGTGACCCATCCCCCATCCAGATGTGTGCCCCACCGTTCCTTCCCCCTGGCCCGCCCCGGGATAAATTGGCCGTGCGCGGTCATTCCATTCAGTCCAACGAGTTGCGATGTGTTCGAGGGCTTTGGCTTTTCTTTTGGGAATATTAATTGCTGTTGGCTATGCTATCGATGTGAAGATTAGGCCGGAGAAGAGCTCGGTTGAGTTGGAGGTTGGGGCTCAATTGAGGTTGGTTGATGCTTAAAGTATCATAGATACCTTTAATTACCGTCTATTATTTTTTAGAAAGATAAGAAATTGAAATTAATATTTTGTTAAGTCTTCTCTGCAAAGTCGAAGGGCTCGCTGATACTGACAAGCCGGGAATCACTTGGAGTCGCCATAGTGGACTGCCGATGTAAGGAAAATTTAGCGACCTGCAAATTTTCACAATTTTAGCCGGGATACGGTAGAAGTGGCTCGGCTGGATAGCCACACTCTAGCGCTGGTGATCAATCGAACGATCGCCAGGGATTCGGGAGTGTATAGCTGCATGGCGGTATCTGATAACGAGACGGCGTCCAAGAGCATTGATGTCCATGTTTTTGGTATGAGAAACGAACAATTCTGAGACCAATTATTTTTTCAGTGCAATCCAGATACTTTTCTAATTTTTCAATTTAAGTTACACAATAAGTAGAAAATTGCCTAAAAATACTTTTCGCCGTGCTTGGAACTAGAAAATGGGAGCAGAGCCATGTTGAGCAGAATTTTCGCCGAATCAAATGCGTCTTTAGAATTTCAGAAGTGAGCGCTTAAGAAAACTATTCAGCCTAATAAAAGTTTAGACGGGTCCTTTAAAGCTTCATAACTTTTTTTAAATTATCATCTTGAACAGATTATGTAACATAGCCCAAACTCCTTGAACAATAAAAAAATGACTCTTTGTACTTTTACTTCATCCAATTCTAGGGCACGGCGAACCCGATAGCATCTTTCTGGAGCACGGTGTTCAAAAGAACGTCAAAATTCCAAGTCTGGTCGAGGGAAAATCGGTCGATCTGTCCTGCGAATTGAAAACAGGCAGTAACCAATTTATCACGACATGGTCCCGCAACGACATCATGCTGGACAAGGACTCCGGTAAGTATGAACTCTTAATCGCAACTCTTGATCAAAAATAGTCCGCGACAACCTGAATTGGGGACTTCTAAAGGGAGGCGCTGTGTTGAGGATCAAAAACTACAACCCGAGCACGGTAATTAAGAATTTTTACCCGACTAAGCTAACATTTAGGATTCCGGGCGTTACGATTGTGGTGTAGCTCCGAAAGATCCTCTTGCTGAAGTGACTTGGCGCACCTTCTACTTGGGTACAATCCATTCCAAATTACAACCCTCCTTTTTAGGTCCACAAAAGGAAGACCGAAGCGGTTTTTCGCTGTGTCGCAAAGTATGCCAAGATACCTGCAACAACGTCATTGTCAACCATCGTCGCAACTAATTTCTCAAAACATCGTGTAAATTCAGAACTTCTCTTTTATTAAACGCTTTTAATCAACCACAATAAATACTACTAATTGTCAAACGCGTCGTTGAATTGAGCATGGAAAATAGTCATTGGGCTGTGGGGTTCAGACATTCAGAAATTCCTAACTCTCGAAAAATGCGGCTAGCAAATCAGACAGCTGAGTGGGCAAAAGGGCAACATGTAGTTCGGGTTCTTGTCGCATTCACCGGCCCACGCCCAGAAGCTGCAATTGGCGTTGAGGTTGAAGCAGCCTGAAAAATTTCGTGAAGTTTCTCTTCCTCTCTCACTCGTTCTCTCTCTCGCTCTCTCTCTCTCTCTCTCTCTCTGCTTTCTCAAGCTTACCAGGCTTCGGCGTCAAGGCGAAAACTGTATCGACCCGATCGCCACAGCTGTTACAAGATCGCTGGCAGTAGGGTCGCATCCAAAATGGATTCTTTTCACATTCACCAAGTGAGGCCCAGAAATCACAATTCGTGTCGAGATTCTGAAATTGGGGAGTAGACCAAAAATATGTCTTGAAGCTGTTTATCTTTTTCATTTTCGTTCAACAGCATGAATACAAAAAATCGGACCCTACCGCGCATGGATCTGGTGTCGTAGTGGTTGTAGTTGTAGTAGTCGTGGTGGTAGTGGTTGTTGTCGTTGTCGTAGTAGTAGTAGTCGAGGCAGTCGTTTCCTGAAAATTAGATGTTATTAGTAAACCGCCGTTTTTTCAAGAGAGCTATAATTACTTACCGGCGTCGTGGTGACCGGAAATAGGGAGCCAATTTCCTCGCTCATCCGCCAAAATCCCCAGGCTCCCCGATGTCTTGGTGGCTTCGGTTTTCGCGTTCTTTTCGTCGTCTAAATCTTGCATTTCTGAACGTTGTATTTTATACCGTAGTGGGTGTAGTTGTAGTGGTCGTTGTCGTAGTGGTTGTGGTCGTGGTTGTGGTCGTGGTGGTGGTGATGGTACATTTTATCCCCTGTGTCTCACACTTATCCGCTTCTCTTACTAAAAATTCTTAGGTCTTACAATTTTAACCACTTACAAGTGCAATTGCAAGTGCCGCATGTCTTCGCACAGTTCATCCGCATCCAAAATGGGTTTTTGTTGCATTCGCCGGAAATTGCCCAGAAGCAGCATAGCTAGGGAAAAGCGGATGAATTAAGGGTAATCCGCTTACGTCGTGTTTATCTTCGCAGATTCTTGTCTCATTAAGGTCATGGATTCTAAAAATGCTATTTTTATTTAGAGGGCTTGTTTACATTATTGGATCTGGGCCTATCCTTCGTCGTTTTTCCAAAAAGATTTCATTTGTCAGCTCGGGATTTCCATCTTCAACGTTTTCCAAATTTTCAATATTCCTTGTTGGCGTCTCGGGAGTGGTAGATGGAAAAGTAATAGTCTGTGGCGTAGTTTCACGAGTTTCAGGGACTGGCTGCGTTTTTGTGGTCCGGACCGTCTTCAGGAAATCGAGCTCATAATCCGGGGGATCGTCAGGAAGGGACGAGCGAGTAGTGGGTGAGATCGGAATTTCAAACACTTCTTCGCTGCCTGAACTTGTTGAATGTGCTGAGTTAGATCTAAGATATCCTACCAGTAATTCCTAATGACGGCTGAACTAACGGTGATGATGCAGACAAAGTACTAGTAGTCGGGCCGGATTCTAATTGAAACGTCCGTTCCAGGGCTTCATTGGAGAATTCGAGACTGGCTAGAGGTAAATCCTCAGAGCGACTGATGTTCTGAATAATCGATACCTTAGCCTAATAAGCGATTTCACCTCTGTTGTCACTTCCGTAGACGCTTCCAAGCTTTGCAGAACATCATTCTCATCATCGATCCCGCTTCCCACACCATTATCCGGTAAATTGAAGGTAATCGGGTGATACCGGAAGCGATACTCGTCAAGGCAAATTGTCGGGACTAAATTTGGATATAGAATCGCCCAAAAAACCTGCCATCAAAGCACCCCAGTTCCAAGTCGAAACCATTGCCATCAATTTTCAGGCCGCATGCTTGGGTTTGGACTTGATTTTGGAGCGTCTAAATTGTGGACAAAATTTTTGTAAGAAGGAAAAGCAGTACCCTTGGGCAAAGCCCACATCCAAGTCCCTCTTTTTCATCCAGAAATTGGATGGTGGCTCCACCTTCTTTGATAGCTGGCGGACCTAAAGAATTCTAATTTTCATGCAAACTTGCACCTACAAATATATGTATTTTCTGAGATAAATCTATAGATGTTTGGAGGGCGATCATCTGCTAGAGCAATACTTGTAGTGGCCAGAAGGAGATGGAGAATCATTCTAAACCTCGAGTGTAAGGGTCAGAAATAAGAAATTCCAGAAATAGAAGCTGTGAACACTAAAACGGCTCGATTTCAACGGGAGCACGAGAATTTTGATCATCAGCATGACGGTGAAATGCGGAGTGCTTGACGACAGGCCCGGTGAGGACAAGTGGTTGACTGCCCCTAGGCTATCGAGTGCCCTCTTCACAGCAATGTCGATCAGAAGGCAATAGTTGCATGTTCGTTGCAGGTTTCCGGGTCATTTGTAGAGGTCAGAGAATGTTGTTTTGCAGAACAGATGGCATTTTAAGGCCTGAAGTGTTGGGCTGCGATCTGAAATGATTTAATAAGTTATACGTATCAAGCTTAGGCTTAGGCGTAGGCTTAGCTTGAGTTTAAGCTTAGGCTTGGGCACCGACTTGGGGCTACTTACTTGTTTTGCCAGGCGGGGTTTAGGCCTACTTACTTACTTTATAGGTTTAGGCTTAGGAACGACTTAGGCTTAGGATAGGTTTATGCAAAAAGAGTGGTGATAACCTAAAAGTTTCCGCTAAGCAATTCAAGCAAAAATCCAACCCAGCCAGCCTAGAGCAAAAACCAAAAAGCAAATCGTACTAAAGCACACTGTCACCCAACCATGTCTAATACAGGACAATAAGTGGACGATGTACCAAGTCAGTCCCCCCCTGCCGACACGCCTCAAGGCATCCGACAATAAAGCCCAAAAATGAGGATATGGATGTGTGCGGGGGAGGGGGGGGGGGGGGCAGAAGGGCCTGTTCCTTGCTGCATGCTCTTTATGTAGGGACTGTCGACTGTGAGGGGTATCCCCGCGGACAAAAATGACCATAAAGTGGTCGGGGGTAAAGGCTTTAGCACCGCTATATACATTGTCGTTAGCGGCCTGTAAATCCGGCCAGACAGTGATAAACACGAGAAGCTGGCTTTGGCAGGAACAAGGTACGGCCTTACAAAAGGTCAAGAAATCTTGAGACTTTTTTAATCTTACAATTTAAAGATGGAAATTCAGATCAACATTGTGTCGAAGATGTATATGTGGTGAGAAGCCAGCCCTCGACCCCGACAATCCCGCTGAAAATGGATTGCGCTCCGTTTTTATTCTCGAAAGTCCCTGGGGGCCACGCTCGGGAATCCGCCATGACCTTCCGTGCTTTTGCTCCAAAATTTACGGCATCGAGGCAGAAGACTTCCAACCAAAGTTGTTTGCCTTATTTTTTTACACTTTTTGATGGGATTTCGTAGTTTGCAATAACTAGCCTTTACTTTATCCCCGCCCGAGCCCGGGGTCCAAATATTTTCCGCCATTTCCGCTATTTTTTCCGGATTTTTGCTCCGCCATTCGAAGCATAAAAAATAATATTCGAGCTTTAGTGCCAGCTCAAAATAATGGAATAGACAAAGGTTCCAGCGTAAAACTTTTGGGACTTTCCGGCTGGGGGCGGGAGTAAAGTAAAGCCTTACCTTTGTATTTTTCGCGGTTTCGAGAGGGCGAAATGCATACTCCAAAGAGTGCAAGCCGCTAAAAAGAACCGCGTGTAATTCAAAGCTAAAGCTACATTACGCTGTCTCTACCTCTGTCTTGTATTTACTTAATATTACAGGTTTTTTGGGACTGACATTATTTCCCCAAATTGTGAGTTTTAAGTCCATGCTGACGTCTTTGAAAGTTCAAATAGTCCTCGATACGGAACCAATTTTTGTGCCACTACTCCGTATTAATCCATATTGATACCATAGTCATGCCCCCTTCCGTTTCCGTTTTTGGCATTGGGTGCTGGTGGTTGGTTTGTGACCTGCGGGGGCTGGCCCGAGGGGGTGTTATCCCGAGGGAACACAGTCCCGAATAAACAAGATTTTGGCCCTCGATGGCGCTGACCTCTAACTTGTCGTCGGGCATTCGCCAGTTTTCAATCCGTCAACCAGGCGATGGAGGCGTATCTGGGCCTCTTATTCGTTTTTGCACCTCTTGACGCGGCTGGTTTTACACATCAAAAATGTCCTATTTTGCATCTGCCTCTACAAAATTTCAACCCAAAACACCGAGGTGGTACCTCTCGTTGCTCATCCCCGGTGAACGAGCCCTCAAGCCCCCCCCCCCCTCTGGCAATTGATGAGCACGCTGGGGACAGCTGAACAATTACGCAAGCCAACAAACGATCCTCCCCTCTCTCTCTGTCTCTACTGTCCCAGGGCACACCGCGAATTATATGGTGCTCTACCGGGTGGACAGCTGTTTTGCCTACCCTGTCATTGCGAGCACTGAAATGGGCGCTGATTGCGGATCAGTTTTTTGGTTTTCAGAACGATTGCCGGTTTTTATGTTTTTTTTTTGGCACAAAGAAGGGCTAAGCTTCAGCCTAAGCTTAGCTTGACCATGTGTAACTGTCACATTAAGGTTGAGCTAAGCCAAACCGATGCTTAAACATAAGCCTAAGCCAATTCTGAGCCGCGGAAGCCGAGACCAGGCCTAGTCATCACCATAAACCTAATCCTAAGCGTACTTGAAAGCCGAACTCTTGAAAGTCTAGGTATCACGGAGAAACTAAGGTCCAAAAGCCAGGGGGAAGCTGACGTCTAAGCCCAAGTTAAGCCCAATCCTAAGCCAAAGCTTAAATATAAGCCTGGAGCAAGTCCAGGTCCAGGCCCAATCTTAAGCCCAAGCTAAGGGCATTACCGCCATTTCCTCCGCCATTTCCCGCCAGACCCAACCCCAGGACTTTCAAGTTCAAGTAGAAGCCTGGTGGCTGTCAGCCACCCCCCCCCCCCGCCCCCGGACGGTCCGCAAAGGGTGCCGAGTGTGAATTTATGGGGGTCAATGGTGGTGAGGAGCTTGGGAGTGGATCGAAAGGATGGCACCGTAAGGACGTGAAAGAGAGAGAGAGAGAGAGAGAGAGAGAGAGAGAGAGCGAGCGAAATATAGGCACCAGTTGGTCATCGGATGACTGATGGTCTTTATGGCCCACTGGGACCGTTCGCTTCACCGCCTTGGTGGTGGCCATACGACGGCCACCAGATTGAAAGCCGCCTGTCGCGCACCACACACCCACCGGAACCATCAACCTCACGCCTACGCCCCCCCCCCCATCATCAATTGTTACACTTTTAGCGACTTTTTGAATCTGGGGGTGCGGTTTTTAGTTAGGCTTAGGGGTTTTTAGTTGGGCTTAGCTTGGGCTTAGCTTAGGCTTGGGCCAGTCTTAGCTTAGGGCATGTCTTAGACATGAATCGAAAAGTGGCCAGTCACCTTTTTGCCTTCTCCGTTCCCGATCATTCAGTACTTCCGGAACAAGTGTATACGCATGCTCTGAAGAATGCATATCCACCTGCTCTCCCCCTCCCGCTCGGATAATTGTTTGCGCTTGAGGATGAAGCGCTTCGGGACCCCGAGGGGGGAGAGGCAAGCCCGAGTGAGTGGAATAATGGCCACATGGGCTCACCTGGGGGTGGATTCAAATTTCAATGCTTCCCGCTTGGGGCGTATTGGAGGGCATAGAGTGGGCCTCGGGAAGGGGAGTCCGCATCGGAACGCTGTTGGCTTATGCCATTAGGCTTTTTCCAAGATTTGAATTTTCGCCTCACTAGGTATTCGAAGTTCTAACAAACCAAGCCCATGCCTAGACCTGAGCCTGAGTCAAAAACCTAGCCGAAGGCTAGCCTAACCTTACCACAATTAAGGCTAGGACCAAGCCTAAGCCAACGCCTAAGCCTAGCCTAACAAGTCTAGGTCGAAGCCTAAGCCGAAACCTAAGCCCGACTTTGATATCCTGCGCTTTTTCTGATTTTTTTGCGGTTTTAGTACCTTGAATTTTACTCTTTACACTCCCGCTAGCCCCAATTCTTTCCGTAAAGAAACTAGCAACACTTTTGCCCTTCGTGTCCATCCCATCCCCATCGCGCAATCACTTTGTTTTGCAAATTGGCTGTTAGGTAATGGGTGCGAGGGGGCCAATCCCCGTAATGGTGACTCCTCCCGATTCCCCCATCCTAAATATACTTCAGGCCCTCCCGTGGATGGGCCGCCAAGCACCGAACAATTAGCTTACTTTATTCCCGAGGATTTGCCGTGCCCCCCCCCCCCGCCCCGGCTGCTGCTGGATGCCAAATGTCCGATTTATCCACCAATTATTGCGTGAACCGGCGGGTGTAGGGGTCGGTGATTAGTCGCAGAATGGTGTAGGGATTCACGGGAGGCAGCAGCGGGTTGACAATGGGATTCGTTTTGTTTCTATCAGTTTTGTTATAAATACTGTCTATTACATAATTTTGAACTGAAACTTCAAGTCCTAGGACATTTTTTATGACGCTTTATTGAATGATGCCTTCAATATATCAAAGGAGAGCAAAAATGTCGACAAATGGCTTTCCATGTCCATTTTAAACGTTTTTTATTTTTGTTTTAACAATTTCACATTACGTTATTTCAAGCTGCAATTTGAGTTTTAGGTTGATTTTCTGATGCTCGTTCGAATCGTGTCTACAAAATATTAAAACCTAGCCTTTTAACTATGTTGGGAAAAGATTTTTAGTGATTTTTACTATAACTTCTGCAATACAGTATTTAGAGCTGTTCGCCAATGACGTTCAAAGCATCCAAAAAATACATGATATCGAAAATTTTGGGTTTTTGAGGACTCCCGGAGCCCAACTTCCCCCAAAAACTGCAACCGAATTTTAAATCCGTGGCGGGCTTTGTGTTGGCCCGGGTCCCATCCTGGATCGCGTGTGTCAAAACAACAAAACATTCATCACCTATGCCTCAGTACTCATTTCAGGCGTAGAATCCGGGAGAGCTTAGTTTTTGAATAATTTCAAAGTAGTGTCAAGGTCACTTGAGGTTACTCAGAGGTCATTACTGCGTATGTAAAGATATACTTCACAAATTCTGCTTTTCCTGATGCTGTTATAAGAGTATTGCAGTCATTTTAATGTTAAGGTAACCCGGCATAGTCTTAGTCGCCATCAATGCATCTATAAATACATGCTTGCCTAAATTTGGCAACGATTTGACGTTTCGGTGATTTTTCAAATGGTTTTGGGTAATTGTAAAGATTCTTAAGGTCCCTTTACGCACCTTCTGTTATCCTTAACGGGATCGAGAGGGCCCACGTAGATCAGCCAAAAACCGGTGACGCGGGGGAAAGGGGGTCTCTGCGCTCTCTCCCCTGGGCGCCCTCTCTCGCCCTCTCTGACCTAGTTGGCTACCTGCCAATTATATCCCTTGCCATCTACGTGGGCCCTTCTTATCCCTATAATGTGTTTCAAAACGATGAGTCTCGTAATTTCGCAAAGCGTTCGTTTTCTGTTGATATTTCAAGGCAGCCTGCCCCGTTCGCATTTCTCAAACTAGAATTTCAACGAGCGACATACACGCCCGGGGCTTTTACAATTTGGCGGATCATTTCCCCGGGGTCTCTGCCCCCAAGCCGAACACATTGACCCCCCGGCTCTTAGTCAGTGGAAGAGCGGATGAGGGGGTATATTCGACGCTTTGTGCTCTCGACCCTTTTGCCAAGAGGTTGCTGGCCATTCCCTCAAATGTGTAAGGGGGCACCTGTGGTCGTGTGGCCACTGACTGCCTAAGAGGAGATCTCCTGGGTGGCCACACCGGACGGATCCACCTAGAACGGCTCATCTACGCGCATCACGCACACCCTTCCCTTTATCGGGCCGTTTTTTTAGATTTGAGAGGGCTTGTCAACGATATCCGTTTAATTAAATTATCTAGAAATAGAATAGAATTATCTTTTGCTGAAAACCTCGCTAAAATCAACGTTCTGCACCTTGGGAAGCCTAGAGCGATCCCATTACGGTAGCAAATTCCTGTATTTTGTTGTAAAATCGCTTTCTGTCTTCCTAGTCCCTTTAAACGGCATATTCAACCCTTATCGTTTTCATTGTTTGCAAAGCATCTAGAAAGCGGCGCCAATCCATTTACGGTATTAAATCTCTTATAGCTTTTCTGCGAAACAGATTCAAATTTTGCTAGCATCTTGAAAACTCATTTCGCCTCCGTTATTTGTTAGAAACTATAATTTGTTTGTAAAATTAACGACTTGCCTTCTTCTTCTCTTGCCCGTTTTCAGTCCGCTTTTCTGAGCACATCGCAGATTGTCTTAATAATTTAAGACAGTAGCTATTACGTAAGTTCCTAGGCTATAGAGACTCTATCCATTCGGCATTGTCTGCTGGCCACCATTTTTTGCCCGAAGATTCGTCCGATCCCGCCTGGTGCAGTAAATTTACAAACCCCCGGTGGGGCCTCGGAGTGGCTGACCATAAAACGGGCCATCTGCCGGGATGAATGCCCTCAGGATATGGCTATTATGCCCTCACTTTAACCTCCTCATTGCCTGTGATTAATGGGCGTTGCGCCACTTGTCGAGCCCCGCCAAAAATATGTACATATTACGGCGTAGGCGGAGGGTGTTGCCGTGAAAAATTGCGGTAGGGTTCTCTAGATTTTTTCACTTCTTTATGGAAGGTCGAAGCACACCCCAAGCCTAAACCTAAGCCCAAGCGTAAGCCTAGATTTAATCCTAGGCCCATGCGATAGCCTCTCTAACAACGAAGCCTAACCGCAAGCCTAATCTAGGTCTAAGCCTAAGCCCAATCTTAAGCCTGGCCAAGCCTAACCCGCGCAAAAGCTTAAATCTAAGCCTCAACTGCGCTTAAGCCTAGCTTCCTCTGTCCCACGAAATTCCGTAACGCTGCAAAAAACCAGCCCACCACCCGCAACGACCTTTGCGTGCACAAGCTAAACGACCGAAAGACCTTTGCGTGCACAAGCTAAACGACCGAAAGACGATACGTCCGTGTTGTTCTGCTGGTTGGTTAGATCGCAGCGGCTTCACCCTCCGGGGGGTTGCGTGACAATTTTTCCGCTCACCCGAGACGCTGCCCGGGGGCCTTTCAACTCGAAAAGTCGTTGCCAGCCCACCCCATTCTTGCATTGATATCCGTTTCCTGTTTTATGCCCCTCATGGCCGGACGACTCGGTGCCGAGGCTTCCCGGCGATCAATAAGGCCCAAGCATCGGAAAGATTGAGCAAATCGGGTTCAATCGATCGAATTGATCAAACGTTTTTTTTTAAAGATTTAATGTTTACGGGTTTCAAAGTAACTAGTAGGCAGGAGAATCGACAGCTAGCTCTAGCTAGGGGTATGCTAGAACGGAGGAACATGAGGATCCATTTCTCAGCGTCGGAACCTAGAACTCGTGCTCATTTGTGCTTTTTCCCTTCCTCTCGTTCTCTCGCTCTCGCTCTCTCTCTCTCTCTCGCTCTCTCGCGCTTTCTCACTCTCTCATCTCCCTCTACTCCAAAAACCTGTTCACCGTCATTTCCGGCTCGCCTACTTCATATTCTTATAAACACGTAGATCGGTGGCGGAACGCCGGATCGGAAGCACAGGGGGATTAAGCCCAACCCCTCTATGGCATGGACCTCTTTCGAGGGATGTGCTAACCACCCTCCCCTCCGGCCAATACCCCTAATCCCTTCCCCCACCCCTCCCCCTTACAAGATCCGCCAAATTGGTGCCCCGACTGGATTTGAGGTTTATGCTGGGGTGCTTTATGAATGCTAAGATTTTTATATGTGAGGTTGCTATATCCTAGGGCATGCTTTTAATAGATTTTTAATTTTGGAGGAGACCCTTGTCGCAGGCACCCTCAGTTTTGATCTCAATTCCAGATTCTCCGGGATGTAATTGCCCCTTTATTTCTTAGGCTTAAGCTTAAGCCTAAGCTTAAGCTATGTCGAAGCCTAAGCCCAGGCCTGCCTTTTAAAAGTAGTACCCCCGTAGCGTACGGCGCTTCGACTAAAGGAGAGAGACTGAAGACATCGAATCAGTGGGGGGTTCGGGACCAAATTTGCATAATATGCTTTGGCGCGTCACCGCGCCGCACGCATATTGGGCCCAAGGTCCCCGGGCGATACTTGTGGCCCCGGGCTCTGGCCGGCAACCCCTCGACACCATCCACTGATTGCTTCTTCTTCTTCTTCTTCTTCTTCTGCTTCTTCTGCTCGCTGGACTCATCCTCGGCTTTCTGGAGTTGCAGCTGTGGAGCTCATGTTTTGGGACTTGCTATTTTGAATTCGTTGCTTGGTGTTTTCCATGTTAACATTGTAATTTCAAGTAAGCGAACCAGTTCCAGAACCGGTCATTATTGGCTAGTCAATTTAGATATTTTTGACGACGACGATATTGATCATGGATATTTTTTTGTTTCAGCTGGCCGAGGCCTAAACCTAAAGTCAGAATCCAAGCCTAAGCCAAGCCCCAACCCCCGCTTCGGCCACCCAACACCACGAGTGCACATTTTAGCAATTCTTCATCGAATACGATGCGTCGAGCATCCCTACCCATCCCCCTCCCCCCCCCCAAGCGATTGTTGAATTCCCAAGTGACCGTTGCAAGCTTTTTTGAGGGATAGCCGCATCGCCGTTCTGACCCATTCGCATTTCCCCGCCAAGAACCCATTTGCTCCCCCCTCCCCCCGAAAAAAACTTTAGTAAAAGGGATGCGTAGGGTAGCCAAGGGGGTGGTGACTTCTGCTGTGGGCTCTTTGTCTGCCCACGGCGGCGGCGCCCGGAAACCCGGAGACCAAATCAAATTTTGGAGCTAATTGTGCGTGTGAGAGTGTGAGCGTGTATATGTGGTGCACGGCGCAACAACCGGCCCGGTAGTCGCTGATTTATTTGCAGCGTAGTTTTTGGCGGGTTTCCAGGTGTAACGCTTTGACTTAAAAAATTCCAAAAGTATCAATTTTTTTACTTGAAATTACTTGAAGCAAGTTGGTCGGCAGCGCAAATTTTTCGGGGGACGCTCTTTCAAAAGCATCTTCTGTTTTCTAGGGAAAAAGGCAAAAATCCTCTGTATGACGTCTGCTTCACCTGCCTCAACCAATTGACCACTAAGCTTCACATCGTATACCCCGGTTCTGGTTCGAAATGTCAAAATACACCCGGTCATCGCTACCTATCCATCCACTAGAGGGGGATCAAAGGCTGTTTATGAATGCTGTGCCAACAATAGAAGCCGCTCTAGCCGGTAGACAGATGTTCGCTCACAATCAGGGCGAGTCCAGCACTCATCCATCCCGCTCGGACCAGCCGAATTTGGTAGCGGTCCCGTTTTCCAAAATTTCCTTGCAAATACCAATTTGCGCCGTTGAGCCCCCATAGAATTAGGCGATGAAATCATGATCTGTATGCCTTGATTCAACCCAAATCGGCAACCAACAAGTTCATTTCCCTCCCCCATAAAATGCCCTTGCCCCGCCGATATGATTCAATTTTTGCTCCCTCAACGCCATTTTCGGCTGCTCGACTTTATTCTTGGTTTTGCACCTTTTTCACGCCTACTCTCGATTTTATGACTTTTTTTTTGGCTCTCGATGATTATTATAGTCTTTTCAGGATGCGATGAAGGCACCTATATTATTAGCGCTTCTATTTTGTTGTGCGGCAACGGCCGATCTGCGAGAGCAACCCACAAATCTGACAGTATTCATAGGCAAAGAAGCTTTACTAAAATGTTCCGTCAAATTACCCGCCGACGGAACAGAGCTGTAAGTTGGGGGTAGTAGTCCTGATTTTGAGACTTTTTAGGTATAGTCAATGGCGGACGAATAATGGTGATCTGTTGGGTTATCATGATTCGGGGACTTTGAGTGGACATGGAGGGAGATACAGCTATGTCAAGGTATGCAAAATTACGGCAAAGTTGCATTCCTTAATGAATCAGGATACTCCGGGCGAGCTGAGCCTGCGCATCGAAAACGTCGGCCTTGAGGATGATGGGCAATTTGAATGCCAGATCCTCGGCGCTGAGACGGGCCCGATTAGGGCAGCAGCGAGTCTGGAAGTTTTAGGTATGGAAATGTTCCCAGTTCTAAATAATGCCACAATTACAGTGCCACCGGCCGAAGTGACACTAGCAAATTATCAAAGCGGCACCGAAGTCGAGATCAATGAAGACGCGGCCCTGAATATTACTTGTGTAGCTGCAAATTCCAAGCCAATTTCCGAGTTGAAATGGTAATTCTGGCTGAATGGCTGGGGTATAGTTGTGAAATTTGAGGTACATAAACGGACGGCAAATCGAGGACAACATCCAGCGCTGGGAGAAGTACCATTTGAACAAGACGGTGACCGCCTACGCGGCGCTACTCTGGAAGCCGCGGCGGACTGACCATAAGAAAATGTTGGCTTGCGAGGCTGTGCACGAAGAGACGTCGACCCAATCGAGGGTTAACGTTACGCTGAATGTGTTTTGTAGGTTTTATTAATGCCGTAGGTGACAGGTTTTTAGTTCAATGCGCGTAAAAAGGCTTCTTTTTATCCCAAGAGATTGCATTTCCATCTTAAGAATCCAGCAATCTTTTTTCATATTATTTCGCGCGCTATAGCAACACGTGCCCAGGATAATTTGTCGCCCATTCCCCTCAAATCCGCAGAATAAAAGCTCCCCCCCCCATACGATTTGTGATGATCCATCATCCGTCGACATGCCCTCCTTTCCCTCTATCTGGCCCACACACCTCAAAGGAGGCGACGGCGCCCAGGGTCCCGGCAGCCAGCCACACTTTGCATATCCTTTGGGGTGGGCGCCCCCTTTCGAGGGGCCACCGATTTGTCACTGTCGTACGATAGTAGCAATGCGGAGGGGGGGGGGCGTAAGGACGGGAATCTAGGGCCCTGTTGAATGCGACACTTCATATCTTGAATTTGAATGGGATGCAGCACGAGACGTTTCCAAAAAGCTGAAAAATTGTGACTAAATTTTTGGCAAGGCATTCAAATTACCAATTTTGGACATTTCAGCATTTTGTAAACCCGTAAAGCGAAGCAAAGCGAAATCCTAAGTCTCAGCCGAAGCGGAAGCCTAAGCCTCATATGAGGCGAAGACCGCTTATGGATGAGACTAACAATCTCTATCTTTTTCAGACCCCTCCGATAGACCCCGCGCCACCGTCCTCAGCGGCGAAAATCTCGTAAAATCTGGCGACAACGTGACGCTCCAATGTCTAGTCCACGGAGGCAACCCACCCCCTAACGTCACCTGGTTCCTCGCCGGCAAAGCCATCGACACCTCCTTTCACTACAACTATGAGACGCAGGTGGGTGTGAGGGTTGAGGTTCAGGATCTGGATCAAAAGCCGGGGTGCGACGGCTTATGTCATGGGCCATTAGCTTCAAAAGCTGTCAAAAGGCATTTCCGCCAACTTGAGCCGGGGGCTGAGTCAAATCGGGTTATGAGGCGGCTAGCGAGATAATTAATCGCGGAGGGAGGGTGTGGCTTTGTCCACTGCCGCCCTGGGGGTTGGTAATCCTCAGAAATGGTACTCAAGGGCCGCAGATGGCAGATTGGTGCATCACCCGGCTGCCAGAAAGCTAGGGCTTCAGGGGAAGTAAGGCCAAAAAATTAAGACATAAGTCGTAAATATCGTAATTAAAATTTCAGGAAGCCACAAATACGTACTCGTTCATCGCCGAAGCATCCGACAACATGGCCGCGTACGAATGTCGCAGTCAAACGCGTGAACATATCGCCCCGCTCAAGGCCAGCGTACATGTCAAAGTGGCATGTGAGTACTGTGTTCCGTTACTTGTAACCTACGACACCTTACAGTCGCCCCACAAGCTGTCGACATTTTTGGGGAGAGTAATGTTCGACAAGGTGGTTCGACTACTATCCAGTGTCGATCCAGGTAACATTTTCTGATAAAATCGAGGTGTATTTCCGGTGTATGGAGCCTGAGCCTAAGCTTAAGCATAACCTAATCCCAAGCCTAAGACCAAGCCAAACCTTAACCTAATTATTTCCTCCACAACTTTGAATGAACTCATCTACACAAAATGCGCATCCCCCGCCCCAAACACTCAATTAATCGGCTAGCCACATAGGAGCTGCTTTTGCCAGCTGGCCTCTGTTGGGACGAGCGCCAGTCTGAGATGGAATAAACCGATTTGGGTGTGAAAGAGGCCCTCGAGCAGTAAATCAGGAAGCCGTGGAGGGGGACCAGGGAGGGGGCGCCAAGTGGCAGATGCGCTTATGGCTTGTCCCAACCAAGGAGGGGGCCAAGTCTCGACAATCCAATGGAACACGGCCACCGTCAATTAGTTGGATAAGGGGTGGGCTTGCAAAAAGTTGGATATATGAGGAACTAAGCGATTACTTTCAAAGCTCCCAGAAAGTTATAATTTCACATAAGGTATAAGTGAAGCGAATCAGCCTTGGGCTTAGGCATAGCCCTGAACAGCTTCATCTCGCTGCTTTTTCCAGAGTCTCCAACCCACCTGCTCGCCTCTCCTGGTTCGTCAACGGCCACCCAGTTCCCGGCGTCCTCCAGGCCGAGCACAAGCAGTCCCACGGCACCATCTCCATCTCCAACCTGACCGTCAACTCGCTGGAGGTAAGTGTCCTAATATCCGCTCCTTAGGCCTTTTCTTGTAGCATAAACGCATCGATCATAAGGTAGGTATCCCATCATATTTGGGCCCCCAAATACCTCTGTTGCCTACCGGCTAGCTTTTCACTGGGAATCCTAGCTTTTGGGATTTGATTTTGGGTTTTAGTCGATGTCGGCTTTTGCAAAAATGCGGAATCATTGCTGCTGAAACTCTGGAAAATATTTGGTTGCCGCATGCACGCAAAAAATCGTTTTATGCAAAAAATAAGATAATTTTTAGATGGTTCACAGCAAATACAAGATTGCCATCGAATGTCAGGCGAGAAATGAGGAGGGCAGTGCCAATAAACAGCATCTCGTGAAAATTCTGGGTAAGTATTCATGTAAGTAAGTAACTTTCGGGATAGTGCCTCCGGAGATGCCGAGAATTCACGGATTTGACGATGTGATCCTGCTCGAGGGTGATACCGTTAACGCGACTTGTGAAGTACTGGGCGGTCATCCACTCGCCGATATTGCATGGTATCGCGGTCATGAAAAGGTAAGTTTTCAATACCTACTCTTATTTTCTGTCTGTCCGCTTGTCCAATGTCCCTTGACTAACCCACCCCATTTGAGCAGAAGCTCGTAAAGGCAAAGAAAAAGCCGCGCTGGACCCAGGTGAGCCGTTAGACCATTGAATTGTCCTGTCGCGTGTCGAGCGCCGAGTCCAGTCTTTTTCGACGATTTGTCCCTTTTTGTGTGGCGTTGCTCTTATGGTGTAATATGGATGATTTTTAGCTAATCGGTGCGAGGACATCTGTATCTGGGGATAAAGCAGTCTCGACGATGTCGCTAGTTCTCGATCGTAGTCTACATAAACAACGGATACGTTGCGAGGCTACAAACGCGGCGCTGGACGAGCCGTTGGTGGATTGGAAGCAGTTGAACGTTTACTGTAGGTTTTGATTGATATCTTTGACATTTCGATTTGGTTATTTCTGTTTAACGAGGGTGAACCAATTTTTCCAGGTAATTCCGTAGGGTCCTCTAAAGAAAAACATTATACAAAACATTCTATAGCCTTTTGTTGCTGTTCGATACAGAAAGCTCTTAAAAATTACAAAAAATATTCGAAAATCTTTGAGTTTTTGAAAAAAAAACCGGAAAAATTCTCGAAAGAGGTCAAAATCTTCAAATCCTCAAGTTTTTTAAATATGTTGTAGAACCTCCTAACAATCAAAAACGTCCAAAAACATTATAGCGACACATTATTTATTATACAATTTATAATATCTGAGTGACAGGTATAGGCGGAAAAATCAAAATTAGCATCAGCAGAAAGAACCCCCTGATTTCAGTCCCACCACGCCGACTCGCCATTCGCACACCAGAAGGCACTCGGCATCAAATTGTATCTGGGCGTGAAGCTCGGCTCCTATGTTCAGCACCAGCTTCGAACCCCCCGGCGGATATTTCGTGGCAAATACAACCGAATGGAGAGACGCAACCTCTTGTTTATACCGGAGAGACGGTCGTCAACGAGACGTAAGATTTCTATACCTTGATATAATCAGTTTTCTATTTTAGCCTCCGAGAACAAGGGCACACCATTGAAAACATTGTCTCTTTCATCCCAACCGAGCAGTACGATGGAACGATTATCCGTTGTATCGCCAGCCATCCCTTGTGGCCGGAGTCGAAGAACGTCACCTTCCCACTGAGCGTACAATGTAAGTCCACGTAACGTCGCGCTAGAAATTACCATACCTTTCAGATCCCCCATTAATGCTTGTCGGGAATAGGATGTCGATCGTAGTCGCCGAGGGAGAATCCTTCAAAGAAAATCTTACGATCCGCGCCAATCCGCCGGTCTCGACCTGGAAGTGGAAGAAGGATGGTCACGTTTTTGAACATACCATTGGAGGTAAGGGGATAGTTTTCTATCACTCAATAGTGTTTTTTAGGCATTATGGGCCGGGGTCCCTCACTATCTGGTCGAAACGTGCAATCAACCGATGCTGGCCACTATACACTTTTTGCAATGAATAGCGTTGGAACGACCAACGTTTCAATCCAATTGACGGTTGAGTACCCGGCAAAGGTATCTATTAATTGAAAGATCCAAAGGTTTTTATTAGGTTGTCCAAATTACATCCCCGGTCATCGCATCGGCAGGTGAGGAGGTGCTGCTGGAGTGTGAAGTCGAGGGAGTGCCACCCACCAAGGATATGGTGATTTGGATGAAGAATGGTCGAGAGGTAATTAGTATCCGAGCGGAAATATGACAGCGGGAATTTAGGTGCCAAGCATGAAACGAGGAGAGATGAAAGCTGTTCTTCGGGTGAATGCTTCGCTCGACACTGCTGGGCAGTACATGTGTCAGGGTTACAATGGAATTGGAGCACCAGCAAGAGTAAGTTATCAACATCTCCTGCTCCTGTGAGCTGAAACAAAGTTACCTAGCTAACTCCTTCAATTTTCAGGCCCCGGCTTACCTCCTCGTCAACCAGCGGCCCACCATCATCCGCTCGTCAGCTTTTTCACGAGCAGCCGGCGCCCTTGGCGGCAAAGCTCGAGCCAGGTAGCGTAATTTTAACAATCATGCTAATGTCTTTATCTCAGATGTCGTGTCAACGCCGTGCCAGACGCCGAATTCTTCTGGGAGGTCAACGGCGAGACGATTCGCGCTAACAACTCGAAATATGCCGTTCACAACAGCCAACTAGACTACAGCACCTTTGAGGTTAGTATTGTAAATGCGCGTACGTTGAGCTATAAGCTTATGCTTAGGCATTGGCTTAGGCCTAGGCTTGGTTTTAGCCTAAGGCTTAGGCTTGGCTTAAGCTTAGATATCGTTATCAGCTAAAAATTCCTCGTTATTTCAGAGTTCTCTCTGGGTGACCATTGGCAGTCCCGGCGACTACGGTGACGTCAAATGCATCAGCATCAACAGACTCGGCGAGGACAGCCATGTAAGCACAAATATTCCAATAGATAATTGAATTTTAGTTAATCAAAATCGGGCCTTTGACCGCGCCGGACGTCCCGGGCGAGCCGTTGCTGACCAACGCCACCTCCACAGCGCTCTCGATTTCCTGGCCACCTGGTAAAAAAAACCCCCCCCCCAAAAATTAAAACTAAAAAAAAAAATTTTTAAAAAATTTTTTTATAAAAAAAAAAAGGGTTTTTTTTTTTTTTGGGAAAAAAAAAATTAAGGGAAGTAGTGATTCTTTAGAAATAAATCGATACGCAAAACCTGAACGCATCCAAATTCTTAGGCTTTGACGGCGGATCCGAACAACAGTTTGAAATTGCCTACAAAATGCAGGGGAATGGCGAAGCGACGGCTGTCAATACTTCCCATAATGTATGAAACTTGCTTTCCTTAAAATTATACCCATTTCTTCAGCACGTTCGGGTGTCTGGCCTTCAACCCGGTCGTCTCTACTACTTCCAAGTCCGGGCGCACAACGTTCGTGGGTATTCTTCGGAATACACACGACCCCCGGTGGCCTTCTCGACGTTGACGGCCGATGGTATCGCTGTTGGGACGAACAGAATAAGGGTAAGTTTTTAATGTGCATTCGCTCATAATTTTTTCTCCTTTAGGATGGTCATCTACCAAAGTCTTTGATCGTCTGCGCCGTGTGCTTCATCATCTTTTGCTTGATGTGCAACTTGTTCATCTGTATGTATAGGAAGAATAAGAGGAGGAAGAAGATGATTCAAGGTATCGAAAAAGATCAAGGCTAAAAATCAATGATTTTCAGAGAAAACGGAGATAATCCGGACTCATGGAGATCAAGCCGTGCGGCCGGTGCAGATGTACGGAGCGATAGGGCTTGAGGCTCCGAAGGAATATCAATTAGGTAAGGTTGGCTGCTAGCCTGCGCCTTCGATTCCCAAATAATAACTGCTAGCCTGCAAACAATTATTTAATTTATTGAAAATTATCTTTTAGGACCCGGAGAACGAGCTACCGCTGGATCTCGAGGAGAAACTCGGGATCATTCAGAAGATGATCAATCTATTCGGACAATGATAGTAAGTTTTGGGGGATAGAGAGAGAGAGAGAGAGAGAGAGACGGAGAGAGAGAGAGAGAGAGAGAGAGAGAGAGAGAGAGAGAGAGAGAGAGAGAGGGAGAGGAGAGGAGAGAGAGAGGAAGAGAGAGAAAAGCCAAATCTCCAAATACCTAAAAACTCTTTATTTAGGAAGTAAATCCAAATGGCTACATGCAACAAATCGACCCAGCCTTCTACGAGCGAAGTCACCTGATGGAATACGAATTTGACCGTAAGCTACATCTACATCTCAAAACTAGTCATTTCAGCCTACCAAACCACTCGAAACTTCCAAGCCAACTTTGGCAGCCTGCGCACCAAGGACACGTACAGTAATATACCGTATCCGGTAGGTCATATTTCAAGCAGTCAAAAAATATCCCCCTCTTTTAAAGGTCTAACCGGCAGCCAGGTTAGCATGCGTGTCCCCTGGGAGATCCCCTGAATCTATTGGGCTTTAGGAGAGGGGGTTGAGACGAAAATTCGCATCGTTAGTTTCTCGTATCTCAACCCCCTCTCAGTTTGTCGAGTGCTAGAAATAAAGAATATCGAAAATATGCGAATTTTGCAATTCAGGAACCACCAATGCCAGCCGCCTACCACCACATGAGTCCGGTGGCTTCAAAAAGTGCCAAAACCTCCCCGCAGCATCTATCGACGTTCATCCAGCCGGCCGGTGTACGGACGGCGCCTATGCACTATTCACAATTGGATGGGGATCTGGTTTAAATTAAAGATTTGAGTTTTGGTATCAAAATGTCGAAATTTGAGCTGTCGAAATAGAATAATGTCGAAATTTTATCATAAAGTCATTTTTTAGGATGTAAAGTTGGATCGCAACACCGAAATCGCAATTTTTTTAAATCTCGACATTTCCAAATTTTTACATTATGAAATTTCGTCATTACGTGACAGCATGAATTTCGCCATTTTGAAACACTCAAATTTCCACATCCCTCCACCCTTTTTGGCTCATTCTCGACTGTGATATCGGTTGCTTTCTGTGTCTCTATATCCCGTCTATGCCCTTATCCTCCTCTTCCATCCCCACTGCCCCGTCCATAGGTGTCAACCGGAGGCCGTTATCGGGGGGCAATAAGGGTGGCCCTCCACAACTGTCTGTCCCAATCCCGGCCACAGTCACACAATACCGGATTTGCCATTTCGACACCCACCCCTTGCACCTACCACTGTCGAGTCGAGCAATTTTGGGGTACTCGAGTCGCGATATTGGTCCCGAATCCCCCACCAAATCATATACCTAGTTGGAGGGGAGGATATTGGTACATCGAGTCGAGCCCATCTTACTGCCAGATTGCCTAAATTTTACTCGATTCTACAGAGGTAAGCTCATTTAAGTATTTAGTTAGAGGCGCAGATTGTTCAAAAAGGAAACTCTGGAAATCCACGATAAAAACGGGGTCGTAAGCCTAGATGTGGGCTTAGGTTTGGGCTTAGATTGACGCTTACGTTTGGCTTAGGTTCGGGCCTGGATTTCCGCATCTTCTTTTTCGGAACACTCAGCATGAACCTATTTCTATTTCTACCCCTCACCCCCCACGCCTCGATCTGTTTTTCACAACTACGGGACCCCTTTCCTCGTTTTTCTTCTTCAAGTTTTCCGGCTTCACGGCCGCCCCCCAAAAATAAAACATTTTGCCTTGATGGTGCTTTCATCCCCAATATTCTCCTCAATATTCTATGCCAAGTCAGTCATCCCAACACGTGTATCTCCGAAAGCATTTTAATTTCATTTTTGTTTGCAGAAGATAAAGTATGATATTTACATCCTAAAATGGCGACGAATATAAGCTTTTGAGAATCAAGCCCCGCCAAGAGTCACCCTACCCGGCTATACGACCCATATTAGCCGAGGTGGTGTGAGTAGTGGTCAGTGTCTCGGCGCGAAAATTCAGAATTCCGGCGGGCCGGCGGGGCTAATTGAGCCCCCCCAGGTGCGAGCCTCATTAGGGCACCGGCTCTTTTTGGCCGGCCAAGGGTCCAAAATTGTCGGGTTGTTGTACGATTCTGTACTATTGCGGGTAGTCTGGGTGGGCGTAGCTTTCAAGGAACACTTTTGCGAATCTTTAATTTTTTCAGTTCAAATTCAGAACCTCCTAGGCTTAAGTTGGGCTTGGGTTTAGGCTTAAGCTTAGGTTTCGGTTAGGTTTGGGCTTAGGAGTAAGCTTAGGCTTAGGCTTACGCGTAGGCTTGGGATTAGGCTTAGGCTTACGCTTACGATGAGGCTGGGCTTAGGCTTACGCTCAGGTTAAACATAGGTTGATTCCTTGGCATACGATTTTTATAGAGGGCACCCAACATTTTATTAGTTTATGAATTTATTTAAAAAATTATAAAATAGGATTCGCGTTTGATCATAGCTTTTTCGAACACCAAAAATAATTTTTTATTATGTTTTCAAAATATTTAGCCCCATTACCTTTCAAAATTGACGACTCCCAGTCCCGAACCCGGCTGATGCCATTAACCGCCCCGTTGGCAAGCCCGAAATTTCCTTTTCAAACGCATTCGCGTGCAACGGGCCCTTTTTGGGGGGTCGAAGGGGGCAGAGGTCCCCGTGCAACTGGTCGTTGAGTGACCACCACTACGAGTTTCCATAGCGATCTTTACGTCGAGCACCTTAGAAGAGGAGAGTGACCAATGCATTAGATGCACTAGCCCGATATTCTAGCCTTACTGCTTTTGAACGTTAAAATGGAAGTTGACAATTTTGTAGGTTTTCCTATATAGGTTTTATCCATTGAACGAAAGTACTCCCTAGCCGTTTTCGTTACATAGAAAAAAGTTTCTTTTCAGAGCCGAATGGAGCGCTAGGAACAAATTGAAGCAATGGGTATCGCGCCAAAATTTGGGCTCGTTGCCGTGCTGCTGTTGCTCAACATCTCGTTGCTGGATGCTAAGAGGCGGAGATGGAAACGACAAGCCTTGCCTTCTACGCATGTTCAGGTAAACGTTGTTTAGCAAAGACTTTGCTGAGCGTGAACCTAAGCCCATGCTTAAACCTGAGCACAAATATACCCAAGTTTACAGGTCCATTCCTTAAATTCAAACGTCTCCGTAGCCGATGAAGTCCATGTAGTATCAGCCGAGTCTCGAATTGACCTGAAAGAAAGGTGAGACTCCAAATGTTACCAATTCTACCTCCCTCCAGCTTCCTAAATGCTTCAATATGGTCCTCAAACTCTGAGCTTTTGTTCAACAACTTCGACACCTACGTGAATTACACGGCATTTGATGTTGAGGACATTTTCAACATTCACGGGGCCACGATATCGAAGGAGGCGGATAAAACAGAGGTAAGGCACTGAATTGTATAACTTCAACCAGGTATTCAGTTTTCAATGGTGACCAACCGCTCAATAGATGGAAATAGTCGATTTAACGAGAGGCTTGAGGGCTCAATTTCGCTACGGGTAAACGACTCGAATATGGGGGTGCAGGCGCTAAACGGTAAGATGTTTTTGAGCACGATTTTAATATGTTGTTTCTAAAGGGACATGGGCCATAATCAATGGGGAAACCCTGGAACAAATGCTGCAAAAGAAGATATCCGTATATTCGGATTTCGATCCAAAAGACAACACGAGGAAGTTGTTGATAAAGGCAGTTTCAAATTCCTATGATGTCAAAGTTATATTAAGTGAAGCGGAGGTAAGCGGAAATTAAATCAACGTCAACCTTCTCAGGTCCAAATCGAATACGGCCCGTCGGTTCTACAGATTGATAAAAGCTATCGGCATATGAAGATTTTTACGGACAAACGGAATATAACGCTCGACACGATCACCTCACCTTTTGAAGTGGCAATGACGGAGGAGTAGGAAACTTAGGACCAATCGCTTATGCCACGTATTTAGTGCGTTGTTAGTGACGTGTAAGGACGAACATACCACCGCGCAGCTGTCACCGAATAATACCGATGTCGAGATCTCTGTGGGGCAGTACTCAATGTAAGGAATGCTGCCAGATTTCTCGAAAACGCGAAAAAACGGTTTCATGATTATTTTGCAGCCTGGAAGTGGATCGTGGCGATGGAGTGATGAGTCTGGGAGATAGTGCTGGCGGTATCACAGAGCGCGTCAACATCACCTCCATGCAAATGAGGCTGGATCTCGAAGACGGGCTTGTCACGGCAAACAGCAATCGCAGTCATATTGATATGATGGGAAATTTGACAAAGGTTTGGTCCGATTTTCCTCCACTAAAATGTGTTGTTAGGTCAGTCTCACGGCGGCTATCCACAACTTGACTGTAAGCGGAGGTGTACCCCGAATGAAACTCGATACCGGGAACATAACCGTCCAGATACTGGCGGTCGAGGAGGTAGTTTGAAGCTTCTAAAGCTAAATAGATTTTAGCGCGCTGTTCTCCCATCTATCGTCCCTCCCTTCGAGCCAAAGCACGACAACTATGATAGTTTGGGACCGGTTGCCGGAGAAGAGTCTCCAAGCGCCGTCACCTCTGGTCCTGAACCTCCTGAAGATGCCACCACCGAAAAACCAGAGCCTGCCGCCACTCCGGAAACGACAGCACCACCAAAAGAAGAGGTTACAACTATTGCCGAAGAAGTCCCGACACCTCCTGAATTTTCGAATGGATTAGGTACGGTGGTCAATTTTTTAAATGGCGATTCAAAATTAGGCCAAGATCCATTCGGCGTGATCGTGCCTGCGACAACTACTGTAACCGTGAAAGAGCCTTCATCTGAAGAACCTGATTGGACGGACGTACCGCAGCCTCCGGAATTGGGTAAGTCATATTAACCCGTACACTAATACTACACTACACTACGTTACAACACTAGTCTACAACCCAACTTTTTTAGTCACGGAAGGTGATGGCCGAACTGGACCTGAAGATATAGCAATGCCAACCCCTGCCGGACTGCCAGAAGATGGAGGTCGGAATTTACCTTCAGAGATAATAGAATAAGTAATTCTGATGATTGCATTTACTAGGCTTTCTGCACCTTAAGGTCCACCGCCGTTTCGTTTTGTATAATTTAAACGTCCCCTAGCGTAGCCCGTTCTGCTTCTTGTGTTTTGTCACTGTGGCACCAGCCCGTAGCTGTAGTTATTAACTGCATGTAGAGCCTAACCACTGTCATAGAAGTAGTTCGTTCGTGTTTTCCAGAGAAATTCCCTTCCCCCGGCCACGCTCCCAACAGGTGCAGAAGAAGCGGAAGGGGACGAACGAACGATCGGCGCTGAGAAGTTTCCACTCCCCAAGCCTTTTACTGTCGCGCAAACGCACCCCGATCTCAGTGACTTTCCCGAACCGAAGAACTTTACCGTTGTCGTGCAATAAATGTTTTAACCTTGTTTTGTTTGGCACTGGATCGTGGATCGTACAGTACTGCATGGGATATAAATGGTTTTTCCATAACCCAAATTCAAACCACAAAAAACGAAAAATTGGTGGATTTTAAGCCGGTAAGACCCAGAAAAACGATAGTTTTAGGCATTGAAACGTCTTACCCAAGGCCCGATCTATTCACAACAGGTACTAAACAACAACCTAGCGTATGAAATTTTTTCAGGCTCCCCGGATGACTTTGTGATTGGACAATTTGGAACGACACAATTTCTGAATGGACAACGCAATACAACGGGTACCGATTTTTGAAGGGCTTAGCCTCAATTTTTTAGGCAACCCAGGTCTCTCCTTATTCGCCACCATCAGCAGTGTCGACTTCAACGAGACTCCAGCCAAAATCCCGGTAGCTCCGGGTAGTCTTCCATTCCCAACACCTCAAGCCCTGCACGGATCGAAGAAACGCAGTCCCGGGTGCGTCTAGAAAAGCTGAGAATTTACAACTTCTGAGTACACCTTGCGCCAAAATCGTAACAAAAAAAAGGAAAACATATTTTGTTTTAGCGGTCGATAGCCAAGGATGAAACGCGTCGACTCTCTCCCTTTAAAAACTAAGGCTAAGGCTTTTACTAAACAATTTTCCAGCCCTGTCAACGACGCGTTGGTGATGAGGCTGTACGTGCCGGACTCGGTGAACATCAGTGACCCGCTTTTTATGTCCGACATCGAGGCCAGCCTGGTGGGGGCTGTACGCGAGAGTGTGCAGGGCATTGAGCGCTTCAAGCGGAACACGGGAGGGGAAGATCCGATTGATGTTGATGTGGGTTAAGATCTCAGATCTGCTGGTATCAGTTCGTTCAGCTGAAGAGCTTTGGCCGCGATGGAGATGCTGTATCGCTGCAGTTTGTCGTGTTCTCCTATGATGCCGATGCCAGCTCGAACCATTCTGCCATAGCGGAAGCTATGAATTCATTAGGGAGAGCTCGACTCTCTCAAGATATGCATTATCCGGTAAACCTTGAAAACCTTTACATTAATGTATTTTCCATGCTTCAGGTCGTAGAGGTCGTTCACGTCAACTTGAACAGTACCCTTATGTGGTTCCTGCTAACCACCGCTCTTTTCGTGCTCACCCTTTTCTGCATATTATGTCTGGGATGGAAGTTTGGCATCCACAACAAGGTACCAAAATTTGCGCTCCATAAAAATTGGCAAATTCAGCTCAAAAAGCGCCTAACAAGAGTGACCATTGCCGAAAACCGGGATTGCCAGAAACAAACTCTTTGATCTTGTGTAAATAAATAGCTTTTATTACGAAAAAACCGTTCAGCATAGACCTGTCAATATTTTTCGGAAAGGATCAGCGCAAGAAGTGAAGTGGCAGCGGTGGACTTTGTCTTGTAGGGGTCGCCGTTTTCATGGAAAGCAGCTATCAAATTTCCGGATTTCTGGAAATGGCAACGTTTACTTTTTTGTCGTGGCTTACCTGATACTCAACAGCAACAGTCGAAATCAAATTCATCCTCAGTTGGCCGTATAGTTGGTGGGCATCGCTCTGGTTTCGGCATACAAAAATTTTTTTAACGTACCTGGTGAGGTCCGCTTTCGTGAATATGCTCGTAGGCTGTTTTTAGGAAGAAATAATTGGTAGCTATTTGGATCAAGTCCCATCGGCTGAATCCCTGATACCTGCTCGGGAAAGCCATTTCTAATTTTAGCGGATATTTTTGAGTTTGCTTCACTTACACTGTCGGCTAGTTCCTTCAACAAATCATCAAATTCATCGTGACTGCTATTTGTGATGCCGAGTAGGATCGGGAGCACGGCTTTGGCGGTCTAAAATGTATCATTTTGAATTTTTAGTGTTTCCGGTTTACCTGGCAGTTGTAGTAATTGAACTTCTGTTGGCGTTCCTGGGTAGTTAACGCCTGGAATACAGAGGATGAAATTGAGCTGCAGATACATGCCTCAAAATCGCAATATCTATTGCCATTCTTAAATTCTTGAAGCTTTTCTGTTGCCACCAATTGTGCATTCTTCCAGTAACCAGATTCCTCTGTAGCTGCAAAATGCGCGGAAAGCTTACTCATCGATTTAGCTAGATAGTAAGCCCAGATTTGAGCGTCGACATGAAATCCCTAAAATTTTTATTAGAAAAAAATTAGCTCTGATAACCTTGTGCTTCTTGGTTGCCTCAAAAAGGGAAGACTTCGCCTGCAATGGCCAGGAATATCGTCCGGCTCCATTAGGGTCCAGTCGCTGTAGCAAGTTCTTTGCATGAGCTTCTAATCTTGGGTAATAGCGCTTGAAGAACGCCTTTTGGCTATGGATTGTCTAAAAATTCTATTTCCCAAAACTAGGATGAAAAACCTCATCAGTCAGTAGTTGATCCAGTGCGTAGAAAATTTGAGGGCCGGCAAGAGCTTCCAAAACAATTTGATTATTCGAGACTTCGGAGATCATCGCTGATTGCTCGTTTATTAAATTCAGCCAGGGTTCAATCAACTAAATTAATATTCATAGCTAAAAAAATATTCTACCGCCAAGGCTTGAGCCGGATCGTAGTGTCTCATCACTAGAATTCCATAGAAAATATCGTCAATCGAGGCACTGCTAGATTTTCTGGACGGCCACGGGATAATAGAGTTTAAAGACCCGAGGGTAAACTAAAAATATTACAAAAACAATTTTGTATTACCTCGGTATTATAAGTCCCAGCCACTTTCAACGATCCCTCAAAGTATCGATCCGACGCTAATAAATTGGAAACGGCTGCTCGCGAGAGTTCCACATAAAATTCCGGAAGTGCCTAAGTTTTCGGAAATCCCCCTCCGGCTCCATCTTCCCTACTTTTCCCGAAAATTTAAATTTGTCCTCAAAGTTTTTCTTGAAGTCCGCAATTCGTGTATTCAACTCGAGGTAAAAACCCTCGCCTGTGTACGGCTTCTCCTTGGAGGTGGAGAAGGCAAATTCCCAGTAAATGTCGTCCGTGACATTGAAGGTAAAGACTTTTACCTAAATAGCACGGCATAAATAATCTTTTTACTTCCTAGATATCCACTTACCGGATTATGCGCGTTGTGTTTGGGACTAAATTCTGAAGCAAAGATGGCTCCAAGTGATGCAGGATTAGCATCATGGATCGTTGCTACAGTGAAGTTTCCCTAGAGTCATACATTATCAGTCTAAACCTAAGCCTAAGCCTAGCGTAAGCCTACTCCGAAGCCGAAGGCTAAGCATTTCTTACGTACCTCATCGCCCCAAAGGTCAGCTGATAGTGTAAAGTTTCCATATTGTTCCGAATTTCCGTTTAACAACTTTTCAGACGTAGCCCCAATCGTAGTTTTGCCATCATCCTAAATTAATTCTTTCGAATTTTCCGCTTTTAGACTTACCTTAAAGTATACAAATATCGCGTATCGTTTTCTGTCAACCACATCAGCATTTTTGAAATTTATCCTAGTCGTCCAGGTCTAGAAAACACAATATTTTTATGAATCCAACCCCTACTCGCTGGGTATTCACCCATTGGAATTCGACAGTCACATTTCCATTCGTTACTTTCTCCACTCCAAAAGTTCGCCCATCCGACATTGTCCAGGTGGCAGATCCGACGTCATTTACCGTCGTGAACACCTAAAACCGATAAATTAGAATTTAATAGGCATCTCATACCTTCTTTTCCACGTTATCATACCAACCGACACCAAATTTGTAAGAATCTGGCCTAGCCGTACGCAGCGAGAAGATGTCATTAGGCTCCAGAGGTCGCCAATTTTCCTTAATTTTTCTAATACAACGATTTTCGATCTATCACTGACCTCGTACTTCTGCGCCAGGTTTGGCAACAATGTCCTTTCCATTTTAGGGTTTAAATAATATTTTTGGTAGGCATACTGTAGGGAGGCAGCTATTAAGACTGTAATAACAGTCCCGGCAATCGAGTACGGCAGCGCATTTGATGATTCTGGAAAAAGATTATGGTGGTTTTCGGATTTTTGCATCAATTACTCGTTGGCATCGACGGCTTCCCAACAGGAATTGGGGTCTCCACTGGCTTTGAAACATCAGGGTTTTTCTTTGGCTTCTGGGGATATTCGGCCTTATTTAGAGGTTTCTGATTATGCTTTTCTTCCTTCTTTTTCGGCGTTGGTTGAGAATTTTCATTTTTGTTTTGAGGTTTTGGTGATTCTTCGGCCTTACTTGGCGAGGTGGCGACCGCTGGCTCATCTACAGGTGTTTCTGGGACATCTATGATTTTCTTGACTGGTTGTGGGGAGCCTAGAGGGGTGGAGGGTTGGCTCGAGTTTGCAGAGCCGGGCGATGACTCTTCGTTGTCATCCATTTGCTGAAATGTTATCTATACGCAATAGAGAGGAAGACAGAGAGACAGTAAGAGAGAGAGAGAGAGAGAGAGAGAGAGAGAGAGAGAGAGAGAGAGAGAGAGAGATGGAATGGAACGGTGAGAGAGGGGGAAGCGAAAACGAGTGTGAGAAACAATCGTCAAAAATGAACATATTGTACGATAACAACCTCATAATTTGAGTAATAAAATGCAAGCAAGGGATAAGAGACTTCGAAAAGCTGGTGAGTAAGATCCTCGCCCCAGCGGTGCCCGTCTGGTGTAAACTGGTGACCACGGAGGGCCACGCGGCACTAGCGGGGTCAGCCCAGCTGGCCCTTGCTGGGCCTCGAAAGAAATGTGTGTGTGGCTGCTCGGATGCAGAGGTTCCGTTTGCAACAGTGTACACGTATTTATCGAGCTTGATAGGAGCACTAAACGTAAATCAAAGTTATTGGAGCGCGGGCCTGCTTGTCGTGGAAGTTCCGAGTGGCTCGGAGTGTAGCCTGAAAAATTTTTATTAACAACAGAATAAAAAATACTCTGCAACGAAGGGGACGGTGGCGGTTCCGGGTTGATACAACAGCATTTGGTCACAATTGAACGACATTGAGCCGAGTCCGTCAGTTGCGTTGAGGCTGTAAATTACGTTGTTGGTTTGCTAGCTATTTCGGTTTTAAATGTAGTTCTATATAACTTCCCAAACTTTTCTAACTGAAGCCAAAACGGACTTGAACCTACCATGTGCCCTGAGTTGTACAAACCGTGGCGGTCCCCTCGAGTTTTTGCAATAGTGTTAGTTTAGGCAGCTCTGTTCCTTCATTCTAAAAACAGCTTTTTCGCGGGTAAGACTACTCACACAAAAGACTTCAACGGATAAATCTTTCTTCGGCAGATTAGGTTCGAGCCAGTCTGATGAGACAATGACCATAGGGGTGGAGCCCGGACTCACAAAGTCTAATAATCAACTTGTGTTCAAAATATCGATGCCAAACCAACTTGATGCATCATTGGCTTCATACTGACTTGTCCCCAAATAATTAGCGGGGATTCGGAAAGTGAAGGTCAGTGCTTTCAGATCGGGCGTGTACAGATCCAGGGGGTAGTCGGTTGAGCTGGAAGTTTTAAAGAAGCTAAGCCCTTTATGGGAGACTTACTAAGGCACCAAGTCCTCCGGCTGAATTGAAGCGCCACGATAGGTTGGGATAGGTTGCCAATCAATTTGGATACGACTGAGCTCGCGGACGGCTACGTACAGACAGCCCTCGACCTTACATGGCAGATCTTCGTAGGCCCTGCCTCCGCAGAATTTGCCATCTGAAGGTTGTCAATGGAGGTAGAGAGGAAGAGAGCGAAAGAGAGAGAGAGAGAGAGACAGAGAAGAGATAAGGAGAGAGAGAGAGAAAAGTAGGTTTTGCTGGATACCTGGAGCCAGGAAGTGGTCACTGATGAACATTAAAGCCTGGGTGCCGAAGTCCCCAGGATTTTTGATGCGAACGGAGACCGTTAACTGCTTGAAGATCATTTGGTTACTAAAATTTCCCTTCACTTTCAAAGAACATTTATTAGAACTTACGCCAGCTTCATCTTCGTACCCGTCTCAAACGTGCCATCATAGATCTCCACCGTTTGCTCATCCTCATATTGGTAGAGCGCTATCGCCAATGGACTAAAAACATGCAATACAAGGAGGTACGGGGCGATACCGTACCCGTTGCAAGAGGTAAAGATGTATTCCTGTTCCACCGCCCTCGTTTGTGCCTGATTGATCTCGTAAATTGACGTGTTGCAAATATCAATATACAGAGGGACGATCGGCACTAAATTAAAAAACAATTTTCACCCAATAAACAAACTACCAGATTTTACTTCAAATTTGATCCCTCGGCGCCGGATGTCTTGTTGCTGATAGGTGCCGGAGGCGAAGGTGACAAATTGTACAGTGATGTTCGTCACGTTGGTGAAGCCATACACTCCCCACCTAACTGAATATTTAATAAGAGGCATGTTTGATACCTATCAATTGCTTGAACTTTGCCGTCGGAGAATATCTGTGGCTTATCCATTGACACGACATCGACATCCGTAAAGTTGACCGTGTTGGCGGCGCCCTTATCGACCAGGAATGTCCAAGTACAGGTTTGTTGTCTGAAGATGTTTTTAGAAGAAGGTAGTGACGAACCGGCAATAGGTATTGTATTGGAATTCGTCGTGATGTCGGGGAGGCATGGCAAATGGTAGCGGGGTCGTGGAACCGTTTTGTAGGTTGAAAACGCCACCGGTGCATTCACAATCTGTATATTTTTGTTACGACTACAAATAACGAAAAGACAGCGAACGAGGTGGAAAGAGAGCCATAAGGAGAAAAAGACAGAAAGAGCAAGGAGGAGAGAGAGAGAGAGAGAGAGAGAGAGAGAGAGAGAGAAAGACGGGAGACAGAAATATCCGCGACTGTCCCCATCCATAAAATACTTTTATGCATTATGACCCCACCAGCGAGTAACACATTCATAATTCCACCAGAAGAGGTCCCCAGCCCATCCGTCGTCAATTTCAAGTTTGTCTCCCTGAGACCAATAGGTGCAAAATCGACGTGGTATGCGTTGTAGCCAGTCATAGTAACGCCATTCTAAAACCCTTCCATGCGTCAGTCCGTATCCCGATTACCTGGTAACTAATATTAAAGCCAGGGGCGACAAAGAAATCGGCGTCCCTCTCCAGGCTCATCCCCAGCGTTTCAAGGATCATTTGGTAGTTCTTGGTAACGGTAATTTTGTAGTCGCACTCGATATTATTGTAATACGGCTAAAAAACATTTTTAAAACGGCTTAGTGAATACCTTAATATTTGGGGTAAGGTAGGAATATCCGGGTGTCCAGATTTGCAGTTCACTATCGGTCGCCTCATTGTCGTATTGATCGCAAGCCATTTTTGCAGAAACTAAACAACAAATTCAGCTATTTGAGCCTTAACTCCGCTTTCATAAAAAATCAAATCGTCAAAATACGAACTGTCGTAGGGCTCGACGGCAATGATGTAGAAGCCGTACTGCGCCTGTGTGACATCGGTCGATATACTAATCGTAATTGTCACATTTTGCAGCAGGTATCTTGAAGGTACGCGATTGCCAAGATACGAACTAAAGTAGGTGGTGCTTCTAGTTCATAAACCAACTGATCGTAGGTTTCATTAAGCGGATTTCCAGCAGTGTCCTTCCCCAAAAGTTTCAAATATCCACCCAACCCTGGCGCGAACGTGTAGATGCTGACGCGAATACCAGATTCGGCGGTGGCAGTCAGCGCACAATCCGTCACATTAACATTTGACTCCGGATACCCTGGACACGTATTTTTACCTTGAATGCAATTGCCTCACCTGGCGATACCATAATGAATGGGGTCTTCATTTTGCCCACATCCTTTGTCGTGCCACAATCGTAGAACGAGGGCTCTAAAAGGTTTATATGCGGTATCCGGGTATAAATTTCCAGCGAGTTTTACTCACTCTGTTCCAGAACTTTAGCGCGATAGCCTGCACGTGCGCGGATGCCGCGCGCGTACATTGACGGCACTCCATACAGCATGGTGAGAAATGCCGGTCCCTGGGTAGCATTCCAAAATACGCCCTCGCCAACTCCTTGGATCTTAATGTAATTTTCTATAAAGATTGTGAGTTGCGAAACCGAAAATTTTGAAGTACAGGGGAAATGCATAGCTATAGGGTTCTTTGAAGTGGAACCTCTTTGAAGTGAATCGACACGGAACCGGTCTTCCATTCATAGCTCAAAAATCATAATAATCCTTTCCCGTTCTTTTAACGGTGCTAGAAACTTTATGGATTGATGCTTAGTATTTGTGTTGATGGGAAATTTTATTTGTCCGATACCTAAGACTAATGCCCTAAGGGTTAATACAGAAAGAACCTACATTAATGCAATTACAGCTGCTCGGAGCCTTAGAGCATCTATCATAAGCCGCCTCGTCGCACAACCACAACCCGTCACCCACGTGTACGTCGTAACGGTCAAACACGAAAATGAGCCCCGTGCCCAATTTCGACGTCAATTTCCAATTCAAGCTGAAAAGAATCAATCTATAACCTTGACTTTCCGCGGGTACAAACCGAAATGGGTCCACATATTCTACCGTCTCGGCACCAAAACTATTTGGATTTCTAAGATTAATTTGGGTTAAAAAGAAGTCAATCCTACGGAGCTGTCACGTTTCTTGATGTAGTTTGTAGCAACAAAGGATACCCGTGAGAATATACAATTGCATTATCGTCTACCACAATTTCCTGCAATTTCGGAGGAATTTCCTTGCCGAAAATTGACAAACCCGTAAATACGAATCAGCACAAAATACGGTGAATATTAAAGTAAAGAAGATTAAAAGATTAGAAGACATAATCCTCGTAGCTTTCTAAGCTGCAATAATCCGTTCAGCCGATTTTAGCGTGTTTCCAGTGGGTGCAGCTGCGATAAGCGGGACGCTGATTTCACATTGGGTTGTAAAAAGCGGGGGTGATTTAGTTTGAATAGTCATTGTCTAGCTAGGAAAAGCACAGAAAATTGGAACGGATTGTCAGCCTGGCTATGTTAATTTGCATATGTCAACGGTTGTTGGGGATTCTAGATTAAGACTGTACAAGAAGTGGTGAATCGGGCAAATCAATCTCGAGCTGAAAACCAGCACTCTTTCTTCATTTTTCTACAATGTGTGTATAAGGGCAAAATCGTATGCGTATGCGTAGCCTTAGGCTTATGCTTAGTCTTAGGCTTACCACCTAGTTAGGGTTCCTTTAGACATTTTCATCATATTTGAGTTTAAGTTATAAAGCCTTTACAGGGGTCCCAAAACACCCCCCCGCCCGCCGCAAAGTATCGGATCGGAATGATAGTTACACCATTCGAAAGCCCTGGAAATGGCGAATTTGCAACAGTTTCCAAAACCATGTTTTTATTTAAAAATCTGATTTAAAAACACTAAGGAACGACCGCTGCATCTTGCAGTTGGAGATTTGAGACAAACTAGCCCTCAAAAACTGTAAAATTTAGAACATGGCTTGTAAAGTAGCATGCCTGAATAAAAACATGGTTTTGAAGATTGTTTCAAATTCGCCGTTTAAAGGCGTTCGAATGGTGTAACTATCCCTCTTCCGATAGCGGCGCAGGGGGGGGGGGTGTTTATTGGGACACCCTTTAGAACCGATATATTTTTTCCAGCATTGCCACTTTTCTAGTAGGCACTTCTTTCATTTTCCGCTATATTTTTCATTTCAGAAGTATTGTTCTTGTCCATCCATTCTTTCCCGGCCCGGCTAATCCTCCAGATCCAGCGTGGGTGGCACCCCCACCGGATTATCCGGGTCGGGTCAGATTAGAACCCGTGAATGAAAGTGATTCCCGTTATGAAAGGCTCAACTTTGAATGGGACGAGCTGACAAATATTGTTGAGGGTGAGAGGGTGGAATCCCTGGATGCATCTCGAAATTAAAAGATGATTGGTTTCAGTGTGACATTTCGTGTGTTTTACCAAAAGGGTGTATGACCAAAATAACACCAGAAACCCATGAAAAAGCCATTTTTACAGAATCCCCGAGGATGGGGGCTTGTGGTCGTTGCCCTAAAAACAGATTCAGTCTTGCTCGTCGGAAAGTAAGAGATGGTATTGTTATCGGCTACCGCTCGCAACACCTAAATTTAGCGGTGTTGTTAGGGTGACATTTTCGGTATCTCTCTCTCTCCCTCTCTCTCTCTCTCTTCCTGCACCCCCAACCATTTCACATGACAGGATTGTGCGTGTGTGTCAAGTCGAGAGAGAAAAGACAATGAATGAAGATGGGCTGGGGTGGGAGATCCCCCGATCGGCGCTTCTTTCCGCTCTCCGCTCTCTGTGTGTCTGTCTGTGTGTATAAATGTGTGGCGTGCACGTGGCGCCATCGGAGGGCAAAGTCTTCGCGCCACGTGCTCTCTATCGCGGGTGGAGGGGAGGGAAGGGAATGGGGAGAGGTGCTCTCTGCACTGACTACGTCATCTACCCCCCTCGACATACAAGGCGATGGGGGGACATCCCCCGATATGCCCCCAGGGGTTGAATGGACGCGTCCTATTTCGTGTACGGTTGGTACAATACGAGGAATGGTGATATCAATACAGGTTCAAAAACGCCGTTTTCACGGCCTTTGATCACTAACAGAAACAAAATTAACCTATTTTATGTTTTTTTACTCGCCTGATAGGGATATATAGATACCAACATCATAAATTTACAACACTGCTACGTAGTGTGGTAAGTTTTTGAGACGCACGTTATGAAAAATGAACAAAAATTACCCGTATCAGCCGCAAATGGGAGCAAAATTTGCGCACTAATGATAGGCCAGGGACGCTGCCGATCCGATCGATACAAAAATTCGGGATCCTCTAAAAATTTTTCGCGAATTTACCCATATTTAATCGAACTAATTTTTACATAGCCCAAGTCCAAGAAAAACTATCTAAATCGTAATTAAATAAAAAATATTTTTTTTTTTTTGTGTGTGTGTGTGTTTTTTTTTTGGTTTTTTTTTTTTTGGGTTTTCTCCCCTCAAAGGGGGGGGGAAAATTTTTTTGGAAGAAAAAAAAAAAAAAAGGGAAAAAAGGGGGGGGGGGAGGAAAAAAAAAAAAAAAAAAAAAAAAAAAAAAATTATTAATTAAAAAAAAAAAAAATTTTTTTTAATTTTTTGTTTAAATATTTATTAAAAAAAAAAAAAAAAAAAAAAGGGGGGGGGGGAAAGTAAAAAAAAAAGGGAGGGGGGGTTTTTTTTTTTTTGTGGGTGTTGGGTAAAAAAAAAAAAAAAAAAAAAATTAAAATTAATTTAGATGTGGGGGGGGGGGGGGGGGGGAGAAGGGAAATAAATAATTTTCACCTTATAAAAAAGCCCTCTGCAAAATTCCTAGGTAAATATGTTATTCCCGCCAGCGAGCAAGCCGTACCCAACCCAAACACGGATCGTACCAGGCTTCACCCCGCCTGATTCTGTTGCTTGGCATTGTACGTACTGGTGCACCCGTTTGTCGATGTGTGGAAGAGTTCGTGCAAAGTACAGCTGTATCCTCGGGACACCCCAGAGGGCACGTGAAGGCGGAAATTCCCCGTGAAAAGTGCGAGCGATATTTACTGGGTGGAAGCGCCAGCCCGACTGGCCCTGGGTGCCACGGGTCGCCCGAATTATTTTTATCACGCGGGGAGAACGGGGTGCGCGTGTCGCGCGCACGGGATTTTTTAAGTTTGAAGAAAGAAACGAAGAGAAGCTGCTTTTTTCGACAAAGCGCGGGTGGAGAATTTGCACCTGGAAGGCAGGTGTGAGCTGTTTTTGCTAATTTTTAGGTATGCCGTGGGGGATTCCACCCCCACATTGTACTTGAGTTCTGAGTGGGTCGTGGGGCCGGGGGCGGGGGCCCGGGAAGTGGGGGATTTGCCCCCCCCCGCGGGGGTGGGCCATGGAAAAACCTACCCGGCTGGATTAGGGAGAACTGGAAATGGTAAAAAGTCAATCCACGAAAGGGATTTTGGCCCGGATTGAGTCGGTATTAACGAAAATCTGTAACAAGAACTCTAGGGAAAAGCCATAACTTGCAGGAATTGAAATTTTTAAGATTAATTTCATTAACTTTTTTTGCATTTTCATTCATTAGGAAAAAGACGTAATAGCAGAAACCTAAGCAAAATTCACGCACAACGAATAGATACGATTTTTTTACTGGACCGTATCCATATCATCTCACACTATTATAGCTACAGTAATTCAATATTTTCCAGACTCCCCGAATTGTTATGCTCATTCCCATTCCTGCCCCCGAAGCCTGCAGAATCGAAGTTTCGTTGTTTGGGGGCTATCCCCGACGGGGGGTCTCCTCGGCCGGGCCTAGGGGGGTGTTTGGGTGCGAGAGAATTGTGTGTGTGTGTATGTCCGTCTGCACATGTGGCTCTCCCCGCTGGCCCGGTCGTCGAAGCGAGCGAGGGGGGCTGCTCCATCGGTGACCACCCCCGTCCCGGCACGTGGAGGGCATGTGCAGACCCGGGTGATTGTTGGGGGAAAGATCGGAGGGTGCGAGACATGCACACGGGCATCGGCTCCAGGTCCGCCCTCCACCACCCACCCCGGGCCGGGCCGACACACAAGCAGAGCAGTCTGTGTGCGTGTGTGTGTGGAGCAGCCCCTTCTTCTCAACGGCTCTCTGTCTCACTTGTTCGACTCGCTCCCCTTGTTGCACCACGAGTATTCCCCCGAAATTCTGAAGTAATTATGCTTGCTATCGACAGCCTGCTAACTGCCGCGCGGATTCTGGAAGCCGCCAATCAACATCAGACGATTGCTGCCAGCACCTCTCTTTTTCTGGGTGAGTTACAGTACCTTACATCAATTTAATAACTTTCTTACACTTTTTTCTTCCAATCTATCGTGCCTAAAACCTAAAACTCATACATAAGCCACCTGAAAAACCTTGAAACCCTTGTTTACCCACCACTTTTGCAGACACCCACATTCCTGATGAGCTCGAACTCCGCGACCTTGTCAACCAAAAGATGCGCGTCAAGC